CAAACGCAGCTAGTTCATCAGAAAATTACAAGCGACCGAAACTCGATTCAAAAGGAAGAAATAAACAGACTTTTCAAAATAAGTGAGTCTCAATCAGCTTTTGCCATTTGCCATCCTTTGTCATTCGGCTTATTACTGATAACATTGAACACCTCGGGTGCAAGTCGAAATTAATCAGAGGGTGCTCTCGCGCAATGAAGCAGGTACGACGGTCGGTAGCGCTTCTAATCGCGCGGAAGGCCGAAGGTAAAGGCCTCCAAGTATACATCGACGACGTATCACAGGAGCGCGTCCGTCGAAAGTCGATCATTCGCCGTTGAGAGCGGCGCTACGTGCCCGAGTGTGTCGCCCGCTGTCGGCGAGGTTGCACGAGCGCGCCGCGGAAAAATCATCCCTCTCTCCATCGATTGCCAATCGTCGCGCGAGTAACGCCAGCGAAATCGCCGCCCGAAGCCGAAATTCCCCGCGAAGGGAAAAGAGCAGCAAAAGGAGAGAGAGAGAAGCGGGGCGCATACCACAGACGAGAGCGAGAGTGCACGGCACGGGGATGGAGAGGAGGAAGAAGGACGAGAGCAAAGAAGAAGAGGCGGCAGAACCCGTTTCTGCCGTTAGCAAAGCTCTCTCCTCTCTCTCTCTCTCTCTCTCTCTCGCAAGGAGGGAGCGAGCTTACTGACCTATATTCTCTCGCTCTTTCGTCGGACGGTCTGCGCGCGTCTATCTCCGACCTCGACTTATCTCCGCTTCCGAGAGCCCGCGATAAGCGCAACGAGGCTCGCGAGCCGAATCGCGCAAACAGCCGGGGGCTGCCATTCGCTCGGCCTCGGCGCGACTCACCTGGTTGTTGGCGGCGGCGCCGGCCTGATGGGGCCTGGGCCGCTTGTCGAACTCGTCGTACTCGGGGCGGCGCTGGCGCCTGGGCGGCGGGTGGCGCTCGTCGAAGTCGCGGTCGTCTAGGTCCCTGGGCGCGGGCGCGGCCGACGGCGGCGGCGGCGGGCCCCGCGTGGGCGGCTGCTCGCGCGGCGAGTCGCGGTAGTCCTGGCGCCGGGGCAGCGGGAAGTCCTCGTCCTCGGAGTCGAGGAGCAGCGGCTCGGCGCGCAGGCCGCCGCGGCGGTAGCGCGGCGTCCACGGGCCCTGGCCGCCGGCCGCCGCGGCCGCGGCCGCGCTGGCGTCCTCGTCCTCGGACAGCAGCTCGGGCGGCAGGCCGGCCGCCTGGGCGAGTCGGCTCGGCGCCCTCACGAGGGTCCGCGGGCCCACGTAGCCCAGCCTGCCGCCGCCGCCTCGGGCGTCCGACCCCCCATCGGGCCCGCCGCCGACCTCGTAGCCCCCGCGCGCCACCGGCAGCGGCTTGCACTCCCTGCCCGCGGAGACTCGGTGCGCCGCGCCTGCCCGCAGCCCTGCCCCGAGCTTCGCCGGCGAGGCCGCTTGCCCAGCAGCTTCAGCCTCCGGCGAGCCGCTTCACATCATCGGCTCGGCCCACCTGCAACAGCACACGGATTGGCCGCGTGAATGGAACCGTCCTCGCGATGGGAGTGCTCGCGGAGTCGGTTGCGCGTCGACGTCCGCAGTCTCCGTGGAGCCAACGCTCCCGGGAACGCCGATTCATCGCGCGATTCGTTCTAACAATTTTCTCGCGTGCGCGAGAGCTGACTACAATTATTTATCGGATCTACTCTGCCGCGCCACCGCTTTGGCGAACTTCGACTTTCGACCAGTAGAATTTTAACAATTTATCCTTATCGAAAATGCATTCCTCCGCGTGCGCGCCGACGTGTTCTATTTTGATCTTATAAACGTTTTCCAGATGCGCAGTTATAAATACGTCGAGTGTGCAACGAAAATTTCAATTCTAAAATCAATATAGCGCCTGTATATACTTTGAGAGTGTCAAAAGAGAGGGATATCGATCAAACTTTCGAAATATTACTTAAGAAATACGCAAACTTAATTCAATCCGTGACCCGAATGAAAGCGATACACGAAGAATTTCCGATGCAAATTCAATTCAATGCAGTCTCGCCGTGAAAGAAGAACATTTTCAAAAAATTTTCTATTAATTTCAACGCTAAATCTGTCAGTTGAAAAAGAAAATGAAAAAGAAAAGATAACGCCCACTTCGTTGCACAAAGAGCTTGCAAATGAAAAAAATAACCTGACACGCGGAAATGAAAGTACGTAAGTATAACGCGGCGGACAGCTATTCAATTTATACTCTCCGATTCTCCGACAAAACGCGCGCAATCGGAAAATAAAATAGACGAGTCGAGGGTGGAGGGAGGGGGGGGGGGGGGCATTTCACTCGATACGCGCCGTGTTGCCCGTTAACGAGATCGCCAAATCGCGCTGATTACGCAAACGCGCTCGATGGGTCGAGGAAAAAAGCTGGATTCGGATCGCGGAAAAATCAGCGAGCGAGGCGCGCGGAACGCGTCGTCGACGACTGTTTACCTTGCCAATTTTTCCAGCAAAAGAAAAAGCACAGCGCGCGCGCGCACGGCACTGGATACACCTATTTTCCTCGTATCGTCGCCGCTGGCGGCACTCGTTCGAGCTTTTTTTTCTTTCGTCGGTGCGTGACCCAGTTGCACGACAGCGCGCGGGGATACGCTCGTGCGGATCGAACGGCAATGATCAGCAAGAGAGAACGTGCGACTTACCGAGAGGAAGATCATGCGTGCACGAGGCGATTCGACGATCCTGGCGAGACGTCGCTCGGCGCAATGAGCGTGTCGCGCAGCTCTGCTCCTCGACGGCGAGGCGCGAGCGATTGGCTCTCCGGCAGCCTGCTCTCGGGGCTTTTATCAAAGAGCGAGCTATGCGCAACATCGGCGCCGACAGGCCCGCCGCCTCTCGCTCGCGCACACGGCAGCTCAATCGGGCGGGCGCGCGCGCGCGATTTTCGTCCCTTTGTATGTGCGGGCGGAGAGCGCGGCGAGCGAGGCGACGGCGACGAGGGGCAAACGGGTCAGTGGGCGATCGATTACCGTTAATTAAGTGAGCGCTCGCGCGTCTCGCGCGCGCGAGTAAACAGTCGGCGAGTCCAAAAGGGAGGTTAGGACGTGGACTTACCAGCGGAGGAAGGCGAGCACTCGGGTGGCTGGCAGGTGCGTCGTCCAGGAGGCGACCAGTGCTGCGAGCCCGACGTGCCTGCGAGCGAGACTGGCTGCGCTGTCCTATCCGGGCGTCAAGGGCGGCTTCTCGCGGCGAGGAGGCCAAACGTCAAACTCCAGAGAGAGAGAGAGAAAGAGAGAGAGAGAGACAGATAGACGGAGAGAGCGGGGGTGCGCAGTGTCTCTCGCCAGCTACGCCGTCAGCGTACGTGTGCGTCAGGCCAGCAGACCAGATATCGATTCGCGCACTACCCACCGCTGTGCCCGGCGCATGCGATCAACGACAGACCCACGTGCACGCCCAGACAGTGCTCGCTCTACCCCGCACCTCCAAGCCGCATTCGAGCTTTCGCGCTTTCGATGCTTCGACCCCCAGCTTTTTCTCGCTGACCAGCCCGACGCATCTCGCCGCTTTTGTTTGCACGGTCAAAAGTTCGCTCGCTTTCCCATCAACCGGTCCATTTCCGTTTCTCTCTTTTTCTTTATTAGTATTCTCGTAGAAACGATCGCGTCGCTTGACAATCGTAAAATGCACGCGAAAATTGCGATAGGCGTGTGGAGAAATTGGGAATACCATGTAGTACACAGCTGAAAAGGCCATGGATTTCTCGGTTTTAACGGACAAAACAGCTTATCGCGCACCACGTGCCGTCTTTCATGATCGGAAATCGCGAATTTGAGCTTAGAACGACACGTCCATTTTAGGCGCGTCTCGAAGTTGCAACTTGCACCGTCAGTGAGGGGAGCTGGCCACGGTGTTTCAACATTACTTCGACTGTCGCTAATGACAATAAGCTTTTTATCTTTCGCTCGCTGTAGAGCCGTAATTTCTTCCTTTTACCTCGGGATTTGATTCGCGAGGCGTGCGCGCAAAAAGAACAGAACAGCGCAAAACGAAATAAAACAAAATTAAGCGCACTAGATCGTTAAGCGTCGCCTCGAATAATCACGCGCGAGCAGCCAAGGATCTTTGCTCTCTTACGACGACGGCGGCGGCATCATTAACATGAACTTATCCGTACGCGCGCGTGAACAAATAAGTCGCGCGAGCGCACTTTATATATTTCATAACGCAGCCAAGACAATTTATGCGAGTAATACATTAAAGTCTAATTGCCGCTCGATGTAAGGCCAGCGCGCCGCAAATACCGTGATTTTCCAATCGCGCTTTTACGTAGAAGCGTAAGTGTAACTGCGGCAACTCGACGATTATTAATACATCGGAGCGGCCTGCGCGAACGGGGAAAGGCCAATAATTCGAATCGCGCGCCGCGAGGGGCGAGTCCGCCCACGTTGGGCGCAGTCGTCACCTGACGGAGGGTGCTCGAAGCGCCGATAGCGGCGAGCTTGCAGGGAACTGCAGAGGCAGCCCTTATCAATTTACCGAGCACGAGTAAAGTGCGCCGGGAGCGGAGCCGCGTGCGCGAGGCCGCATTCTCCGAACGTAAGAAAAACAAAAGAGAAAGAGAAAAAAAAGAAAACCAAGATACGTGTGCTTACAGCGCGAAAAAGAAGGAGGAGTTCAAACAAAAGTCTCTCACGCATGGTTACGCAACGGAAAACAGCGCGAGCCGCGCATAGCGCAAAAATCTGCGGCAACGACAAATTTCGAATGAATCGAAGCGCTCGCGTAAGTGAGCGCGCGCGGGGGTGGAGAGAGAGAAAGAGCGAGAGAGCGAGCGAGCGAACGAGCCGTTTGGCTTTAATATGTCGAGAATATAATAGTGGAGGGGTCGTCTAGTGTGCTGGTTCGAAATGTACATAGTGGGGGGCAAGAAGTGAGCCGTAAGCGAAGAAGGCAGCGCGAGAAAGAGAGAGTGATAGTGCGAGAGAGGAGAAGAAAGGGAGGGGCGGCTCTAGGAGAACGACGACGAGCGGAGAGGGAAAGGTGCGCCAGCGGCGCAGTGTACTTGCCCAGAGTCGTCGAGGAGGTGCCGCGGGAAGCTGACGCGCGCTGTGAGACAACACAGCGAAGAGAGAGGCGACGAGAGAGTGCAGTGTGCCGCGAGATCGACTAGGTTAGGACCATTGCTATACGTATCTCTCAGCTCTCGCTGCCTACACGAGTGTGCAATTGCTCGTCAACGATCGTTTCTTCCTTTATTTTTTTTGTGTGTCTGTGTTGAAAACTAGTGTAAGTTTACAAGTGCATACCCGATCGCGCCTCTTCTGGGTAACGTACAAAGGAAAACACGTTGTTTACATTTTTCGCCTTGCACGCCGGCGGTTTATCGTCTCGCCAATATCGATCGTCGAGCGTTATAACGTGCGATTCGACATCTCTCGCTCGCTCGTCCTTATCTGTCGGCGGTGGATGTCGCGCAGTGCAAAAACGGCTTATCTGCGCGGCCTGCACAACGTTTCTTCAGCCTCGCCAGAGCCAGTATATATACTATAGTCCTAATGTATACACATGCTCCGAGCTACCTTTCCAGTAAATACAACGTCTACCGTAAATCCATACGGACGGCTTGAGCGACAGCTGTACGGGGCCGAGGATAATTGTGCTCAAACCTTTTTACGGTGTAGTCGGACTATGTCTCTTTGTACAGCAGCTGCCTACCTGTGCGTAGGTTGAAAAGTGAAAGATGCCTATCGCTGCGTGGGCCGAAGCATCGCGATTCCGTACTTATTGGAAAGCCGTGCTACAGTGCGACTCACCTTTGTCTCGCACGGCGTATCCATAGGCAGATTAGAATAATCGTTTGGTTATTGACACAGCGGAAACAATGCTCGCAACCACGTATTACGCGCTTACGAAAATCAACGCGCCGGGGCAGGGAGCAGCCTATTTACATATATACGTGCGCTCCTCGTCCCTCCGCCGTTCGTAAACAAGCGGCTCGGCAAAATGCGCCAGTCATCTCGATGAAAAATGCGCTGTCTCCGAGGGCTGCTCACGCTGCGTACGAGGGGGAGGTTGCGTGAGCGTGCCGAATTTTCCGAGCTTACGGCTTCTCGGAAAATCCTTCTACCTGGGGCGCGCGGGGCACATGCCGCCGCCGTCGTACGCGCAAGGAACAGAACGATTTTTTTTGCTTTCCTAGGCGCTGGCGGCGCATGCGTGCCTCCGCGGCGGCGCGGATGAATGGGCGTGGTGCATCCCCTCGGCATTTTTGCACATGCGAGCACCACGTGCCAACGCCGTTGCGTCCCAAGGGGTGCGTGTCGGCTTCCAAGATCTCCGAACCGTGATTTATTGGATTCTGCGAACTTTCACCGCTGCAACGGCCGGTCGTTGTTTGCGCGCCACCGCAGCGCCACGAGACGTTCGCCGAACAATCGGGAAAATCGCGTATCCCTGGCGCGTTGACGAGCCGATTTCTCCCAGTCCCGGTGCTGACTTTGCCACGAGGTGGCGGGTCGTTTAGCATTAATTTGCGCCCCGTCGGGCGGCACGCTTTCGATGTCAATTGCCGTCGTGAATCGTGGGATCGGCCTGACACTCGGAAAGCCGAACGAGAGAGACGGAGAAGAAAATGCAGCCGACGCATAACCGCGGGTCAATCAAAGGCTGCGCTGCCGCCTCGGAGCGCTCTCGCGTTGAATTACTTCACGCTCCGAAAATAAGTGGCTCTGAGCTCTCGGCGTCGCCGGCGCATTTGGAGGCGCTCGTCGCCGAGTAAACACGATTTTTAATAATAGCGCGGCGCGGCGCACTTAGGGAAAAGCTTCATTACGAAAAGTCGGAGGCGCGCGCGCTTATAAAAAACAAGAGAGAGAGAGAGAGAGAGGGAGGGAGGAACACGACACGATTATAAAGCTCTCTCTCGCGCGAGCGTTTATAAATATAGAGAAGCCGCTTGAAGCTCTGAATATGTATGTCCACGTGTGCGCGCGTGCGTGCGCGTACGCACCTCTTATAAATAGGCTTCGCAAGTGCGTGTTTTCTTTCTCTCTCTCTCTCTCTCTCTCTCTCTCTCTCTCTCTCTCTCTCTCTCTCTCTCTCTCCCTGGCTCTCCGCGCCGCGCCGCTTCATCGCCCTGTCCGCTCGGCGTCTCTCTCTCTCGCACTGCCTCTGTCTCTGTCGCAACAGCCTGCAAGTAATTATTCTAATGAGTGTCGTGGGTTTTGCCCCCGGATTACTTTCGCAAGCGATTAGATTGTTCTTCGGGCGAGAGACACGTGCGCGGCCGCTAATGAGCCGCCGCAGTATGCGCGCGGGCCGCGTACCTCGGCATCGGCGGGGAAAAATGGCAGCGCCGACGATTTATCGACGAAACCTCGGCTCGCGTTATCGCCGCGAGTGGTACGATTACGCTAATACGCGAACTTCAGCGTATGACCCATATAAATTTCGTAACTCGAAGCTCGACGTCGTCGTCGTCGGCGTACAACGACAGAATCTCACGTACAGCAGGATGTTGTCTTATCATCTGCGCGCGTCTGCGTATCCGCGTGTGCGCGAGAGAGCGAGAGAAAGTGCGATCTCGTCAGTGGCTCGTAAAACATGTGCGTTCGCTCGTGTGTGTTCTGCAGTTCGGCTATGAGACGAGGACGGGGAGCGAGCGAGCATCGCCGGAAGTTGAACGAGTCGCCGGCGCCATCAGCAGCCCCGTAGTCGCCTCGGGCGCAGGCACGTCGCTGGAAAGTCGGCAAAAGGTACGCGCCTATGGAAAGGCTTGCGATGCGCGTCCACAGCGCCGATTCTCTCTTTCTTTCTCACTCTGCCCTAATCTCGCTGGAAACGTTATCCGTCGCGCTCGGTCAATTATTGGCGCGAGGACATTATGTAAACGGTATATCAGCGCAGCTCGGCGGTAACAATGGGCATTATGAAATAACGCGCGTATGTAACCGATAGTAGTAAGCGCGCGATAAAAGCCCAATTTATCAAGAGTATGCCGTTTCCCTCGGCGGCTCAGGCTCAACGGAGACCGGGAGAAAAATCCAACGAGTGTCTTTCTTTCTTTTCCTTTTGAAGCGCCTTTCGCACGCACGCTTCTCGCGGGCCCGCCACGCCGCGCGTGCGTCTGTGTGCTCTCTCTCTCTCCCTCTCGCTCCCGCTCCCGCCCCCGCTCCCGCTCCCGCTCCCGCTCCCGCTCTTTCCTTCTCTTTTAATTAAAGCTTTTATCGCCTCGAGATTGTAATGTACCGCGTTGGGTAAGCGCGCTTACGCTCTCGCGGAGCGCAACGTCTCCTCGCGCGCAAGACCGCACAGACACAGTGATTCGGAAACGTGGCTTCTGTTTGTTGCAGCAGGCCGCCCCGCCGGACGATCCTCGGCAGCGCATCCCGAGCGAGCAGGCAGCAACAGCGGCAGCAAAGGCAGACGCAGCCAGCAGCAGGTGCCCAAAGGCTGGTGTTCCACGGACTGCACAATAGCACCGCTGGTGCCCTCGGCCGTGGGTCCCGGGGGGACGGGCGCCATGGCGGCTGGCTCCACCACCTCGTCGTCGGGCGAGCAGCAATACTCCCTTAGGTGGAACGACTTCCACTCGAGCATACTGTCGAGCTTTCGCCACCTGCGCGACGAGGAGGATTTCGTCGACGTGACCCTCGCCTGCGACTCCAGCAGCTACACCGCCCACAAGGTCGTGCTCTCGGCCTGCAGTCCCTACTTCCGCAGGCTACTCAAGGTACGCCCGGGGCCGGCTGGCTTTGACCTGTCGCGGTCGCTCCTTGTAAGGGAGCCCCTCCGCTTAATTATTCTGATTAAGATATCGGCGCTCTTGAGAATAGAATCTCGCGGCGAGCTGTCTCTTGTTACGGCGGTCCGGGAGGGGAGCAATAAATACGAAAATAGTAGCGCGGCGACTTTTGTTTTCGCGCGCGCCTCTCACGAAAATACGCGGCTCTGCGGCTTTCCCGCGGGCGCTCGGCGTCGACCGTCGGACGTATCGAACGCGACGCCTCCTCCCCCGGCCGAAGCGCCGTTGCGCCCGATCGATCGGGGCGCGCAGCGGTCCCGTCTCTACCAAGGTCAACGACACGGCTGGGCCGCGCGGCATTATTTTTATTGTCGGTACCTGGCCGCGAGCGGGCGCGCGTCGAGTGCGCGGCTCACGCGAGCACGGGCGCGCACGTGCTCCGCCGCTCGCCCGCTCGCCGAGAAAAAAACGTCTATTCTCGTTGCGTTGCACAATTTGGTCGCTCTGCTCCATATTCTATAATTAGCCGGCGGCCGAGCGCCGCGGTACACTCGCCGTAATTCCGGCGACTTGTCCGCGGCGACGACGGCGATCTCTCGATCGGAGCGATCCCCGGATTCGCGCGCGCGCGCGCGCGTGCCGCCCTCGCGGCAAGGGACGCTATTTTTACGCGGCCGCTCATTCGATCCGGTAACGCGACACCGCGCTGACAAGTCCGCGCCGCGCGATAACCCTTATCCAGCGCAATTCGCCCGGGAGAGCCGAAGGAGAGGAGGACACCTGACGAGCGCGACGACCACGACCGACCACGGCGGCGGCGGCGGTGGCGGCGGTGGCGGCGGCGAGGCTGCGACGCGACGGACACGCTACACCGGTATTTTTATCCGGCGGAAGTGCGTCGCGCATTCCGCTGTACCGAGCTCCTCGCTGGAAAGCCGACGCTACTTGCCGAATTGTATTTTTACCGAGCTCCCAGCGCCGCGTATTTTTAGGACTTTTATTCATTGTTTGCCGGCGCGCCTCGAGAGGCTTTCCTCGCTGACAGATGAACGTCCGGCGATTACGGCCTGAGAGATGACGATAAGCGGGAGGTGGCACGGCAATTATAAAATCATCAATTACACTGCCTAAATCTTCGAGCACAATGGCCGATAAAACCGCTTATTGATACTCTTTCGAGCGCTCGCACGAGAGAATCGGAGGTTGACAATCGCTCGATCGATAAACTCATTCATCCAATTGTAAAGGGAAGAAAAGCAGCGCCGAGTGTCCGCTTGCTCAACGCACCCTTTGTTCGGTCGATTTTTCCGCGCGCGCACGCACGCCTTTATCATCCGCGGGCCGCGAGCGCGCGCCGCAAAAGAGAAAGTGTCGCGGAATTCGGAGCGCTCGCGCGTGGGCAAAGCGCGCGCGCGGCTGTGGAAGGCGAGGCTCGATTGTGTACTTGCTCAACGCGGCCGCGCGCGTAGGCTACTGCCCTGCCGAAGCCAATGCGCGACATAACCGGATCAGAAACCATGCAGTCGTGCGTGCGTTTCGAGCTTCGCGGGGCTGCGCTGCCTTTGCCCCTCGCCCCCTTCCCCCTCTGCTTTTTCGGCGGCGCGCCGACGGGATTTCGTCACGCGGCCGCGGCCGATTATTCCTGTTACGCCAATTAACGCACAATTGCGCGCGCTCGCAATCGCGATACGTTTCGATTTTTCAAAGCGCGCGCATAGCTTCCAGTTTTTTTCCAGACCGTCGCTCCACAGATATCAATTGACGGCTTTTGTCAATTACAGGCGCGTTCATTAAGCTCATTTCGGCGTTTATCGATGTACAGAGGAGAGAGAGAGAGAGAGAGAGAGAGAGACTGGATTTGCCGCAACCCAGTGTGTAATTACCGGCCTGACGAAACGGTTTATCGCTCGCGGTCGAAGATTGTTTGCCGTCGTTCATTGCTTCCTGCCGAGCGTCAGCCCGTGTCTTTTTCCACGAGCCAGTCAATTACAAAAAATATCATGTAAATGTTTGTTAATAAATCGATAACGCGCGGTTGCTTATCGCCTCGCCGCACACGCGCGCGCACACACGAAACGGACGATCTGCCGAGGCAATAAAGCATCTTAATCGTCTGCGCGCGGGTAATCAACGCTCGGTCATTACGATGAAAAACTAAAGAAAACACCACGTACGCTTTTAAGCTTGGCTTTCTCTCACCCTGCAATCCAATTAGGGCTAATCAAATTAGTATGACCAAACGCGACGGAGGGCGCGCCGTGCGGACGCGGCGCGCGCGAGAGAGGAAAAGCGCGCCAAAAATAGCCCGCCAAATTGTATAGGTGTCGTGTGTGAAATTACACGTTACAGGCGAACCCATGCCAGCACCCGATAGTGATACTGAGGGACGTGGCCAGCGCGGACATGGAATCACTTCTGCGCTTCATGTATCACGGCGAGGTGCACGTCGGCCAGGAGCAGCTCGCGGCCTTCCTCAAGACCGCGCAAATGCTGCAGGTGCGCGGACTCGCCGACGTAAACAACTCGGCCGCCTCCAAGCTGCCGTCCAGCGTGTCCAATCCCAGCAACGCCAGTGCACCCGTGAGTACGATTGGTCGTCGTTCGCGCTCGAGTCGACGGCGAGCGAACGACCGTTTTAGAAAGTCTTGGGATGCCAGCGGAATCGTGGAAAGTTTGATCATCGTATAATTATGTTGCTGGTATTCTCTCTGCCGAAATGAGAATTGAACGTTGAGTTTCACTGAATTCCATTGACTCGAGCGCAAGTCGGGGCGAAAGAGCGTTGCGTAAACGAAGGAGCGATCTGTAAGCGCAAACATTGGATGTATCGACAGGCGACGCCGCGAAACCACTCGTGGCAAGAGAGCATGCGGGCCAACATAAACGACGGCGGCGTGAGTCCACCGCCGGAGAAGCGGCCAAGGAGTTACTCGCCGTCGCTGGGTAACCACGTTGAGTCCAAGTCGGACATGCTCCAAGAGTCGCTGCTCGGTCAAGCACTGGAAGGTGGACCGACGATACACACACCCTCCAATAACGTTCAGGTATGGCTGCTTCGGGAGCATCCCCTCGGCGGCAGCGCGTGCCTACGAATGACCGTGATAAATGTGTGCGCAGACGCAATCGACCGGTGAGGACTCGACTTCCATGTCGGACAACGAGGAGGACACATCCAACAACGAGAGCATGTTGAATTCGGTGAAGACCGAGCCCAACGAGCTCCTGAACGACTCGCTGGAACATCATCGTAACGCCTTTCCCGCGGCACTGCTCGGCTTACAAGGTAAGGCGCAAACGCGCAAATTCACCGATTGACAAGGGGCCTAGGAAACTAAACAATTGTCTTTCGTGTTTTCCTTGGAATCGCAGGACTGATGCCAGGTCCGTCGGGAATTCACGCGGCAGCCAATCAGGACCCAAATTACGGTAAGTGTTCAACAGCCAACATTGATAATCCAGTCTAACGGTCGTAGCCCAAACTAGCTATCCTCCCGCCATCTCCTCCGTGATCAATCAAGTTTGAATCTTTTTTTTTCTTTTTGAAAAACAAAAGAGTCAACGAGCATCAACAATCTTTTGATTATCTCTCGTTGTTGCGTTGAATGCATGGACACTCTCGTACCTCTCAGCTACTTTATTTCTCTCCACCACTCACCATCATATTATAACCAATATCAAACCTTCTCTCTCATCACCAAGCCACCTTATCATCCCTTGAACTCTACTGTGACAACTCTTGCCTCTTGTAACCAGCACCGCGTATGCGAAGCAGCGTGTTGTATCGCTATTATTATCTACACTCTGTATAACAACATCAACAACAACAACAACAAACAGCGTATTGTCAGCGATTGTATAAAGAAATCATTTCTCTCGCGGAACAATTGGCGACTAAAGTAATAACATTGTGCGATCAAAAGTGAAAAAGAGACCAAAATTGTGCAAAAAAGAAAACGAAAATAAACGTCTGGATGAAAAAATGCGCGCTAAGAAAGAGAAAGAGAAAGAGAGAGCGAGAGAGCGAGAGAGATAGACATGAGACGTTAGCTATGTAAGGGGAAAAAACTCGAGCGATTCGGAAAGTTGGAGTCGCGCGACTGAAACTTGGCTGGTGGTTCGCAGGGCGGTGGCAGCATCAGGCAGCCGAGTCCTGGCAGCCGCCGGGCAGCACCAGCCAACAGTCGCTCGCGACCACAGCCCAGCAGCAGCAGCAGCAGCAGCAACATCAGCATATGATCATCGCCAAAAAGAAGATCGAGGAGCTTGCGCTGCTGCAGCAGCAGCAGCAGCAGCAGGCGAGCGGCTACCAGCAGGACGCGAATGGCCAGCCGAAACCCAAGTGTCCAGAGTGCGGCAAAATCTACAGCAACAACAGTAACCTGAAGCAGCATATCGTCAACGTGCACACGGTGCAGACCGAGTACATCTCCTGTCACGTGTGCGCCAAGCAATTCAAGACCAAGCAGTATCTGCAGATACACTTGCTGTCGATGCACGGCATCAGGAAGAGAAAGAGCTACCCAGTCTACCAGATGCAGACTCACGCGCAGGCACAGTCGGCTTACGCCGGCGGCGCCGCTCCGCCGTGGGACAAGCAGCAGCATCATCAGCAGCAATGATAGGCAGCGATCATCGAATGTCCATTTTTAGCGAGATAAGTGTCGTGCGGGGGCTTTCGCCCAGCCCGTCGCGACCGAGCGAGAGCAAGAGCGAGAAAGATGGATAGAGAGCGAGTGAGAACAGTGTGTGCCTCTATCTGCGAGTGGTATTGATCTCCCTAGGTCGGCCGATTCAACAAACAACGCCTCTCCCCACCTTCGAGCTATCTCTCTCTCTCTCTCCCTCTCTCTCTCTCTCTCTCTCTCTCTCTCTCTCTCACTGCTGCTTCTTCATTCGTATTCCACGCGCGCACAGCGACTTCTAACGACGAGTATCCCTTCCACGCGCGCGCCAACGACGAGTACCCCCTCCCGCCCGAGCACAATCGATCTTTTCAGCGAAGCTTCTCACTCGCTGCGCTATTGTCCAAATTGCCGATTGCATCTTCTCTGTCTGTGTGCGTGTGTGCGTACGCGGGGGAGGAAATCCAAAGAAGGAAGGGCATCCCCCTTCGACTCTTAACCTCTTTCTCTCATGCTCTCTCTCTCTCTCTCTTTTCCATTAGGCCTGATGAAAAATCGATAAGTCATTAGGAGCGAGAGAGAGAGAAAGAGAGAGGCGACCGACGTGCTCTCGCAGCCTAGCGCTGGTGGTGCTTTAATTAAAACTTGCAAAACTTTAATTGAATGTCCATTGTTTTTGTTGGAAAAACGACGATTGCAAGATTAGGAAGAAAGAGAGAGAGAGAGAGAGAGAGAGAGAGAGAGGAGAGGAGAGCTATATTAAAGATGTGACTAGCCAAGTCTAATGGCTTCTCGATAAAACCGTCACACTGAATTTGAATTCTCTCCCATTGCCGTCCATTAGGCCTCTGTCTCTCGCGAAACTTGTCCATTTTTGGAGGGTTGAAATCCAATAGGGCTGTGTGCATTCTTGAGGCGCGCGAGAGTAAGCGCCACTAAAAGTGAGAGAAAGAGAGAGAGAGAGAGAGAGAGAGAAAGAGAGAAAATCAAGGAGGATGCGATCGATCGGGGGGCGTCGTCTCTGACCGCCCACGTCAATTTCTCTCTTTACCCTCGCAGCACATTTTTTTCACTCGCGACACGTGCGTACCCTTCAAGAGCTCGCTCTCGCACTCTCATTCTCTATCTCTTTTTGCTTTTCCCTAAACTCCCCCCCCCCCCCCCCGTTCTCTCCTGTTTTTAAAGCACGCGGGCGCGTGCAGGCAAGAAGAGAGCAAAGCGAGACATGAAAAATGTAAGAATTTCACGAGGCGCTGCATTCGCGCGCTGCTGCTCCCACCGCCGCCGCCTTCGAGAAAAGGGGCGAGCAACTATCGACTAGCTGCCGATAGCAAAAAGGGGGTGGTAGAAGTGCGCTCGAAGACGCGGGCGAGGCTACCTAAATTAAACTTCTCTCTCTCTCTCTCTCTCTCTCTTTCTCTCTCACCCCACATACATCAACCCGGCTGTCTTGATGTCTGTCTCTGCCACCCCTCACGCAGTGCACGAACCCAGACTGAGAAAGAGAGAGAGAGAGAGAGAGAGAGAGAGAGAGAGAGAGATACACGTACAGCCTCGAGAAGCGATTTTTCTTTTTTCTTCTCTTCGAGCTTTCGCGCTAATGTCGAACGAGGATGGCCCCGCGCCCGGAGTGCGATTTCGAGACGACGCGTCGATTTGTTGAATTGTTAGCGAAAGAGAAAAGAGGACTTTCCAAGTCGCACTCTCCTCACCCCCCTCCCACGCCCATGCAGAGCTGCCAGCGCGGATTCCGCAGCGATGAAAAATGTGCCCGTAGTCCGACCTCGCTATTGGAGAATCGATGGGATCACTGGCGTGGCTGCATAATCGATCGCTGCCACGAATCGAAATTGCGAATAGTTTTGTCAATGACACGGCTACACACACACGCTCATACACACACACGTTACATACCCCGCTCACACAGCCACACGCATTGAGAATTGCCAGTTGTAAGTACTGCCAAGAGCTTTTGCAGAATGCGGAGCGCAAGAGACAGCGGCGAATCATCGATTGCGCTTGTCGACGAGGAGCGCGCCGTGCTGCTGCTGCACGCACATAGGAAGAGAAAAAAAACAAATCCAGCAATTTCGTGGTGTGTAACCCCTCGATGAAAGAGAGAGAGAGGGAGAGAGAGAGAGAGAGAGAGAGCCGAGAGAATCAAAGTCGATAAATCAAGGCAAGTCGGTGGAGGGCTGGCTTTTTGAAGAAACGCAATTACGAAAGGAGAGTGAGAGAGAGAGCGCTCGCGTTTGCGTTTGCGTGGCGTGTGCGCTTTGACGTGGGAGAGGTCCGAGATTCGTAGGAACGATAGTAATAACGAGAGAGAGAGAGAGAGAGAGAGAGAGAGAGAGAGAGAGTGAGTGAGTGAGTGAGTGAGTGAGTGAGGCGGGTGGCGCGGATCAATACTACCACTACTCCTTGGCTGCTTCTTCGGCGGCCCTCACACACGCATCACACCATCAAAAAATTAAAAAATAAATAAAAAAAACTCTGTATTCGCCTGATGAAAAATCCATTGGAAAATCCTACAACCGGGGGCATGCCCTGAGAGAGGGGGAGAGCGGATAGAGAAGCGAGGGAGTACGAGAGTGTTGCAAAGGTCGTGGCGGGAGAGCTTTCTATAAAAAGACACATAAGCATTGAGAGTGAAAAAAAGCGAGAGAAAAAGAGACCGAGACTGTGGGCGCCTGGTTGTAGGATCACCGAGGGACTGCCAGCAGTCGCAGCAGCAACACCAGCAGCAGCAGGTGCAGGAGAATTTCGCCAGACTGTACACGGCGCTGAGACACGAGGAGCTACGCCCGGTGTGTCGCTACTGCGGGCGTAGCTACTCGTCGCCGTCTAACCTGCGCCAGCACGTGAAGAACGTGCATTCGAGCTGGCCGCCGGCCGACACCTGGCCCCAGTGTAACGTCTGCGGCAAACGATGCAAGACCAAGCACTACCTCATCAACCACCAGCTCCAGGCGCACGGCATACACCAGCGTCCTTCGACCGCCAATTCCTCCTCATCCCATCCCTAAAAACGACGACAACGCTGAGAATCAAAAGCCAAGCTACGACCGCTTTTCACTGACCCCCGAAACGGGCGAGCGAACGAAAAAAAAAACAAAAAAAAGCACGCAAAAACGCCCCAGAGACAACATGTCGCTCGCCGCGTGTGTGTGTCTGTTGTATCACTGGCTGGCTGGTGGTTGCAGATGCAGCAGCGGCGGTGCAGACGCGGTACGGCTACCGCTGTCCGCTGTGCAGCAGAATCATCCAGGACATCGGTGGCATGAGGGCTCACCTCGAGCACCATTATCCACGCGACTCACCGACCTGCCCGGTAACCAGCTGCGCCAAGACTTTCTCGCATCCCAACAGCGTGCGCAACCACATGAGGCTCAAGCACCCACTACAGTGGGACCAGATCAAGACCCTCAGATGGACTTATGTGTGAAACACATCGCTACACCTTTCGCTATTTTCATTGTAAATATATTTTTACACACACACATGCACACACACGCACACATGCACACGCATTCGCACACGCGCGCACACTGACTTACACACGCACGCGCGTGCACACACACAGACACACGCAATACACGTAGTTTTGTTCAACAAACGATGACGATGAAACACGCGAATAATGTTCCTCGAGTAAGCGAAGCCTTACGCCTAAACACATCTAGCTTTAAGCGGCGCGAGACTATTTAGAGATTATATAGATTGTATACGTAATATATGATGATGCTGATAAAAATGTAATATTATCGTACTAAGTAGCGAGGTAAGAGCGGCGCAAGGCTCTACGCTAAACAAAGCAACAGACAAACCACGTTGTCTTTCATTTCTCTTTTCATGCTCACTTCTTTTCTCTTCCCCTTGTCGAATGAACTTTATAGACTGATGACTGCCCTTTGTCCAGCCTGGTCTGCTATCACCCCTTACTTTTTTACTAAATGGAAAAAAGGAGGCTCATTCTAACACACGAACACACACATCGCTTTATTTTTCTATATATACAAATATATATATATATATATATATACACTTATACATATATATATATATATATGCATACGTATCAGTATTGCCGCGTTGAAGAGTCTTCGTGACCGCGCGACGAGGCTAAAGTTACTACGTCGTCGTGACGCGTGTGCGTTCGTCCGACGACGCTATTCCTACCCCTTACCCCCCTTCCCCCGAAAACTATGATAGAAGGCAAAGAAAATTTTGAAAAATGCAGATGTATAGATTATATTACGAAGATATATATATATTATAGAGGATATATACGTCGTGCGCACTATTTTAGACGGACGATCTGAACTCGTTACAGAATGCTTAGCGAAACGGCAAGAGCTACAAAGATATACCGTTGTACTATTTCAATAATGCTTTGTATAAATAAAACAAAAAGGTATTTAGTGAATATACATATGTCATTTTTGTCCACTTTCGCTCCGCCCAGTCTCTTTCTTTATATATCTCTCTGTCCTTCTTTCTCTCAACGCAACAACCATATCCGTAGACTTTTTTTTGTTTTTTTGGTAAACACACTTTCTCTTTGGTTTTATGTAATTTTTATCCATTAGCTGTGAAACTGACGCTAATAGCCTCGTGAAAATTAGCATGTGAACAGAAGTGAAGCTGCTCCTCGAAATTTCTCGTTCATTTCCGTATGATACTTGACGCCTTGTGCGATTCGACGAGAATGATCAATCGGAGGAACGAGGCGACATAAGTGTTCCTTTTGAACTGAATAAATGAATAAATAAATAAATAAATAAATAAAAGCTGCCGGAACGAAAATCGCAACGACTGCATTGTACGATTTGGTTCTGATTTTGGCAGCACGCCGGAGCATCGACATCCTGCGAGTGCGAGCAACCGACCCAAGGCCGTGCCCCAAGTGCGGCAAGATCTATCGTTCGGCACACACACTGCGCACGCATCTCGAGGACAAGCACACGATCTGTCCGGGCTACCGATGCGTGCTGTGCGGCACAGTGGCCAAGTCGCGCAACTCGCTGCACTCGCATATGTCGCGCCAGCACCGCGGCATCAGCACCAAGGACCTGCCGGTGCTGCCGATGCCCAGCCCCTTCGATCCCGAGCTGGCGTCGCGGCTGCTAGCCAAGGCGGGCGTGAAGATCAGCCCGGCCGACCTGAAGGCCCGCGCCAGCCCCACGGGGCCACGGCGCTCGGACGCTCCGAGGCTGGAGATCCCGCGGGGCAGCGCGGGCGGCGCACCCTCCGAGACCGGCAGCTCGTTGTGCGGCGGCGACGACCCCGAGGACCTCACGCTGCCGCTCAGCCTCAGGTAAGGCCGAGAGCCGCGCGAGCGAGCGCGCGCCCCCCACTCAACAGCCGCCTCACGCCGCAGGTACGGATCGCCCACGCCCAATAACAACACGGTCATCACCAAGCTGCCGAACCACGCCGGCCAGAGCAACGGCAAGGCTGCGGCAGCAGCGGTCGGCGCCGTGGCCGCCAAGTCGCTGGACAGCTACCACGGCAGCCGCGAGCCGCAGACCGCGCCCTTCCACCACCATGCGCTCGCCCAGCAGCAGCACAACGCCTCCGCCGTCGCGGGCTCGGTCATCATCGACACCTTCTTCCAGATGATGGTGGAGAACTCGGGCGGCGCCATGTCGCAGGAGCAGATGGCCTACGCCATGCGCGTGGCCAACATGAGCGCCATCGAGAAGCTCAACAGCCGCGCCGAGGAGTACCCGCTGATCGCCCGCGAAGACGTGCGGAGCCTCGTGCACGACGAGCGCGCCGCCGCCGCAGCCGCCGCCGCTGCCGCCGCCGCCGCTGCCGCCGCCGCTGCCGCCGTCGCCGACGACTCGTCCGCCGCCGAGGAGGACGACTACAGCGACAACGAGGAGCCCGAAGCCCTCAAGGCCGAGTAGAGAGAGAGAGCCGCGGCTGCCCGAGCGAACGCGAAACAATACTCTGAAAATACTAATCTCGTAGGTTTTTAAGGGGCGCCGGACACGCGGACCTTCGACAGCGACGCACCACGTCGACACGCCGATTTTAATCATGAGACTTCAACGACCGCGACCACGACTGTGACCACGACTACGACCGCGACGACGACGTATCAGGAGACTTTGTATGCGAACGTGCGTCGGGCAATGCGACGTCACCGCAGAACGACAGGTCGATAGTCGGTACAAACATACCACTTCTTGCCTTCAAGCTCTCTGTTTGAACTCAAACGCTAATAAATCATGATGCAAGTACAAATTTTTTCTCCGATCCGGACAACGATCATACGACTAACTCCTCCGCGCATCGATCTTTCAAGTATGATGATTCAACGATAAAATTATAACACTTGAATAACTGTAGTCTTAGGTTATTATACATATATATATTATATATATGAAATGAATAGAAATATATTCATTGCGAGTGAGTGCGCGTGCAATTACTGGATCGGGCGTCGGGAGAACGATCAATCAAGGTAAAAGAAATAAAAGCAAAGATAGGACAGAAGGAATCTATTCCGTGCCATAGCCAATCGACACAAAGTAACAAACGAAAAAAGATACACGTACACAGTAATACAATAATAGTAATAATAAACGCCTCTATATTTTTTTTTCGTTGGTTTTGTTCTCTTTTGTACGCAATTTTTTGTGTATTCTCCGACGTACGATTTCAAAGATTCCACAAAGCAATAGCTAAAGATAAACAGTGGCCGAGGGGGGCGGCGCGGTTCGAGCGCGCACGCGAGAGACGATGCCATGCAACGCCGAATAGGCGCGATGTATAAAGGAGGAACGATAGAGAGTCAGAATTTATAAGTATATCATATACACATATATTAATATATATTTATGCAGCAAAAGCTCAGTCATCGACGACGATCATAGTTTTCTACCGCAGTATTTATGATAGCTATATGTATACACAGGTTCTATATATATTTATACAGATTTACGATTTGACCGAGTATGTACAATAATTCAACCAACTGCCCACTGTCTCTCGCGTGCAGCGGCTCGCAGATCTCGAGGCGGACGCAACCTCGCCCCCCCCCCCCCCCCCCAACCGAAACAATTACGCTGTATATATACCCGTGCATAGTCCGCAATAGTCACATTGAACCTTTACAATGAACAATTGTCGATAACAGTATTGCAATAGATTGTACGCAGCGCGCGCGCACGAGCAAGCGGCCGACGCGTGCGCTCGGCGAGAGCTCGCCTGCTGTCGTGTGCGTACTTGTGTGTGTGTGTATTTTTTTTTTTTTTTTTTTTTTTTTTTTTCTATATTACCGTCCGTCCCTTCTCGCGAGTGGCAGATGACGCTGGATCTGCCCCGCGAGCTCTCGCCGGCGGACGCGCGAGCGCGAGCTCGCCCTCGCGCGCGCACCAAATGACAAACTCAGGAGAACTGAAGCAGCCAGGCCGTGATATACTATAATACTACTTGTAGAGGCAGAGCCGTTTATGTGTTTTCTCTCTCTCTCTCTCTCTTTCTCTCTCTTTATCTCCCTCTCTTTTGATTCTTCGAACTAACTCCCCCGCAGTCGGATGATTCGCGCGAGGCCTATCGCCACTTCTCTTCCTCTGCCATACGTGTTGATTGTTAATTTGTTTGTTATACGAAGTTTTTTTTGATACTGCTGCAGGCAAGCAGCCAGTGTGTACTACTCTTAACATGACAAACCACGCCGCAGCTACCTCCAAGTCGCGTCAGTCTTCTCTACTCTCCGTTGTAACGCTTTCGCGTGCGATATACACAGAAGCATTAACAGTCGTCGATAGAGCGCACGGAGTAGGCGAGGGGAGCAAGTACGAGTACAGTCGTTGACGACGAGCGAGTGTGTGATCGAAAGCGCTCTCTCGAGTTTCAATTTTTTTTTATCTATCTATACTGGTCATATCTTCGAGTGTACCCGACGACGCGTAATACGAATATCATAAGTAATTATTATTATTATTACTATCATTACTACTATTATAGTTATTATTATTATTATTATTATCATTGAAGAGTATAATACAGTAATCTGAAAACCGTTGATTAGACAAACAATAACTTCCAAGTGCGTGGACGAATTATGCCAAGGTGTATATGCCGGGAGAGAACGTCTGCCGAGCGTGTATTGGGATGTAAACATAATATTTGCCGATCGCTTATCAATTCCGAATCTCGACTTTGTCAAAACGATAATACCGATGTAAAGCAAGAACTGAAATTTCACTGCCAACCAACGAGAGACGAGTGATGCGAATGCTCGGCCGCATACACCTTCCAATATTACAATGCAATACGATGTACTTAGATGCAGTCAGTTTACTTATATCGTACGGGCTAATTTGTCGTCGATGCATTTGCGTGTGCGTTTCGAGTGCGACGATGACGCGAGGCGCGACTACACTTTGCGTTTCATTTGTCGGCGCGCGCGAGCTAATTACGTGATATTCACAATAAACATAATCAGACAAGCGTCTTAAGGGGGCTCCAGCGCCATTGGGTTCTCAACAGGTTCTCACCTTTCATACTTATTGTTCGATCGACGTGCAAAAAGTTAGCGGTATTCCGCATAATCTTTAGTTTGCTACGGCCCTTCCTAAACATTTTAATGTATACCTTTATCTACTCCGACGCAACTGTAAAGGATCGTCAAGTTTATCGACAAATCTCGTACGAATTTTTTTTTTTTTTTTTTCTAATCTAAATTTTATCAATAGCATATTATTAGTATCTCAAGAATGAGCGTATCAGTTTTAGGCTCTTAATATGTATTAGAAAAAGTTAGGCAAGTAATTTAGTTGCGGCAACAATTTTCAGGGGTTTTTTGCAGCGCTTTCGTTGATAACTTAACAGAAGTCACGGCTCTGAAAACTTACGATTGTTAGGAAACTAGTCGGTTGACATTTCATAAATGACAGTTTTCTACAATTTTCCGCTTCGTTCCGCAAGAGCCTACGTCAAACATGTAAACATTCTCCAAATTCACCACGGACACGAGGAACATGAAGGATACCGTCGGATCCAGTACAATTTTATCCATCAACATCACCATACCTGATCTCTGAACTTTCGGTGCTGCATCCCTCTTAAGCCATAGTAATGTTCTCTAGTGATAATTAATTATTAATCGTGTAAAGACGGCAAACGAGGAGGAAATAATTGAGGATGTACTTCCAATCTTTTCCCCGATGTCATTATCGCTCATAAAAAAGGACTCTCACTTATCGGTGAACTAGAATTGTATATTTTATTGTGCAATTTAGACGAGCCCACGTGGCTTAATGACTTTATTCGTCTAGAAATGCAAAATTCGTTTGGTTGCATTTTTTTTTAGAAGGAAGGATCAAAATTTGCCGTGAATTTAATTTTCTTTTTTTTCAAAGAATAACATTCTTTTTAGAGCGTTTAGTTAAGGTTTTTCTTTTCTTCTTCATTCTTTTGTCATTTTTAAGAGAAAAAAAAAAAAACAATTAATACGGTGAATCTTGGCCTTCAAGTAACTTAAAGTGGAAGAGAGTGTAGAAGATGCGCGCAGTCAAGTTACTTATTTAAGATTCGTCGTTATACTGAAGATTTAAGGTGCTTCTAGATTGTTATATACATTTATCGCTGATCATTATTATTATCGCTCATTACTTGCGTTTCACGTTTTTGTTTATATTTGATGATGATTCTCATAATGCGCATTAATAATAATTCTCGAGCATTTTTTTCTTTCTTTGCAATTTCCACGGAGCCAAGATCAAACTTTCTTTTTTAAGGGAACGCGATGAAGCGTCGACCAGTCAGTTGTTATTTAAAATTTTAATTAACTTTCAATGTCCTCCAACTGATTTCTCATTTGTTTTTTTGTCTTCCTTGTCTCTTTGTCCATCTTGTGTAAATAAAATCTCTATTCATCAGTTGTATAAGTGCTCCCCGACTTAACTATGACAAAAACATTTTAAGTTTGTTTGTTTTTTTATCATTACCCATGCAGTTATTAAGATAAATTACTTATGTTCTTATTATTTTGCCATTTTTAGCGTGTAAGCTATTCAACTTGCCAATGCGATTTAATAAATATGTTGGAAACCATTTATTTACTTATGTTTTGTATTTATTTTCGTTAACCTTATTTATTTCCTTATTGTTTCAGCTGTTTCATTAACTTTTATTTTTCTTTCCCATTAGACTAGGTGTAATGTAGGTTGCAAAATGTACGAGTATTTAGTTATACGATGCATATTATAAAACTATTAGAATCATCATTTGATTGAATGTTAGATCAAAGGTAAATATAGATTATAAGAAGTTTCACTAATTGAAATGTCAAGTTGCAATACATTTTATAAGACTTATTGTATGAATTAATTTTATTGAAATGTACTGCGTATACGATATTGTGAAGACATTGAGATATATATATACATAGAGCGGAAGAGAAAGAAAAAGAATTTTCGAGACGAAAATATGAAAACGTATACGAAATATGTGCTTGTAAGATTGGAAACAATTGAACAGTAGGCAGGCAGAGTGGCGCTCTCAATTAGAGTAAATGACTAGTGAAGAATCAAAAGATATATCAAAGAAGCTGCCACGGCTGTCTACGAGTTAGGAGCTCGTGCCTTTTTACGGCCTGTGCGACGCGTTCACTTAAACACAGACTCATCAACTGGTATTACACAATCAATCATAGAACCGTTAACACAAACGACCAAAACACTCGGACCACAAAATAGATTTACGCGTTACAAATCATTATATTTAAATGTACTTCTGATAACGTTTCAACGATAATGTAGCTCCAAGTGAACGGAGGCACACCAGGCAATCACAGTTCCTATTACCAGCTTAATTCTGCTCTTGCACAATACACGTGTGCAAGGTAAACAAAAATAGTGTTGACAGAAATATACTAGAGATGATATATGTATACCCGAGACAAATATTAAGGTAGTGAAAAACCATTAACTATGTATACCAAGTGATTATACGATATCGCATAAGTTTAATGCTTATTTATCAAACGAGAAAAATACTGCGGATTTGGGAGATTCAACAAGTATGCTATTAGTTTGTCGTCAAGTTTATGAAAATTAAAACAATATTTCATTCGTTGAAAACATGAATAAATGAAAAGAAATTGACAAAATTAGGGCGTATTTGCATGTTTCTCTATGCCCAAATTTTCGCCGATGAAAATTGTTTGGTGTATCTGTTGTTATTCAGTTGACTTCTTTGTTTTGTAGAATGCCATTTATACATAGATTTACCATTGTAGGACATTATTATTCAATAAAAACGAATCAATCATGGGATTTGTGTGTCTTACCCTTTGCGACTTTGTAATCGCGCGCGACAACAACGCTCCAAGTGACGTATTGGCAAACCACGACCGTCTGATCGGCACTGGCGTAAGTGTATTCATGCATGAACGAACTTTGGAAGAAACCGCCGATTTAGTTATATATTCTTCGGTATTTTTATTCATCTCTTAAACTTTTATTTCTATTAATTTCCGCTTCCATTTGAGTGCTCAACATGGATGGAAAGATTTTGAGTGCCATAATCAACAGCAAAGGCTCTTTAAACAAGCCAGGACCAGTTAATCAAAATCAACCAGAGGATGTTGTTGATTATCCAGTGTTATCTGTTGATATGATTGAAAGAATTTCAGATTCCTACACAAGAATCTTGTTGTATAAAATTTCTAAGGAAGCACATCAACGTTACTCTGTTAGACTAAATGCTATAGTGAGTGCTTAAATTAGACTAGATTACGATTAAACTATTGATTTTTCATTCAATCAATTGATTACAGGAGAGTTTGAGGGATTTTAGTAGAATTAAAGGAAATTTTGGAAATTTACCAATTTTTGGAGATTCTGAAAAGTCATACTGTTTACTATTGTACATTTTGAAAAAATATATGACGGAAGAAGTTTTAAAGTCTTGTAATAATATTGATAGTCTTATCCTAGCAGCAGAATTATTGCAAAACTGTCTGACCAAAAGTAAATTAATGATAAATTGTTTTGAAAGAGTTATTGAAAGGATAATAAAATTGGATCAGACTAATAAAAGTAAAAGGTATCTACAAGAACTCATAAGCAAAAGTGATGAATTAAAAATAGATACAAGTCTCGTTGAAAAAATTTATGAAAGTCAGAAATCTTGGCTCATCTATCAACCAATGACAGAGTATTTCAATAAATTTTGTTCTTCTAAAGATAAAAATCAATTTGGCTCAGATATGGTTACACTGTTTGAAAAAATTATTGATAATCCATCACTTTTTGAATTAGTAATACTTCAATTGAAGGATATATTTGTTGAAACAGAATATTCACAAGCTGCTCAAGATTTTATACAAGAAATTCTAAAAATCATTCAGGCACATTGCACCAAGTATCATAAAGACACCTTGGATCTTTATCCAGCTCACATACAACACTGTGTGATCCTGTTGAGAATAAAACCCACATATCACTCTGAAAAGACAAAAAATCAAACTATATCATCGTTGAAGGAGATTTTCTTGAAGAGCCAATCAAATGCCCTGATTTTGGTATCTCACTTTCCAGACTGGTTGCCAGAGTACCAAAAGTTCTTTGATATTCTCGACAAACTGACGCAATCCAAAAAGAGCGAAAGCTGTGATGAACCCATAAATCAAGACTAATTTTACTGTAAGTTATTTTGTATGTTTTGTAAAAGAACGTGTTTGTACAATAAATTATTTTCTATGAAAGCTCGTGTTTATTTATCGATAAGCAAAACAAAAGTAATAAAAGTAAGATCTACCAAGAAATGTCAACTTTATTAGAATTTAATTATTTTATTGATATTTTTAAATTGTATGTCAGATGCTGTTAGAAAATGATTTGCTTTAACGATTCGCGCAGTTACATAATTGTCGTAACTTTGTGAAACTGAACAAGTGTTAAAACGGAAACATATACTTGGTTTTGGTTAGTGAGAAAACGACATTTGCAAACTCTTTTTCTCTTTCTTTTTCTCACTTTCTCTCTCTCTCTCTCTCTCGCTCTCTCTCTCTCTCTCTCTCTCTCTCTCTCTCTCTCTCTCTCGCTCTCGTTTTTCGAGAAAAAAGCGAGAAAAATCGCTGCGTCAAGCTTTGACTGTTCTTATCTCCAAATTGGCAGACGACCGATTATCGACGTTATTAATAGCGGCGGCTTTCGCTGCGGAAGCGCAAGTGGACATCTTGAGTGATGCTGGCACATCTTCGGGACGAGACTTTATTCGTCTCTGCTGCTTGTTGCTGTCATTCTTCTTCTTGGACTTGTACTGTACGGAAGAGAGCGGAAAGAAATGAAAAGTCAGAGTAAAAAGTAAGCGAAATCGTGTGTTGTTGTACACGAGTTATACGAGAATCAATTAGCAGACTTCATGAAGTTTTAAAAATTGATAAATTTAATCTTTATTTAAATTATTCTAAAATTAAAATAGTCCTTAAAAATTTTACACTTTTCCTACTGCATTTATGACTAAAGGAACCTTAATGGAAACAATAAGGTTTGATATACTCAGCAATGTGAACGGCTTTTTTTTACTCTCTTCCTCTTGCAAAGAAACACGAAAATTACCAAGTAATCACTTTGACAGATCTGTAACACGGCTGCGGAAATAATGTAATTCTATGCGTCACGAATGGCGAAATCACGAAGATACAAGAGACAAATGGAAAAAAAACTAACTGAATCTGCGGAAAGGAAATACCGAGAGAACATGAGAACCAAGCGGCGAGTAAAAGTATGGAGACAGTATAGAAATGTTTATAAAATCAAATGCTCTGATACCATGTCAAACTTGTTACATTTAACATCAAGGAAATAACTTTTTTTGTGTTTGTTAATCCGAACGTGAGACATACTACTTTGCTTTTCGTGTTTCCTTTTGTTTGTTTTGTTTGTTATTTATTTATTTTTTTATTTTTGTGATCTACTCAATGGAGCGAGCATCAATTGCTTAATTAAACCAATTTTTTCCTCTGTTTTAAACGACTGGACAATATAATTAATATAATCATTGTTCGTGTTCAATGCACCCATTCGATCCGAATCCAGCGACTTTACAATTCCCGCAACGAATGTTTCATTAAATATTCACACGTACATACAGGACACACACACACACACACACACACGCACACACACATACTTTTTTTGCACGCATACACATATATGCGTGTGCATATATATATATATATATTTACTTTATTTATATATTTATACGACTTTTTGTTTTTTTAAGTGTATTTTCCTTATCATCTCATATATAAATGGCATTCTGCATGCTTTCTGTTTTGTTTTATTTCTATCTACGTTTTTTTTTATAGAGATGGGCGAAAGATCACATGTCAGGTCTAGTTTCTCGTTGCTCCGCGGACTGTTGCTCACGTAAATCATTCGAACGAATTTAAAAAAACACTCAACATTTACGCCTTTTGTATATTTTTTAGTATCGCCTATATATTTTAATAATTCAAATCGATGTGGAGTTAACGTGAGAGTTTCCCTTTTTTTTCACGAGCGGAAGAATTATTTCGAATTACAAATGCGAGGCTTGTTCGCTCTTATACATTTACGTATTTGATGGCAAAAAATTGCAGAAACAGCACCTCTCAGTGCTCTCTCGCCCACGCGATTAAATTTAATTATCTTTCTCGCATCTGTTTGATAATTTAAAATATTACGAGCTATGGCGAAGTGTCTATCCGAAGAAGTTCGAAAGACGTGAATTATATATTTATATATAATATACTTTTTTTGTATTTCCATTACGACGTTACATTTTTGTGTGTATGTTTGTTTGAATCGTTACTTATATATTTTGTCTTTTCTCATGCTCAGTTTCTTTTCTTTTATATCGATAAAAATGACTCGATAATCGTGTAACAATAATATTATGCTGATATCGATATTCTTCGAAAGTGAATTACACTTAAGGATTGTATATTCAAAAACCTGCTGAATCGCCCAACACCGTGACACACATCCATTCAACAAGACTTCAAATATTCTCGCGCAAAAAGTTGAACTTTGCGCTTGAACGATGAGCCATTTCATGCTTTTGTCGTTTTGAGTAAGAGGGATGAAAGTAATTAATGTGACCAGCATTAGTTTTTCTTTTATCTTCTCATTTATAATAATATACTATGTTTATATATCATAGTCTCATGTAAAAAAAGAACGGTAAAATTTTGTATTAATAAGTGAAAAATATTTTACTCGTATCATTCAGAAAAAGAGATAAACAATCAAGTTTAGGAATATATCGGAAAGAATGATGGATATATATATGTATATCCATATGATATATATATATATATAGGGTCAAATGTCGGCTTTCAAAGCCTCGTGGCGATTTCTTCCTCTATATCGAGTAGGTCACAGCTGGTAATCTATTGATAATAATAACGAGACTAATAAAATAGCAATAATCATAATAGTAATAGTAATAGTAATAAATCGCAATAATAATTAAAAATGTTATTAATAATTAATGACAATATAACCTAAATAATCGCAGGATCGAGTCGAGTCTCGTACAAGAACGATGGAAATTTCGCGAGAAGCGATGTGTCTGTGTAGTGATGTAAAGGGAAAGACTTTTATAACATTGTTTTGGTTTTTCTTTTTTTTTTCATCGTGTGGTTTTTATTGAAAAAATCATTCGTATATTTTTATCATTTGTTTTGGCGATATAATTGTCTTCTTATAAAGGTCGCGAAAATTTCAATCGCAACTGCGCGAGATTATCGCCCGACTCGTAATTGTAATCATTTCTTTAGCAGTGACTGCAATATAACAGCAATGATTATCCCATTGTCAATCACAAGCATAGGTCGACTAAATCGTGAAACACATTCTTTGTTCACTCGGTTATCATTTTTTGTTATTATTATTAGATTTTTTGTTTATCTCACTTCTAGACGTCAAATCGGCAACGGCCGATGATCAACCGTCGTTAAAACAGCAAACGAAACACCAAACTATTTCTAACAACCAGCTCTCTTAATACACTTTTCTGCATTTATGTTACTCTGCATTTATTTTTCTTATTTATTCGTCGTACTTCATCATGCGCTTTTCCGTCCACCTCTCTCTATTTATTTACTTTATGATTCTTCGAAAGCATTCGTCTTTAGTGATTCCTGTCATCTATCTTCCTGCATCCGAAATGAGGGACCCAGAAGAAGCGCCTTACTCGATGCTCAACTGCTCCGTTACAAGCGTGAAAAGATAGAAAATCCGAAACAATACCCATTTGTTGGCTTTGTTACTCGACCGATCGTGTCTCGCAAAAGAGGATAAAACTATAGTAAAATAATTTGTTTGTCTTTCTCAAAGTCGCTCGCTCACCCATACAAAAAGGAGTTTTACACGTAAGCGCTACACGTCGATGAAATTTTGGAATGCCAATTCTTCTGGGTCCCGCCAGACATTGGCATTTCGTTATAATTATACAGTTACATAGATTCTATATAAATACCTAATATGCCTTCGTATAATACATACCTAATATGCAAGAAGTCGAGTGTGAACCGACCTCGCAACGTAACGTAAATTAGGTACGCAACTTCCGTATGTGTGTGTGCAGGTGTATGTCTGTCTGTAGTGTGTCCATGTGTGTATCAAGTAGAGTGGGTGCTTCGTCCTTACAAGTCGTTAATTTCATCAATCGTGTCGATGTACTTACACACGGTGTACATAGACTATATATGTAAAACGTCGCTGCATATACACAGTGTATGCACGTGTGCACGTGTGACTTTCTCTGCCTGCAGTGTTATCATCATTTTTTATCATCATCATTTTATTAAACGGGGCGCAACATAATTAACGTTATATAATGTAAATATCATATAGATTTTAATGGGTCTAGCTTCTCTTCATCTTTCTCCCTATTTCTTATATATTATTTCATTATTATTAATTAATAGAGACGTCATTATTTCATTTGTTTCATTATCTTTTTTTTTATTCTTCACGTAATTCATCAAGTTTTGCTAACGAATATACGGTGTGTCACACAGGACCGATCAACAGTCGCTTAGGAAAGGGACGAGAGCCACCCTTTTCGTCAGCAGCCACCCGTCTCTCACGGAATATACAATATCTAAACCAAGGACACGTCCGAACGCATTTCTTGTTTCGTTAAATCGTAAAAAGCCTTAAAGGCTCGTCATTTTACAATATAATTTAATTACCATCATCTTTCTTACAATAAAACAATTATTTAAATGGTTCAATTTATACCATGTACGATTACATGTTGCATTTTTGTTTGCGTCTTATCTCAATCTCGTTGAAAATTCTATCAGGATCAAAGGAGCAAAGAGCGAAGCTGAAAGGGTCGATGCTCGGCTCTGTTCCAGGGCGATGCGATCGTCATTATCAATAACAACTATTTATTCCATAAAATCTAAACGATCAAATTCAATTGATAAACGTAACTTTCACTACGGTCCATTTCCCATCACGAGGATCTCTCAAAATCTCTCTCGAAAAGGGGACTGGGACAAGAAAAGAAATGACGAACAAAGAAAATGCATCTGACGAGAGCGAAAACAAGCAGCAGACCGGTGAGAAAAGGCGCGAAAATGGAAGTGACAATTAAAAAAGTGCTCGGCTAAAAAAAAACGTAACGAGAGAAAGAAATATATATAGAAGAAAGAATTTTCATTGAAGGAGTGGAATCTAAACGAGGACTAATTGAATATGAGCACGCATGCTTCTTTCTGTATATATACTGAGGAAATGAACAGTAGGGCATCTCTCACAACGTTAGTTACTCGATGGCAACTCTTAAATCCATCTAGGACTTGGAATTTTTATGCACGATGTTTTGTATTTTTTAATTTTTTCTGTTTGTTCTCAAGCACGCGTAACCTCGAAAGATCAGTGATTCAAAAGAAAACGAAGAATTTTCTCTTCCAACTAGCCTCGTCGTCGTTTCAATAATATATACACACACATATATGTAGTTCGACGCGCGCCTATTCACACACGGAAGGAAGTCTAGAGAAGTACATACGTGTGTGCGCACGCGCGCGTTTGCATCTTCTCAAGACTGTGTTTTTATTTTACTTTATCTTTTTTTTTAATTATTTGTTTCATAATCGACCGTCCTAAGAACGAGAAAATCACGGGGTCGCGCGAGTCCTTTCAAAGGTGCCCGGGCACGACCGGTTTTACACAAGGGGCAGCAGGAAATTAGATATCGTTTCGTCGCACACACTTAGCGCTTCTGCTTTGCAGAATGATCACGGCGACCACGACGACGACGTGGTGCGGAGTTTCATTATTTTTTTGTTTTTTTTCCTTTTTCATTTGCTTGGTTTGAAGATCAATTATTTTCATTTTTTCAGTGTGTAAGATTCTCTAATGCGCATTATTGTTTTTCTTTTGCTTAGTTACGCATAACGATTTTTGTTCTAGTTGTTTGATGTTGCTGATTATTATTTTTTGTTGTCAGATGAACGAGCTGAAGTTCTATAGAGTGTGTGTTGTTTGTTTTTTCTTTTTTGTTTGTTGAAAAAGTTATCCAGAGTCCGAGTTAAGTTAAAGCCTTTTTCACTTGATTAGAGGCGAGTCTAGGTTCGGATTGGGATTAGGCTGCTGCTGCTGTGACGGCGACGATACCTGCGCCGCCCCTTGGGCTTGCTGTTGTTGCGATTTCTGGCCATCGCTCGATGAGCCACCTGAAGTACCGCCTGCAACGCTGCTTCCACCCTCCTTCATCTTCTCGCAGTAGTCGGCGAACACGTCACGGAACTTTGCCCAGGATTTCTCTGGCACTGTTATAGCCGTCCTGAAGTTGGTTTTTACCTGCAAATTAATTGTCACTTAAGAATATTGCACGTTGATTAAATCACGCATTGAAAGTTACATTTGCCCGTCAATTAATTTACACATATAGATAGTAAATCTTGTAAATTTTTCAGAATTTTGATGTACATTTGTTTACTTGTATTTCAAATAACCCAAACAAATTATGATAATATATTCATAAGTGAAATTGGGTTATTGCATTCATATAATGAGCAACAATCTTAGGAAATCAAGTCTTTCCAAGCTTTGACGGGTCTGTCAACGTGCACCGAAAAATAGCACTTTATTTTGAAGCTATGAAACTAAAATAGAACGCACGAGCATGCGCACAAAATAAAACGAGACTGTAGGAGAGTACATTTCATTTGAGACAGCATGATAGTCTAAACTTGTCTTTTAAAACTAACAGAACAAAGTTTTCTTAAAGTTTACAGTCTAAATAGACTCGAAAGAACGTATATATTCTTAGATTGAATTATTCCCAAATCACATTATTAACAGATTGCAAGAATATCAAAATAAAAGTTAATATTTAAAAAATACTATCCACGAATTGAATTGAATATTAAGAAAATGCCAAGGACAGATGATTGGAGAAGAAAGAAAAAAAGGAAAACCAAGAGAAAAAAAAAAGAAAAACAAAGAGACGAAATGACTGGAAGCTTGATGAAAAGCGGAACACCGCATAGCTGCGGACTCCTCCCATCGCTGGCGGGGCAAATCATTAAACTTGACCCGCATACGCACCTCGGAGATTCTCATGTAGATGCCGCGGTTGTTCTGGCCGATGTCGAAGTAGAAATTCTTATTGTCAACGCGCATGTAACGGCCATCGGGTAGATCTCCCTTGAATCCACCGTCGTCGGTGCCGAACTCCTCCAGCAGGTCTGTGAGAGCGTCACGGAACTCGATCATTCCTTGGGCGGGTATTGCAATCTGCGTCCTTGGGCCGCCACGTGTTATCGTTTGCGACACCTGCAACGTTCGCAAAGGCGCACACGCGCGCGCGCGCGAACGATTAAGTCGGATTTGGACCTCTCGCGAGGAGGGCTTGATTGAAGTATTGACGGTCAATGGAAAAATTAAGCGAGAGGTACAAAGCTAAGAGACAGATGTGTCAGTGCGTGCGCGTTGACGACTGACAGAGTAAGAAGACGGTAGAGTTATTTGCTGTTCGGTACATACAGGGTGACTCACCCGCAGGAAACGTCCGCGTGAGTTCTCCTTCAGGTCCAGGTAGTATCGCCTATTGTCTTTGACCATCATTTCCGACTTGAGCTTGCCGTCGTCAGGTACGTTCTCCGGGTTTGGCGGTCCTGCAATGGACAATTATTCATTAGCGCCTGGTGTGCCGCTGCCACTTCTGCCGCTCGCACTACGAATGTGTGACGGATCGATATGCGCGTCTGACCGGATTCAACCATTCTCTACTTATAACTCTGCTGCGCGCTTTTGCCCGTGAGCTTTTCAGAATGCCTATCGATTTTTCGACTTTCCCGCCGCACTGGCGTGTGCTAGGCCGACGAAGCCCGACCTCGAGATAGCAAAAGCCCGCGCCTCGTGTCGACGACACCACTTGACAACGACGTCAAACGACTTGGTGTCGTAATTGTTATTCAATCGGCCGGTCGACCTTCTGCTCGCAAGTCCGAGCTGTAACATGCCGGCAACGCAAAACGTACCTAAAGATGCGTAGTAATCACTAAATGTCGAGAGGTAGTCCCGGAACTCTGACGCGGTACTGAGTGCCAGGAAGATTTGGCTTCTTCTGCCATCGGCTCCGATCTGCGCAAAGAGAGAGAAAAAAAAAAGTGGGTGGGCTGTGAGCGGCGACATGCAAACGCGGATTGAAAGTGAACACGCCAGCGAGGCGCGATACGTACCTCAGCGACTTTGATAAACCTGCCGCGCTTGTTTTGTTTCACATCCAGGTAGAATCGTTTGCTCTGGATCTGCAGCATCTTGGTGGCCAGTTCTTGTTCTCCCTGTTGGCCTTGTTGGCCTAGAAACGTCAGGCGGCAACAAAAACAAGAGGAAAAAATGGACTCGTCAGTGTGTTGCACGGTGTTTTCGATTCTAGGTTGACCGACGACGACGATGACGACGACGAAGGCGATGATAAGGATTATGCCGGTGGCTAATTGACGCGGACGATCGTATATGAGGCTTGAAGGAATTTGTTTGACAAACGTAATTCATGCTCGCAACAACGACTGTGTCCAGTGTATTAGATAATAACAATGTTAGTTATGTCATTAGATAAGTGAATCGACGAACGAACCTGAGCTTCTTTTATATATCTAACGCCTGTCCATTCGGTTGAGTAAACTCGCGGCTGACACTTTTTCTTCAAACTGAGACGAACGATCGCACGACTGCGCGAAATGCCGAAGCCGTGAAACATTCTTTCTGTTCGGCTATCACCGCGATTTCGTATAAACACAGGAATGAGGTAAAAAAAAGATCAATCCTCGACGGAACCGTAGGGAGCGCGATTAACCTATTTCTTTCGGGATCGTGAATTTTCAACGAGCGCCGAACGAAGACTAATTACGGTTTTCGAACGGGAGCCAATTTCTGAGCGATGGCCGGCGTCGTGAGCGGCAACAACACAAGCCAAGCGCACGTGTGAAAGTTATTGCGTTGGCGCGCGGTCAGCGAGGATTCCACGTCGAGGAGGAGCCGGCACAGAGGCGCAAGCGGACTCTCGTGCGATCGGCATGGGCTTCGACATTCTAAAATAGGAGGGAGTATTCGGGCAAATTCGTAGGTTATCGTGCGCGCGCGCGCGCGCGCGTCCGTGTTCGGCGGAAAAAACGTGCCTCCGAAGTCTTGGACTGTCGCTTGTATTATATATATTATTTTTTTTTCTCCATCGAAACTCGCGCGAGGCGCTCGTGATCGGGACCGCGTCGATCGCTGCGCGAGAGCAAGCGCCAGCCTTACGCAAGCCTAATTAGCGGCAGTCCCGCACGCACGTGCGACGGGATAAAGAAGCAAAGGAAATCCTCCTCCGGTCGTGGAAGGAATCCTTTTTCTCGCGCTCGCTCTCTCTCTCTCTCTCTCTGCGGCGGCGATCAATAACAGCTGCGCCACCACCGAGGAGATCAGCGACCTGTTCTCACTCTCTGCGTCTAGCTCTCGAGCATTGCGAGTACACGGATACACAAAGGACCCTGCGCTGAGGATGGCGTGAGGCGTACCTTCCGGATGCCAGTACTGAATTTTGTCCATGGTGTCATCCCACTCGTACGTAACTTTGCTCGGCGACATCGCAACCGCTCAGCACCGCTCGCTTTGGAATTCCCCGCAGCCGTTGTCTCTCTCTCTCTCTCTCTCTCTCTCTCTCTCTCTCTCTCTCTCTCTCTCTCTCTCTCTCTCTCTCTCTCTCTCTCTCTCTCTCTCTCTCTCTCTCTCTCTCTCTCTCTCTCTCTCTCTCTCTCTCTCTATCTCTTTTTGCGTCACGGTTTCTCGACGAGACGACGACCGGTGAACTTTTCACGCAGCTGATCAATGGAGGCTGAATTGCAGCGCTCAATTATAGGTTCGACAAGTGCGCCTTTTCGAAGGCTGTGAACTAACCTACTAATTTACTTTGACAAAAGTGCGAGTGTGCTTTTCGCCGGCAAGACGTTCCGTATCGAAAGCGACAGTTCGCTCCCGGTATTACTCATCGAAATTGGTTAATTCCGCGTCTGATGTGATTTTGATACGGGCTGCTGAATTACAATCCGCTGTGAGTGGCTTACAGACTCTTATCACTTATAAATCACGCGAATTATTGTCGAATAAATTTATCATCGGAACAGAGCCAAAATTAAAATTGGAATCCCGTGAATGACGTGGATCACACATTACAATAAGTGGACAAGAACTTATATTTATACGCTACGCTAAATTAAAAATCCATGCAATCACAAATCATTGACAAAATGTTACATTCGTCTGATAATATCACGGATGTAAGACAAAGGATGTTTAGAAAGTTAGCACCATATCGGAGCCAGTCGCGAAATTGCTCGCACTACAACTGTCCGTGTTGTCGTCATAAAACCAAGCACTGCAAATAAAGCCTCCCTGGGCTCGCAACCAATCTTCTCCGGCACGAAAAGAAAAAAAAAAGAATAAGAAAAGAAAAAAAACAATTAAACAACAAAAACTGTTTGCCCGCGTTGCTGCGGCTTCGGCAGTCGAATAGGAACTGCGGTGGGAAAAGCAGCCCTCGTGGAGTAGTGACCGGCATCGATGACACATCGGCGGAGTGCGATAGTCGTGCGCGGGGAGTCCGCGAAATCGGTGACGCGCGGTCATTCATGGAGCCCGCCGTCATGCGGGAGGAATGCTGGCGGCGGCGGCGGCGGCAGCAGCGGCGCCACGTGACGGCCGGGCTAAGCACCACGTGACCCTGACGTCACGGCCAGCTGACTACTGTCTGTCTCTGTCTCTCACTCTCTCTCTCTCTCTCTCTCTCTCTTTTTCTCTTTCTCTCTCTCGCATACACGCACATAAGCCGCTCCATTTTTACACCCTCTTGCTCGGCAATTTTTCGAATTCTTTTTCTAGATCAAGTTTCTCCTCGGGGACTGTTCCTGTATTAATAGTCACGCGCTCGCGAAAGAGCAACACACCGTGGGAGAGAAAGAAAGAGAGGGGGGGGGGGGAGAGCGAGAGAGAGAGAGAGACAGGAGAAAGAGAGAGAAAGAGAAAGAGGAGAGAAAGAGAGAGAGAGAGAGAAAGAGAAGAGAGAGAGAGCGGCTGTTGCCATGCGAGTAACTGGTTTGGGCTTCCAGGGGGAGCATGTATAAGTACTCACCAGAGTCGAAGTCTGCGCCGGCGGCGTCCATGCCTCCGGAGTTGCCATACTCTGCAACATAGGGACAAAACAGACGGATGTGTAACGACAGTAATGATTTACCGCGTCCGCGGCCGTAATCTCGAGCATCGTTGTCTTCGCGAAAAGAGAGGCACGTGTCCGACTGGCTCGCAGCGAGCTCGCGCGAGTTTATCGCGGAAGCGGGCGGGAAGAGAGGCGAAAAGCAGAAAAAAAGGGAGAATGCTCGCGTAGGCATTGACAGCTGTTGCGGCGGCGGAAAGGGTTAGCTCGAGGCCAGGAAGATTGGTATCGGCCGCGTCGAGGAAGCAGTCGAGTTGGTGCCTGCCCGCTCCCTCCCCGCGCTTCTGCGCCCGTCGCTCTGTCTCTCTCGTGGCACGACGTTCCCGTCGTTCCTCGCGCCGCCGCCGCCGCCACCGCTGCCAATGCCGGCCATCTTGAAATCGTCCGCGCTAGCGCGAGCGAGCAAGACTGACCGAGACTGCCCTCGTCTTTTTTGCGTCGAAACTGACAGAAGCTCTACTCACTCTGGGGCTGCTCGTCGAGACTTTCACGGTCGGACATGGTTACTGCTTGCACTCAACACTAACGCTGCTGCTGTTGCCGCTGCTGCGCTGTTCCGTTTTCCTCGGCGATCCTTCCTTCTTCCTTCCTTCTTCCTTCCTTCTTCCTCCTCTATCTCACTCTCGTTCTCTGTCTCTCTCGCGCGCGCGCTCCTTTTCGCTCACTCTCCTCCTCGATGCATACGCCTCCCGCGGCCTCCTGGCTCCGCTTGGACTCGCTGCTCCGTCTGGTACACAACTCTCCTCGTCCTCGCACGCACCACTCCGTCACCTTCCGCTGCAGCCAGCAACGCAGTCCGCACGACCGAAACTACAGAGCCGATGCCATCCCCGTCTGAAGTGGGCCACTCCAGCACTCTCTCGCGCGCGCTCTCTCGTTCTCTCTCACTCTTACACCACACCGACACACCGAGCCAGGCTGCTGCTCTACGTTCTGCTCGCTCGCTCGCTCGCTCGCTCTGACTTCGCTCTGCTGCCGTGCTGCTGCTGCTGCTCTACTGCTGCCTGCCTGCGGGCTGAGCCTGGTCTAGAGGGAGCCACCAATCCACCGTCTCGTCTGTTCTTTCTCTCTCTCTCTTCTCTCTCTCTCTCTCTCTCTCTCTCTCTCTCTCTTTGCTAGCAGCAGCAACTACCATCGACTCGCGCTAGCTCGGTGGACGGCGATAGCGCCAGACCAGAACAGAGACCGGCTGCGCGCGCGTCGTCTGCTTCCTCCAACATTTTTGTTTCCACTGCCCTCTTACACTCTCGTTCATACTTTTTCTTAGCCTTGCTTCACATACTCACGAGTTTTTTTTTAGGTACTTCCCAGATGCAAAGTTTCACTGGCTTCTAGTTACATACATAGATTTTACTAAGCGTTTCAGTACCCAGTGGAACGTGGGAGTGTGTGGACTTGTCCGATCGGGCACGGCGTTACTCTACTTGAAATACGCTGCGGCATGTGCGATCGCATTGTTTAACGCGCTCTCTATTAGGCCACAGGTGCAATGTCCTTCTACTGGTTATCAACGATCAACAAGACGATACTTGCTGTCGATTCCATTGTCGGTCGAGTTTTGCAATGGACAAAATAAATGCAAATAACGAGAGACGAAGTCATGCGTAATTATTTAAATTCAGTGCCAAAACAATGCTTTGTTTCTTAATTCGTTGACAAACGTCACCTCGCCATCCTTGTTTTATCAAATTAACCGTCCTCTGTCGTCAATTGGCTCATTTCTTTACCTTTGTCTAAAAAATAGATATCTCCGTAATCACGCTTTAGTTGTTAAATCATTGTATCTTGATTCCTAGACTTCAAAGTAAATTGATTCTTATTGTATTGGAATTTTCAAATATGATAAGCCGTTGACCGATAATTACCGTTGTTATTCTTTTGTTCTCTGTAAATATGGATGTAGCTATTGAAACTCCAGCTGCAAATAATTGTATAAAAGCAAGCGGGAACAAAGGATAAAATCGACAATTGAAATTTTTTTTGAATCGTTTTATTAATATTTTTTAAGCAAAACACAAAAAAAAAGAATTAAAGTACAGAGTTATTCCTTAACTTTATTCCGATACAGTAAGTTTTCTTCATGAAATTGTACAGCAACATGTCTCGTGTTTTATTATTATTATTTTTTGTGTATTTTAATCGTTTTAAACGATATCGCATATAGAGATAGATGCACTTCTATGTACGTGTTTTCATTTTCCAGCGTGTACTCGTTTATCTATTTATCCGTTTGATCTGTTTTATGGATGCATTGTATAAGATTTTCGCTGTCGCGCCCACACACATGATAATCAACATCGATTAATGAGCTTATATGATTTCGTTGAGCCCGTATTACAACTAAGATCCATTATTACGATGATATGCGATGCAATGCAGTGTGATAATGGCTAGACTGACGGGATGATCTATCGAATGTTTATTGTTTTGTTTTTTATCTGCTTTTCGCCTTTTTTGTCGCTATCGCGCCTGTTTTTCAATACACGATCCGCGGTGTGCATAAGGAGATGCGTTTACGATTAGAAAAAATGGCCGCCACAGAGAATAAGGCACACAATTGATGCAACGCGCTCGCTCCTTCATTTTTCCCCCATTTTCATTTCCGAACGGATTAGCGATATTACACGAGCTTCTATCATTGTGTAAAAGATATACAACGCTGCTCGTCAAGAACGTAAAGCACTTTCGGATATACATTATAAGTGTACACTTTTTTCCTCGTAAAAGAACACACACACAGAGATTCGAACAAAACTCGAGGGAAAAAAACCACCGATCGCAAGATATCTTCCACTTTCTCACCCGACAACGCCAGCTCGAGGGCTGATGAATACACGGTTATGCCGAGGCAGCTTGTTCGTCACTTTTGACGATATTCATCATCGTCCGCGAGGTCCATATTATCATCTCTTTTCTCTCTCTCTCTCTCTCGCTCTCTCTCTCTCTCTCACGTGTCGTATCTGAAGTGTGATTTTGTCGTAACAGGTGTGCCTCGATGTGTGAGTGTGTGTATGTATGAAAATTGCGCAAGGAGTAGTCTTTTTCGTTTCTATGTTGTTTTATCGATCAACTTTTGTACGTTACTGTTTCATTAGATTGCTACGTATGCGTGTGTATACAATAGAAGTCTGCGGTCATCCAGTCGCTCGCTTTTCAAAAAGTCATCCTGTCGACTACGACACATCTACTTTTTTCCTCTTGCTGCCTCTATTAATCTACAGCTACCGTACCTACGTCAGCCTGCGTCAGCCCGAATCTTGAGCTATTTCGTACGCTAGCGAATAGCTCCAATTTTACGATTCAATTTGTTTCACTGGAATTTCGTCATCAACTACGATCTTTCGTCTAGGTGGACTATTCGTCTAATATCGATGTAATATCCGTGGAATTCATGCCGATCTAGTTTTACTTTACCGATTATAGTGAGCGAAGCTATCGCGATAGCCAATTAGCAAGGCTTTACATAAAAAGCAGAAAAGCTACAATTCAGCCGTGATATCGTTCGTCTGTCGACGACAGCGTAGGCGCCACGTTTCAAAACACACAGTTCTGTTTCATAGACTCGTGATGGAGGAATAAAATGATATACATACATACATATATGAATATATATATATATATATATATATATATATGTATATATTTATTTATTTATTTATTTATTTATTTATATATATATAATATGAAAATTCATGATCATCAGCAAACTTCAAGATCTTAAGAGATTTATATTGAGAGGGTTTGTAAAAAATATCCTCTAATCACATGTGTATATAGCGACGACGAGTCCTAGACACACGTCACATCATATCTATAATCACATCATCAACAACAAAAACAACAGACAATTATTTTCATTTGTCTCTCCCATTCTCTTCCTTTGTTCATTTCTTAGTTCAACAATCGTCGACATGTTGCCAACACTCTAACGCTTTGGTTTATCGTTTCATCGTCAGCCTTCTCGGACTAGCATCTAACAATTCTTTCACTTTCTTTTGTGTTATTTGTTCGGAGGCTAAACGTGATAACGATTTTGCGAAAACGCTTCGCATGCAAATGTATAACAAGGTAATCGATGAATTTCGATTGGTAGTTTATCGTTATTTTCTTGGTTTCCTTTTTCTAATTACATTATCATCACATAATCTTAGAGATATAACCTGGCGAGCATCGTGATCATATTAACGGAATTGGGCTTGGCTCGTTTTAAATCTAAAAACGTGTAATTCGAACTCGTAGAAACTTCTATCATTCGAAAGATATCTCATCTTGTGAAACGAAGTTACATAGTAATTAGGAACCTTAAACATTAGACAGTTTTTTCTCTTTTTGTTTGAATGTGTTTTTCACTTTGCACGAAAAAGTAAAGAAATAATGTATACGAACCCTCGAAGGATTTAAAAACCCATGAAACATCCACCAGCGATGTAGGGAACAATAAAAAGGGGCGTTGTCTCACTTGTAAAAGAAGGGGGGGGGGGGGATCTGGGGTGAAAAGAGGAATTCGCGGATGAAAACGCTGACAGGCTATTTACAAACGCAAAACTTATCATTTGGAACATAAAGTATAATCGTCGTCGTGCATAGTGCCGATCCCCGCAAAATTGGAATAAACGAATAAACGTCGTATAAAGGGAATCAAGCATCGACGGACTTTCGCACTGCGTTTGTGTTCGCGAGTACCGTCGAACCTCGGGATTATCGGTTCGAGTGGCGTCATGATCGGAAAAAAGAAAGAAGCGAAAAAGGGAAAGGAACAAGGTAATGTAACAACAAGATCAAGCTCGTTGACACATTAGAAAAGTCAGAAACAGAAGTTTCGTGGTACTTGGGCAATACACGACGATCACGCGAGGAACGGAGGACGGCCATGACACGAGGTGACCTCTAGTCATTGGATGTTACAGCAATGGGCCTTGCAAGGTATCGGGCCCTCGGCAGGATTGGTGCGATAGACCGGCGAGCCTATCTGGTAAGGCAAGAACTTGCCGGGGACATTGTAGTAGCTCTCGTAGACTTCGAAGGCTTCGTCGACAGGCAGCCTCGGGTCGTAGCAAATGCACTTGTCCGGCGTGACGATCGGCACCACCATCTCCGTAATCTCGTCTTCGTCGCTGCTCTCCCCTCCGGAACTATTTGGCACGACTTTGGCCGGCTCCGCAACTTCGTCCTCGATCAGCCGGTAATATCGCAGTACATGTCCCATATCCTCACGCTTGTCCTCCTCTTCCGCCAGCGAAGTCGAGTCGTCGTGCAGGACTTTCTTAGGTGTCGCGATCGGCTCGACGGTCTCCGGCTCCCAACACTCAAGAACCAGATCTGGTTCCTCTATGCTACCAAGGGACGCTCCCATGCTCGCACAGCTGCTGCTGCTGCTGCTGCTGCTGCTGCTATTTCTTCTTGTGGCGACAGTCTCGACGAGCAATAACTCGCCATCCATCGACACAACGATTTCACCTTTCTCGTAAGTCTTCACTTGCTGCTCGCTCGTTGCATCCTCGTGGTTGATCCGAGATTTTTCAGCAACCCTCATGCCCGCATCCCTATCCTTCACGGTCGGCTCGCTCGCCACCACGCCCGGTGGATCATCTGCTGCTTGCACGGAAATAGACGGTGTCTTTGATGCCAAATCTGAAAAAAAACCACCATACATCTCATTATCATAAACGTTGGATAAATTGCAATTAGCAAAGCAGTTATACATTTCGCCAATCGAAATAAGCCCCCTCCCCATCAATTACCACGTCCATCCCTCCTGATCTTCTCTAATCCATATCCTCATTCTCATAATTATCATTCGGATTCATTCAACAACTGTTAAGTACCATTATAGAATGCTTAACAAGATGTTATCTTTGTTAACTTTGCACCGTTATCATTTAAGCCTAATCGAGCGTCCATATTGTGGTAATTGAAGCCTTATCTTTCGACAGTAACAGGCAGCGAATTTTCCATTAACTTTTCTTAGTCGAATTGCAGCACTGAATCATCTCAACCTCTCGTTCATCGCATTGTTCAACTATCGTGGTACACTTCGATCGCGAAAAGTGAGTGCGCGAGAGCATACAAGTGGAGATACTGATACGCGACTGCGAAAATTGATGGGGCTACCATCGGCAGTTATCTTATCGGCCAACGCGCGCGCCGAGAGAGCGTCAGTACCTTGTTTGCCACACTGCTCCGACTGATCGCGCTTCCGCCCTAGCTTGCTCTTCTTCTTTCTGTGCTTGCAGCTGCTCTGTGCGCTGGAGCTGGCGAGCTGTCCGTGACTGGCCTGGCCATTAACAGATAGTGCAGGCATGGGGTTGCCTTGCAAGTTTTTTGACTGATTGTCCTCGTCTCCTTTCGGCTCCTCGTCGTCGTCGTCGTCATCGTCGTCGTCGTCGTCGTTGTCACTCGCCGCCGACGACGTGATGAACAGGTCCGGCGAATTGGCGCGTTTAAGCCACTCGTTGACGGCGTCGGTGATGGGTCTGGACTTGCCGGCGTCCGCCTCTGCCGGAGCCGCCGTCGCCGCCGCCGTTGCCGCGCCGGTGCTCTGGCTCTCGAAGCCCGAGTCCGTTTCGTCGGCCGTCCGCGATGTCGCGCAGCAGCTCTCCGACGTGATCGAGCTGTCGTTGTGCCAGCCACTCGCATCTGAATCAACACAGAGGACAAACACGTAGGCGCATCCCGATTTAACGGCGGGGAGCGTCAGCAAACGTTATTCACGCGAGCGCGAGATTCTTTTTTCGTTCTTCGCGTGCGTTAGTTCGGCTGCATGCACGACGGCTCGCCGAGTGCACGGCAACGATTGCTAGTTTCATCTACGCCCAGCTTCCGTATAGCTGCGATTAGTGTGATTAAATTTGCGCGGACGCGACCTATCGATCGCATGAGTAAGCTGAACGCGTAATAACGATTATAATACGGATCGATAGAGTTAGCCAATTATCAAATGCCAAATACTCAAGATTGCTCGTTATCGTTTGATCGGCCTTTCGGGGCAAATAATAGCTCGGATATATGTTTTTGTTCGCAGACAATGCCCGATCGTAATTTTTGCAGGCCCTCTCTGCGTGCCACCGATTTCTTCAGGTATAACAAGGCCAACAGCTATTCGAACTCCGCCGCGATAAAGCGCTGGAAGAGGCACGAGCTATACGTCAACATGCAGTAGCGAAAGAATCCTTGCTGCGCAACCGAACGATCAGCGCAGCTCCTGCACGATGGATCCCACTTACCAACGTCTCCAACGTCCGTCCTCGGCGTCTCGATAACACTCGCGGCAGCAAGCATCGCGGCGGCTTGCTCGATCGGTCCGTCGTCGTTGTGATTCACTGCCTCGTTGACCTCGTCATCGTCGTGTCTCTCCTCCGTCGCGACGTCGCAGAAGTCGGGCCCCGGCGTCGGCTCCCTGACGATCTTCAGCGAGCGTCGCCTTGTCTTTGGCTTGACACTCTCCTCTTCCGGCACTTCGTCTTCCTCGACTCGCCCGTTCTTGTCGTCGTTTCTCAGTCTTTTATCTTCGTTGCTGAGCTGCTGCTGCTGCTGCTGCTGCTGCTGCTGCTGCTGCTGCTGTTGCGGCTCGCTAGACTCCATGGAAGCATTGGCCTCGGGCAAGTGGAACTCTTGACACTCGGGGTTCAAAGGCCAACTGGTAGTCTTCGTCGCCGTCGCCAATTCGGTCGGCGGCCAAGGGACTCGGGACGGCGACGAGAGACCCGTATCGCCCTCCGAACTGTAGTCTTCTTCGTCGTCGTCCTCCGTGTTACCCTGCGCGCGAAGCAAAATTTTCGTTGGCTTTTCTTAGACTGCGGCCCTCCCCCCATCCCATCGTCACCAAAGTTGTCGACGCTTAACGTAATCTTGACTGCGATAAAATGAATTTAATGTTTGCCCGTGTCTGAATAAATGTCGATGTCTTACAAGCAAAACAGCCCTAGAATTGGTTTTGTCGAATACACGAATGTACAAAAGAACGGCCTGTCTCGCCCGTGGACCTTGAAAATGATAAGCATCCGAGCTCGGAAGCGCTCCGTAAACCACCAAACACCGTCGTCGTAAAAGAGAAAACCATCGTCGACGATAAGCTGACGTTTTCCGTGTGAGACGACAAAAGAAAAAAAAAATAACAGGAACGTAACGAATGGATACGATACTCACGAGAGCATGCGGACGTTTCTGCTTCTTTTTCTTCTTCTTTTTCCGGCGCTTTGCCGCCGCGGAGCTCGCCAGCATGTCGCTGCATCTGAGCATGGGCCCACTTTGTATAGTCACGCCTTGTACATGGAAGAAAAAAGAAGAGGAAAGTCTTTTCGTGACTGCACCAGAGCCGAGGGCGGCGAGGATCGTCGCGCGAGAGGGCGATCTTCCCTCGCGCGCCGGTGAGACGCGCGTACAAGAGCCAGTACGACTTGCTAGAGACAAAGACGTGCGTTCGTGCGTGCCAGAGTGTGCGGGTGAGCGAGGCTGGAGGGGGGAGGAGAGAGAGAGAGAGAGCTGGTATTTTTAATGGCTGACATTTAGAGCGGCGAGAGAGAGAGAGGGAGAGAGAAAGAGGAGCCGTGCCAAGTCCGCCAGCTCTGCTGTCCTCTCCGCGAGCGCGGCTTTATTTTGCGTGGATCAAGCCTGCGCAGGCGATTGCTTTGTTGCGCGTGAATTGGCGAGCTACGGCTACGAAACAAAATAATAAGTGAGGAAGTGCACAGGCGAGTTGTTGCGAATGGTTGTTTACATTCTCGAACGTGAACTTACGCATCGGAGACAATGATTGTCAGGCGAGATTTTTCACTGGAAAAGTCTTATTTCATGAGGGAGAGGTGGAAAAGCGGCCACAACAAAGGAATATAGGTCGACCGAAAGGATGAAAAAAAAAAAAAAATTTGTTTATTTCGATGATTCGTCAGTGCCTGCTCGCTTACGGTGACGCTAACAGTCGTCTTAGTCGGCTAATTTATTTGCGTTCAATTGTTTCAAACCGATTTGCATTTTTACTCGGAAAAATTATTAGAGAATTGATCGAGTAAACAAGTGATCGATGTCGATGAAATGTCATAAAAATGACGAATTATGGTTCTCAGTCACGGCGAAGATTGCGCGATCCAACGATGGATCAATTCGTTATTACTAATGCGAAATGAAATTATCAACTGCGTTGAACTAAGTAACGACTGATGAAAGAATTTCTTTTATTTTGTCAGCGAGCAAAATGTTTTGATGGATGGCAACTGAGGTCACTTTTTTCACACAAAAAAGTAAGACACACAAACACAAACGACATCGAGAGATAACTCACGGAACAGACATCAAGAGAGAAAAAAACGGAGGAGAATACGCATACATAGATCCGAAGTCAGAAATGAAATGAAGAATGCTGGCGTGAGCGAAAAATCTCGCTTGGAATTGACGCGCGTGCGTCTTTTGTGGGTGTACGTGTGTGTACGTGTGTGTGTGTGTGTGTGTGTGTGTGTGTGTGTGTGTGTGTGTGTGTAACAACAGGCGTAAATGGAGATTACCTGTTACCTTGAATGTGTCAGAGGTACTGCGGTTATAACACAGCAGTGATGCCGGTGGACGGGACAACAGCAGTCGTAAATCTGCCCGCATCCCTTGGTAGGAGTTCGTGCGACTGCTCGACCGCATCGTCGTCATCGACATGGTGGTCGTTCCGCGCGCAGACCGAGGCACATTCACAAGAAACAAAACTCATCACGGTCTAACGCCACTACCACATACCCAATAACAACAACAACAACAACAATAACAACAACAACAGCGGCCAACAGGCAGAACGACAAAACAAAGAAAAAAACAATTCTCAGCTGCGTGTGACAGTCTCTACTTGTACCGTTCCGACAAGCGCGCGAATCTCAAGCCAGTCGCGGCGACGACAAAGAAAGAGGAAAAACGAAACTAAAAAGTGAGGAGCGAAAATTGGCTCGCTCGGCTGCCTCGTGTGCGCAAACACACCAAAGTCTAGGGGTCGAGCGGGAACGCAGCGGCAAGAGAGTGGCAGAGCCAGCTAAGCACTAACCATTGACGTTGACCAGTGGCGGCCCGAACATGTACTGGCCGGGATAGAGGTAGGGCACGGGCTGGGGCTCGACGTAGGGCGTCGCCTCCACGGGGCCAAAGTCCATGGGCAGGCCGAGCACGTCCGGCTGGTCGAGGAGGGGCGCCGGCGGCTGCTGCGCCGCCAGCTCGGCCATCTCCTGGTCGGCGGCGGGCAGCGCGCCGCAGGACTCGTCGACGTCGTCGGCCACGCTGCCCGAGGCCGAGGCCGAGGCGCTGCCCGCGAGGCTCGCCTCGTTGCTCAGGCCGTTGCTCAGCGGCACGCCGTGCGCGTCCAGCAGCGTCGCCGTGCAGTCCGCCGCTGGCGCCTGCGACGGGTGCACACGGGTCAGAAACGGCGGCGTCACGACGAGTCGAGCCGGCCGCTCGCTACCTGATAGTCCATGTAGCAGTACTGCTGCGAGGCGAGCTTCGGCACGAAAGCGGGGTTGACCCACTCGATGGGCCTGAGAGGCACCGGCGCGCACGGCACCGCGGCGCAGGGCACGTGGTGCAGCTGGTCGGGCGGCAGCGCCGGTCCCACCAGCATCATCGGGTACTCGTAGTAGTAGCCGCTCGCGTGGTCGTAGTAAGTGCCGTAGCTCATCGGTGCCGCTTCCATTACCGTCGCCGCGCCACCGCCGCCGCCTGGCAGATAGTCAGTTGCCGCCACGCTGTCCAGCAGCTGCTGATCCTCCGCCGCCTCGCTACCGTCTGCAAGAGTGCTTGGGATTGCAGAAGCAGCCCGTTTGTTCGTTTGCAGTGTCGCGCCGGATGGCAGTCTCGGCAACGAAGGACTGCCTCTCGACAGCGTTCGCTATGGGTGCGCGCGCGCGCGAAAGCTCTCGCAAGCTTCTTTTCTTTTCTCAAGAAAAAGCCACTTGCTCCGTACATCGCCGCGGCTGCGGTATGTCTTTATTTCGAAAGGTACCTCGAGCTGCGCGCTTTCCGATGATCCGCGTACGTGCCCGTGGCGTGACCGAAGACCAGTTGCGTCAAGAAATTAAAAATAATTGCGAGCGGGCGGAATTATGCAAATCAGGTTGGGATTTCTGCTGCGTTATGTAGAATTGCAGGCGCGCAGCGAGCGTTTTTGGCTCGACGCCTCGCTCTCGTCTATTTCTACAGGTGCAGTTATATATCACTCGCCTCGCTCGAAGCCTCGCGACTTAATGGAACGATGATTCGTCTCGTTAACGTGCACATTGACGCGCGGAGCGGAGGATCGGCCGATCAGCGCAGCCTGATTTCGGATCCGAAAGGCCGCGAGGGTGCGCGCGCGACTTTGGAAAAGCTGCAGCTGCAGCTCCGGGAAGCGCGCGAATCGAAAATCGATCAGCCGCGGCTGTGAGAAAAGAGAGGAAAGACAGAGAGAGAGAGAGAGAGAGAGAGAGAGAGGGAGCGGCACTGCGGGGAGCTCGGCACTATACCTTTACCTGCGGTGGAGTGGGAGGCGGACTGGCTCTCGGCGGTGGACGGCGTGGCGCTGGTGCTGGCGTACAGCTGCTTCCTCTGCGACAGGTAGCCCTTCTTAAAGAGCATGTCCTGGCGGGGCGTGGTGATCTTGGTGTACTCGTCCTCGTTGAAGGCGACATTGCGCGACTCGCCGCTCGCGTAGCCACTGGACGAGCCGCCGTTGCTGCTGCTGCCGGCGCTGCCGTGGCGCGACTTCAGCCAGGGCTGCTGGTGCTGCTGGTGCTGGCCGCCGCTACTGGCGTGCTGCTGCTGGCCATAGTGGTGATGATAGCCGTTGCGCTGCGCCGGCTCCTTCGCGTAGCGCGCGGGCGAGCGCTGCTCCGACTTGGCGTAGCTGGTCCGCTGCTGCGAGCCGTCCTCCTCGTCCTCCTCGCCCGGGGGAGCTGCAACGACAACAGCGCCGATGAGCACCTCCGCCAAGCGACGCGCGGCTCTGTCGTCAAGGCACCGTCTTGGTAGCGCGCGAACAGCAAGGCGAACTTGGCGGAGCCGATCACGCGGCTGACCTTTGTCAGCTTGCGCCACTGCATGATAAGGCGCGCGCGGTCGGCCGAGCAGCAGAGTCGAGGGAGCGCGCGGGGCCGAGAGAAGCTTCTGCGAGGAGCGCGAGGCTTGCACTAGACCGAACCGATGCTTCCTCCGTCGCTCTTGCGCGCGCGCGTGCTATCGACCAAAATAGACGAGAGCAGAAGAACGAGAGATGTCGCGACGGCCTCGTTTAAACAATCGACCAAATTTTTCACTTGGCCGACCCGCCGCTGATTCCTCGATGGACCGTCTCCAGCCGCGACGGCTATCGCGACGAGACGCTGTTATCGCTCGTAACTCTCCGCCCCCGGATTTACGTACGCATTGCTCTTGGTCTCCGCTTCGTTCCGATAAATCGCTATGCAGCGCTGCTCTCGTCGTTTCCTCTTTCGCGTTTTCTCGTTGCCGCAACGCGACGCAAGCTGCACGCCCGCTCAAAATTCCCACCGGCCGTTGACTCGGGCCTCGCACGCAAGCTCGCGAGAACGTCGCCGCGAAATCGAATCGCAAGCTGCGAGAAGGAAGGAGCGGCGATCGCGCAAGCGCAGCGAGAAAAATGCTTGCGCTCGATGAGGCCGCGCACCCGGGGCTAATTTTAAAAATGTGGGATAGCCATTCAATTGAATAACTTGCAATGCTTTTAAGCGATACGCGACAGTTACATCGCGTAATTGGACGCTCGGGATATCGAAAGCACCATTAGAGAGGCATTAATAACGCTGGAACTCCGTGCTGACTAAATATAATTAGCATTGAGCCATTCGTAATAGTGCGAAAAAAAAAATTTGCACGTGACCCAAATTCGCAGTAGCGAAGTGTTTGATAGCCGCGATCGTCCTCGCTCGAAAAGAGAGCAGCGATAAAAAAAAATGCCCATACTTATCTCCCCTCCGAGAACTTCCTAAGGCGACGCATTTATCATTCGGCCGATAATTCGGCCGAACGCCGTTGCGCCAGCGAGCACCTCCGAAAGGTGAAGGACCTCTGACAAAACTCCGCGATCCCATTAGCCGGCGAGTCGGATACATACGTTTACGCACGCGCGACGCCAGATCCATTTGGCAGAAAAATCGAATCAGTGTCGAACGAAGCCATTAGTCGGTGACCGCCCGCGGTCCCGACATGGAATTCCTCGCCTCGCGGGAGAGTGCGAACAGGAAAGAAAGAGAGAGAGAGAGAAAGAAAACGCACAGTCGCTGTTAATTTTAGAAGCTCTTAGCTCGGCGGCTGCGAGACGCCTGTCAACTTAACGGTGCAGCGCCGTCTTATTTCGCTCGGCGGATTTTAGTTGATTAGCAATTTGTCGCTTGGTCGATCATTATTATTATTCATTACTCGTTGGTTGCGCAAAGGCGCTGCAGCTGGCGGATCAAGGGCTCGCTCCCCCCCTCCACTATCCCCGAGGCTGACGCAACTTCTCGAGCTTTTGCCGGCGACGGCCGCGCGGACTTTTGGACTTCTAGGCCGCTCGATCGCGCGTCCGCGACTTGGTCGCGTCATCCCGCGCGGGCACTAGCGACTCGTCGAGTTACGAGAATCTCGCGCTCGCGCTCCGTTAACGGATGGGGGCTTATCGCTTTCCAATAGCGTTCGCATTACGCGGAGCGTATGCCACGCGGTTGGCGACATTACTTCTACCGGGACCGGTTCGAGCAACACAATGCGCGCCTGGCAATCAGCAGTGCAGAGTCGAGAGAAAAATTTGCCCGGCGCCTCGTTACCTTTTCTCACGGTGTGTGCGAGACGCGAGCGCGACGAATTCACGTTGGTTCGGCTGTGCGCCGATCGAGTCTACGGGGAAGAAGGCCCCGCGCTGTTCCCGGAGGCGAGTGCGCGCGCCGCATGTAAGCCGCGGCACGAGGATTCAAAGTCAGTGGCAGCGAGCTTGCGTAAATTAATTCCAGCGGCTGCGAGCGCGGCGTGATCTATAAGCGGCGCCGAGTCCGCGGGCATTTCTAAAAAACCAAATCGAAGCTGGACTCTCCCGTCTATTTTGCCCGAGCAGAGGCCGGCCCAGCTAGAATAGCAGCCGGAGTAAAAAAAGAAGAGGATAAGGTGGCGCGGCGTGTCTGGTTGCCGAGCTCGAACGAGATGAAGGGTAAACGCTCGGCAGTCATCGAGGCCTAGACGAGCGCGCGAGCGGAGTGCGAGCTTGCGGTCATTTGGAGCGCAGGACCGTTATAGAACGGCAGCTAGGCACATTGTTGAAAACATCCGCGTGCGCCCGAGTCTTTCCCCCTCGCTCCTTATGACTTGCTCTTCGCGCGGGATTGACGCCCCGAGCGTCGTCGAGAGCCGAAACGCGACTGGAGAATGCGCCGGTAACCTCGACGGGATCCCGCTCACGACTATCTCGTGCCAATTTTCGTCGGCTCGCTTCCACTCTGCTAAGCGCCCACGTAATTAACGGACCATTTTCCCGATGCGCGAGCGAATTCAACGGCGAAACGAAACGCGCCGCGCGCGCTCCATTCACCGACGGAAAACAGGTCGCCGAGGCGAACAGTACAATGCTCGCAACAGTTATGCAAAACATTATTCTCCCTCTCCCTCTCCCTCTCCCGCTCCCTCTCCCTCTCCCTCTTTCTCATTCTCTCGATTTCGCGCGTTTGCGTTTCTCGCGAGGAAAGAAAAACAAAGTCGCCCGGGATAAAGCCAAGCGAAACGACGACAACGTGACGCGGCACGTATTGTCAACAAAACGCCGAACGGCAACAAGTTTTACGGTAAACGCCTCACGCGATAGCTTATCTGAAGAGACACTATCGCGGCGCAGACAGAAAAATACTGTTGCGAAAGGCAAATGCTACGAGAAAGAAAAAAAAAACACGCACGCGCAGTTGTCATTGGATGCAATAACCGGATCGCCGAGCGAGCGCGAGGAGAAAAAGGTGGCTCCGGGCTACGAATCGCGTTCCGGGGAAGTGACAACGCTCGGTGCATACAAATGTGTGCAAGGACTCGCCAAGGTGGACGAGGGACAAACTCGCGCTCTGTATTGTTTTTCCTTGCTCTCTTCGATCCGCGGAATGTTCAGCAACACAGGAGTTTTAACGATGCCGCGCATGAGCAAACAAGTGGAACAGCGACGACGCTTATCCGCGCGTCCGATATCTGCGCGCTCGGCGGGTGGAGGAGGAGGGGGAGATTTCGCTGGCGCGACGCGAGCTCGTCGATTCGACTTTCACCGATTCGCGAGACGGAGAAGCTCGACGGCGAATGTGTTTCGGCTCCAGTGCGCGCCGACGGCCGTTGCATAACCGAGTGGGACAGTCGGGAAGTGAGAACAGTTTGGCAGATCCGACTCGCACGTGAGGCGCGGCGCGTATATATAACTCACGCGCTCGCGTGACATCGGTCAGACGTGTGAAAAAAAATACATAAAAAAATAGTGAGAGAAAAGGAAAGGTCGACATTGCGTAATAACGATGTTTCTGCCATTTACGAATGATCAACGAGCCCTTGACTCTTCTGTCTTGGGCAACTTCATGCAACGCTGAGATTAATGGTCCCGAAGACACCGGAGAGCAATTAGATCCAAGACAAAAGCTGAATCGACGGAGCGCGAGCTGAATGGGTTTCGCTTCGGGTAGGTCAATCCCCGAAATTACCACGCGGTATTCTCGGATCCGATTGTACTGACTGCGGGTTTTTCCCTCTTCTTTGTCGACTCGACCCATGAAAAAGTGTCGTTGACGCTTAATTATTGCGTTGGAAGAAACTCACCTCGGTCGATGCTCGGGCACGCGCGTGCACACACATACACACTCGTGACTTTGACGAGCTTCGTGCGAAACACTGCAAATTGCACATTTGACTAAGTGGCAATTTCGCGGCAGGCCGTGAATATTTTTCAATTTCTTTTCCTTTCGTCTCTCTCTCTCTCTCTCTCTCTCTCTCTCTCTCTCTCGCTCTCTCTCTCTCTCTCTCTCTCTCTCTCTCTCTCTCTCTCTCTCTCTCTTTCTCCCCTCGACATGTTTGTTCACGCGCGAGGAATTTCGTTGTAACCAGTTTCAATTTTAAAATTTAAATGGAAACGTCGAACAACGCGCGCACGAGAACGCCCAATATCGCAGCCGCGACCGACGACTTTTTCGGCAATCAGTGAAACTCATTGCCTAACTGATATTTCTCCACGTTGCGTATTCTCGCGAAACGCAGCGCGAGCTTCGAGAGCTTTCCACGATCACCTGGTCGCTTGGTCGTTGTGAAATTGATTACACGCGCGACGTCGAAAAAAAAGGGAGAAAAAAAAGGAATTTAATTTCAGCGGGTCATCATCGTCATCATCATTAGCAGCAGTAGCAGCAACAGGAACAGCAGCAGCGCCGGCAGCACGCCGCTGCTCCCGGCAATTCGCTCGATGCATGTGTGTGTGCGTGTGTGTGTGTGTGTGCGCGCGCGCGCGTCCTGATGCGTCGTCGCGCGCGGGTTGCGTAACCGTCACGCGAGAATCCAACAAGGTCTACGTACTGCTACGAAGGAGCACGTGCGATCGCGAAGTCGCCCGAAAAGTGAAAAATAAATAAAAACCGGCTTGCGCGCGCCTCGCGACGATCGCCCTGCGGGGAAACAGACAGGCGCTGAGCTCGAGGCTGCCCACTGAACCTCGGTCGCGCTCGAGGATTAAGCAACGGAACGTAGAAGCTTCCGCCCGGCGGAAATTGGCCGAGACAAAGGAGTGACGGACGGAGAAGGGGGGGGGGCCGGAGCCTGGACGTTGCTCGCCGGGTTACATAACGACGAGAGGGAACAACAAACAAACAAGATCGAAGCGTTATCGCGTCGGTCTTTTTCGGACGTTACCCTGCTCGCCTGTATATCGATTGTAGCCGGGCAGCCTATAGCACGTGGGGCTGCCCTTGTTACGCTGCCTCCGCGTCGTCGTCGTCAGCTCGCGGAAGGGAAAACGAAGATACTCGTCGCCGACTCTCCTCTATAACCTAGATCGCGGTGCGAACAAGAGAAGGGCCTTGAGGCTCGCGATAAACATTACGTAAAGGGTGCCGCGCGGCTGTTGTGGCCCTTGTGCAACGGGGCACGCACGCGGAGACTATTAATACAAGGAGGCGGCGGCGACTGCAAAGCTTCGGCGAGTGAGCGAGAAAGAGCGAGAAGGACGGAGTGCGAGAGAGAGAGAGAGAGAGAGAGAGGAGAGAGAGAGAAAGAGAGGGCGATCGATTCGGAGCTTGCGCTGGCTTGCCTCGGCGCGCGAGCATTACGTCACTTACTGCCGATGCTGAGGGTCCTCCAGCGCGTCTTCCTCTTGGCGCCCTTCTTGCCCATGTTGGCGTCAACGGCAACCCGAGCGCCGCCTCGTGCCGCTCAGCTGCATGGGGCCTGCCTCCTTGCCTGTCACTCGCCGGCACAGCTCGTCGACGTACTCGCGGAGCTTGTCGCCTCTTGGGCGGCCCGGTCCGCGCCGCGCACTGACTCTCGCGACTACGCTGTGGCTGGCGCTCCCGTGAGCTGCTCGCGAGAACCTGCGCCAACGACCGCGTCCCCACTACTGCTGCTGGCCGAGCGGCAAGTGCATCACGGCGGCTGCGCGCGCCCGCCCACCCGCCCGTCCGTCGTCCTTCCTCGACACTCGCCGCGCACGACCGACACGCTACTGCCCGCGCCGCTGCGAGCTCTTATCGTCTGGCGCTGGCCGCTCGCCTGCTCGCGCGAAATCACGGCAAGCGCCGTGGCAATCGGTCGCGAAATAAGCCCGATCGAGGCCCTCGAGAGGCGCGAGCGAGCGCAGCTCCGTCTTACCTACTGCGGCTACAGCTACTTGACGATTTTTCGGCGAATCGCACGGGAGCCACGTCGCGGCGCGAGAGCTCTCCCGTAAAAGGCTCGTGAGGGCCGAACTAGACGCGTACTCTGCGCATTCTCAACGCTAGGCTCGCCATTGTCGTCGTCAAGCTCGTCGAACGTCAGGACGAGAACCACAGTCCTTCCGAAAGTCCCGCGCAGCGCAGCGTCGCGCTGGAAATTCGCGAATGCAGCGCTGCGGCTCGCGACTTACGTGGGCTGTGCAGGATTCTACTATGCCTATCGAGTTTGGCGTTCCTCAGCTTGGACTTGCCAGGAGACAAAGACAAGACTGTTGGAGTTTGAATTCGACTCTTGTAGATACACCTCGCAGCTACTACTCTCGTGCCTCGTCGGAAGGTATTCGTCTGCAGTCGCGGAAACGCTTTTTTTTCCGATCTCCTGCGTCATTCAATATCAGAGTTCGTAAGCGCTTGGAGCACTGCAAGAAGAGCTAGCATAGGTTTTCTCTTATCCCGGCTTTGGTTGTCCGATGCAGCTTCGATGATCGCTATTTATTTAGCAGATGGTTTACTTACGACAAACGTCGTTGAAGTGAAAGCTCTACACATCGATTATATCGATCTTCGTGCTTCGGCTTAGCTTTCACGTAAGCATTGTATATATAGAAGATGAGGCGTAGTGCTATGCTACTCGCTTATCGAATCAATTTCAGCTCCTTGCATCAATGAAAATTCTACCGTGTCCACGTTTCTAATTTTCGTATAGCTTCAAATGAACTGACTCTGATAGTGTCGACTACATTCACGTCTAATTGGCCGTAAAATTCAGAAATAATTTAAATTTAACGGTTTAACGCAATACACTTGTATTTAGTAAAACAATATCATATCGCCGCACGCGCGCGTGTGTGCACTGGAATTACTACTGATTAGTGGATGAATAAACGATGCTAACGTCGTCGCGAATCGCGCGCCTCGAAGTGAAATCAGCAAATGTCGATGAAATTCACAAAACGGCTACAGAATTACGTCGCCTAGCATCGCGTACGATTCCAAGTAGAGCCCATAGGCTATAGCTACAGCTGGCATCCACGAAGGTGACCTCTTATCTGCGGCACGCAAAAAACAATCAAGAGTATACGGCATTGTTACTTGAAAATTATCGTATTAACGGACATACCAATACGAGGTCGATTTGCGCGAACACCTTTCAAATGAAAATAAAAACATTTTTATAGAATATATAAAATTTTAAATAAGACAATGCACCAATGTTAGAAGGGGATGCGATTAATTACTTTTTACGGTACCTGGAATATTAAGATGTTGAAATCCGTAATTACACGTGCGTACTGGTTATATTGTCATATAAAATAAACAAACTTACAATTGCGGTTGAACGAAGTTTTTGCTGCATCGCTATAAGGAAGTATTTAAATACACTTTTATTCGACAAATTTTGAACAAGTATTATTCTGTTTTACCGTCCATCGTGAAAGGGGTTGGCAGTGCTGCTCTCTATTGCCAGTTCGAATGACGAACTCCACGAGTAAAAACAGCGCCGGGCGCGCGCAGATTGGAGCAACCTGTCTGATTGTGATTTTGTTGAAAATATAAAGAATAAAAATGTTGAAACTACTGTCGCTGAGGGACTTTGAAAGTCCGCCGTGGAATGAATTGGCTACAGCCAGTTTTATTAATAATGCTGCATTATATTCTGCACCGAACGACATAGAGAAAGAATCACAACCTCACTTTAATCATCTACGTGACTTCCCGGCAATTTGCATCACACCTGATATGCTAGCTACCAGGGAGACACATCGAACAATTGGAGCTAGAGATTTATTTTTGCCAGTTCAAGATAGTGCTTTCAAGAAAATTGTGAGTATCTGGAGGGAAAAAGGCGTTCTCGAGGCCATTCGGACTGCTGCTGGTGAGAATCCTAGCGAAATTACACTTCCTGTCCATTGGCTGGCTGCCAGGTAATACTATGAATTATTTATATATAACTTATGAATGCATTAATTTAGAATAATTGAATAAAGATTTCTTATTTCATAGAATAACACAAATACTAGATGTGATAGAAAGAGGAAGTTTTTGGAGTAGTGTCCTACCGCCAACCGGCTCTGGCTCTATTGTTGATGTAGTTTTTACTAGGGATTGGTTGATAGCACTGGTAAAGATTTAAAAAAAATATACCTTACAGGAAATAACATATTTTGATTATTCAAATATTTGAATTTCAGGTGAGATGCATAGCTTGGCATCCACACTGCATTAGAATAGCAGTTGCAACGAGAGATGATCGAATTAGGATATTTTCAACTGGTAATATTGGTACAGCTACTTTAAGACACAGTGGACAAAAGTCAGTTTGTTGTATGAGTTGGAGACCACATGCTGGTAGAGAATTAGCTGCTGCTTGTCAAAATGGAGTATTAATATGGACAGTGGAACTGGGAGCAGCTAGCAATTCATTGAGCCATGCATTTATGTTGAAATATAGAAATCATGCACCTGTTACAAGTGTTTCCTGGGGTCCACAAGTAACTTTAATTGTTACATAAACATCATTATTTACAGCATAAAAGAATATTTATTTTGCCATTTAATTTTTTAGGGGGATATTTTAGTTTCTTGCTCATTAACAGACATGAACATGATCATCTGGGATGTTGCAAAAGAAAGTGGAGTTCCTTTGAAAAGGGTTGGAGGAGGTGGTTTATGCTTTACTCGATGGTCATCTTGTGGATCAAGACTATTAGCTACAACTTGCAGAAAAGTCTTTAGGTTTGTTTAACATTGAATGAAAAATTACTTTCTTTAATCTAATTAATTTAGATTTCTTTTCATTGGAATGTAATATTTCAGAGTGTGGAATACTGGTGTCGGCACACCATGGACTACCGAGAGGTGGACGGTTCCAAGTGGACGTGTTGCCGCAGCATGTTTCGGACCAAACTTGACGCTTTTGTTCACGTCGACAGAAGATCCAGCTATGGTATTTTCTCTACCCTTGCAGGAGCAGATTTTCGATGTAAAAAAAAGCGGCACATTGAACGATACAAAAGTTGCTGCCCCTTTAATTGACTTGAGTAGAGTAACGTTTAGTTCCGATGAAGGCGATCTGGATTATACCGTTGGTGGACGAGTCGTATCTATGGATTGGGACTCTGTAGGCAAATATTTAGCTATCATGTTTCAAGTAAGTATCACATACAATAATGATGAAATACCGTTACATCTATAGTAATTAACGACTTTATTTGCAGGATAGTCCAATGGTCGCTATCTTTAAAACAAAAGTAGGTTCCATATCAAGAATAACCGAGGTCAAGCCTTTATGCCTGGTAAAAGGCTTCCCTGGCGAAGTACCTAGTTGCATTCAATTCTACCCGAACTACCAACGAAACAACGACGTCAGCATTCTAACGATCGCTTGGAACAGTGGTTCGGTTCGACACTTTCCGATCGTCGACGAAGTTAACGGGGAAATGCAAACGGACACATGCAAAGCTGCGGCTATCTTATCGAATACTTTCACTTACAACGACGATCTGCAAGCATCACTCTACAGTAGTTTTAGCTTGATTCAATAACTTATCAGTCTGAGGACGAGATTATAAATCTGTTGGACTGTTGACAGTATCGTGGCAACAATATTGAAGTCTGTTATGGTTATTTAAGTTATTTATTCCGCAGTGCTATATATTATAAAGAAACGATTTATTCCTTGTGAACTATTAATCAAAAAGCTATTTTTTTTTGTAATAAAATCGTTAATTTCTCTCGATGAGAGTAAAAATACGAAAGAAATAGACACACGATGCTATAATAATTTCAAATGAAGCCTTTACAAATCTGTAGACTTAAAATTTACAACCCCTCGGCCGAGCATAATTTATCCTAAACAGACATGTTTTAATAAGAGAGAGAGAGAAAGAGAGAGAGAGAGAGAGAGAGAGAGAGAGAGAGAGAGAGAGAGAGAGAGAGAGAGAGAGAGAGAGGGGGGGGAAAGGGAACGATCCACCTCGCACGTGTATGCAACCCTAGAGGAGAATAAGAAGAAAAAATGCGCTCGGAAGAACCTGCAAGCACTCGAAATAAAGTTTTTTTCTCTCTCGAGGGAGGAGCGTGGTTTATTGGTGGGCGCGTTTGGGAAAACACATCGTCGTTCGGTGGCATGCCTAATTATACGAAGTCACACGCTGAGCGAAAGCGCTCGCGCGCGAGAGAGTGCCCTTTCTATTTTAGTGAAGCTCGTATTAATAGCTGTTGAGGAGCAGAATATGAGAGAGAGAGAGAGAGAGTGCGTGAATAAAGTTGAAAGTCATGTCATCTTGCTGCTGGTCGCGGTCGCTATCAGCGACGACAAGTGAAATTTCAAAGTATGAAGCTAGAAATAGTTATTTGCGCCGCACGCGCGCATTGATAACGGGTGTTCGAGGGGGGCAAACAAGAAGTCGCTCGGCGGCAATGCCAGCGAACTCAAATATTCCACTGGAACGAGAGAGAGAGAGAGAGAGAGAGAGAGCGTTGTCGCGCTTATCGCGCGCTATTTGTCAATAAGGATGTTGCGCGTAATCCGCGCGTTTCATCACGGAGCCGTGGCTAGAACGCTCGCTCGCGCGCGCGAAAAAGAGACAGAGAGAGAGAGAGAGAGAGAGACGACGCGCCTTATCTCCTGAAGGTTATCGAAGCGCGCGCGCGCCACTGTTAAAATGTCAGCGATTAATCGACGATTCGTGTCGCTCAAACTAAACTGCGCGCAGTGTCACTGCCCCTCTTTCTCCTTACCTTTCGCGCAGGAAGTCCTGAGGCTCGGGAAGTACTCGCCACCGTCCGCACGAAACGCAAGGTGACTCGTGAACGTTGCTTTCGATTAATGGTCGCCACGATCGCGTCCGCGACGTTGTTTGCGACAATTGTTTTTCGCTGCCGCGCGCGCGCCCCTGATTCATTCACAACTGATATATTGAGTGATACCGGGAAACCTATGATAAAACTAGTTCACGTTCATTGCGCGCTCGCCAAAAACAACGAAGCTTCGAAGCTTTGCCGAGAAAAATCATTGTGATTTGCTCGTGCACAACACATGAAAGAGAGATAGAGAGAGAGAGAGAGAGAGAGAGAGAGAGAGAGAGAGCTAGAAATTTGAATAGTTATCAATTAAACAATTCGATTCGAATGTACATATGCGTAAAAGAAAAGTGTATTGATCAACAATTATTTGCACAAGAATAATTGATTGACACACGGGCATCGTTATAATCTCATTTCAGAGTGTTTGCATTCAAACAAAAAATCACGTGTGAATAACAATCGATATTCGAATCTCGACTAGGACTCCGAATGTTGAATAAATTATTTTTCTTGAGCGCGTCCGCAGGAACACGTTACGGCTCGTCTCGTAAACAGCGGGAATCAAATACAGCTCGACGATGGATCTCGTCGTCGACTTCGCATAATAGGAATTTAGAACAAGGCTCGTAAGACACATTATCAAACGGCAAACTGTTGTGTTATCTCGCGCGCGCCTTAATTTTCCTTCTAGAATCCAATGAAACTGTGCGTCTCTTGCAGCATTCACATCGCAAGGCAATCAGGAGAAAAGGAAGAGGCGGCGGGCTCGGTGCGCTCCGTCATCTTCCGAAAAAGAAGCTCGCGGAACGGCCTAATCGCATTTCGCAATTGGACTCGCGATAATCGAGCGGCGGGCGGCACACGCGCTCGTGCGCGCGGCCGGCCGCGAGGCACCGAATTTTAATTGCGCGAGGGCGCCGCGGCGGACCGCGGCAAGTGCGCGATAAACAAACCGAATAACAATGTTAGAATGCCGCGGCGCGCGCGATAAGCCGATTATCGGCTGTTCGCGGGGAGTCATGTGCAACGCACATTTCAAGACGCGGTGCGTATTTTTAGAGGGAGCGCGCGCGCGGAATCTCCGTACCGCCTTGATAAGCTACCGTGACATGATGAAATATCGGAGACGGAGTTTACTTAATTGGCGCGATCTCGTTCTATTGGCGCGGACAGGTGATCGGATGACTGACGTGAACCATCGAATTCTCGACGATCCCGTTTGATCAGCTTGCTCTATTTTGTTCTAGCCGACCGATCTTATTATTTTCTTCTTCAACGTCACGCGCGTTACGCAATTCCCTCCTGTTCACACCCTTTCGGCTACGGTGCGCCTGCTTCGCGAGCGATTGCAGAAATTAGCCTCGCTCGCCGAAGTTAGCTCTGGTTTTTTGGCGCCTCGATAAATTCATTTTTCCTTTTATCTATGAGCTCTTATCATCGGATTACTTTACATTTAAGTTGCTGTAATCATTATTTCAGCTGCGTATCGTGCAAGATGAAAGTCATGTTATGTTTCAAATAATTTCCTTCTTATTTTATTTTTTTTAAATATATCTTGACAACGCATAAATTGAAGATGACCGACGATCATTTTATCAAGGTCAGTAATATTTCCTAATACTTCTTTTATGTTCTCCGCGCGACACAGTGACGATCGGAAATCAAATTAGAAAAATAAATTTCGCCAATCCAGTTTCTCGCGCGATTCCATATTTTATCACCTTTCGACGGAGCAAAACTCTTCCACTTCGCTCGATTATAAAAAGCGTCGGGGGAGAGAGAGAAAAAAGAAGAAGCTCGAGGGAGCCCCTTACCAAGTCAATTACTCGGCAGGCGTGATTTTTCGAGTCCTTATACGCGTTACCGTTTTTTTTTTTTCGTCGCTCGTATCTCGCGCGTCTCTCGCGGTCGCGCGAGCATATTATTTTGGAGCGATGCACATGTTGAGGAGAGAGCGGCGCGCTCGTGACAGGTGCAGCGCGCGAGAGGGAAAAAAGGGGCCGAAGCCAGCGGCGCGGCAGCACGTGCGCGCCGCATGTGTGCATGTGCGCGCGGAGCAGTCATTTTTTCGCCTCACGGGGGTGCTTAAATGTCTTGTGCGTGTGCGCGTCTGCCCGCCTGCATGAGACGCTCGCTTTGCGCGCGATTATTGTTTTGCCCCGAGAGTCCGCAAAGCGAATCGCGGCGGGCGCTAGCCAGCGTCGCGTTTTCGACCCCCTTTTTTGCTGTCGACGGCGACGGCGAAGACGCGCTCGAACGAACGAAAAAGGAAAAAAAAGAGCAAAGAAAAAACCAAAGAAAAAAATTAAAAATCCGCAACATGTGCGCCGCAGCGCGCTTCGGCTACGCGAAAACTTGTGGTGCGTTTGTTATTGCGCGCGCTTGCTTTCCATACATACACACACACACACACACACACACACATTCACAGCAATCTATCGAAGAGTGGAAAGACTGCACGCGAACGTGTGTCGTGGATGCGCGAGTAGACCAGAGGACGGAGGTGAGTCAGTTAATCGGCATCGAAAAGCCAAGAAATCAGGGGGATGCGCGCGTTGCGCTCGCGCTGGGCAATGAACTCGGCGTGTCAGCGCGTCTCTCGCGCGACTTTTTTGCGCGCGCGCACATGTCTCCGAGAGAGGCTCAACACGTGCGCCGGAGGGTCAGCGACGCTCGCCTCTTCGATCGACTTTTCATCACGTGCTGCAGCTGTGTGGAAAAGCGGGGTTCCCATCGCGGTGGATGCTCGCTCAACGAGCGAGATCCGGAGGGCCGAGTTCCCACAAAATTGGGAGAAGCGGCCGAAAGGGAAAGGAAAAAAGCACAGCGACGGCCGAAAAAAAGAGATCCACCTGCGACACGCGCGACAATCGGAGAGAGACAGAGAGAGAGAGCGAACGGTGCCGCGCCGATTGAAGGGCCCAACGGACTTTCTCCGGGACGTGAGAATATGTCGCGGGGGTGCGACAGTTGACGCTCGCGCGCGGGCAACCGCTGGTAACCCCGTTGCTGTCAAAATATTTGTCGCTGGATTTTGGAGCTTTGTTTTCGACAGACAAGATAAGGCAGACGTTATTGCGATGAGTTGCAATTGGCTGTTGACAACGTCGCACCGATTTCGCGCGCTTCTCGTCTCTTTTGACGATGCAATTATCGGTTTTCAGGTCAGATATAGTTTCATCGCTATCCCGTAACGAGATTATTTCGGCACCATCCTATCTATCGGATCGCTGTGAGATTTATCTCGAGCGACAACTGTTGGCGACAGTTTCACCAAAATTCTTCGCATGAATCTTGATTTTCCATAATACTCTCTGTTTCGTGGGATTAATATCGAAACAACGGCTTACTGATTTTCCCTCCAGATTTCCACTTTTGATAATTGGTGTTGGAGTTAGACGAATAATCTTCCAATATTTCTGGATCGTGCATCATAGTCGAAGGGAAAAAAATTTTTATCAAAAGAAAATTATCCAAGCTTATTACCTCATCAAACGAGACGTCGACCGTTCTCTAAAAATAACGAGGGCGATGAAAGAATGGATAGTAACGAGCGCGATAATCAAACAAGTTAATAAAAAAGGATAGAGTTAATCGATGCGTAAAGTACGAGTTAAATCTCGTTAGTTTCTCCGATATTACACTTTATCATGTTTGTTGAATAAAGCAGAAAGAGACAGAGAGAGAGAGAGAGAGAGAGAGAGCTAATCTGCGGTAGTTTGGAAATAATATTTTCCCCATTTTTCGCGCCTGATACGAGTAGCGCGCTTGATCAACACCCGAAGAAATACGTCAATTGCCGCAACGCATATCGCTCGCGAGGGAGTTTCGTCAGCGATCGACCCTAGAAAAAAACAATCCGCGTTTTCGAAAATCGTGCGCGAGTATCGCGTAAACAACAACTGCACGAGCAAAAGCAAAAAATAAAATTAAATAAAATTAAATTTAAAAAAAAAGTGCCTATCAGCCAGAAAATCGTTATCGCGCTGCCGGTTATCAGCTTTGACATGGAAATTTTCAGTATAATCCGATCGGTGCTGACGTTACGATTGTGACAATTGTAAGGCACAGCGATAGGCGAGAAAATCGAGGTGTGTCAGCGCACCAGCGAAAAGTCTATTTCACCCCTCCCCACGAATCGGCGGTTTTCGAGAGGGGGTTTCCGAAATCTATGCAACATTGGTCCACGCGCACGCGAGTAGGCGGATTCGTGTGTGCGCGTTTCCGAAGTGGGGGTAAGACAGAGTCCGTCGAGTAAAGTCGAGAGAGAGAGAGAGAGAGAGAGAGAGAGAGAGAGAGAGAGAGAGAGAGAGAGAGAGAGATGGGTTCCCTTATCTCGGGCCCGCGACATACTCGAGTCAGTCTTGCTCCGACAACCCCCGCGCTCGGTCGTGCGCGCTTGGCCGCATGTGATCTCGCTCGAGTGCCTCCGACACGTCGCATTATCGCAGCCAAGATTCTCCAGGCGCAAAAACTTATCTGGCTCTCGCGCGCTCTTACGAAACAGCCGCCGTCCGGGTCGTTGAGCAACGATGCATCTGGACGACTTTTGGCCCAGCGAGTGGGAGCAGCCGGGCGTCCGGCTGCCACCGGTCAACGCGGCCTTCTCCTTCTCCAGGAGCTTTAACGGGCAAGCGCAGCTGCAGGACCAGCACAGCCCCTCGTCCTGCCAGTACCAGAGCTACGACAACAGCCAGTACCACGACGAGTCGGCGCTGCTGTGCTTCCCCTCGATCTTCCAGCAGTCGCAGCTCAACTTGGAGGAGACCCTGCAGGCCGTCGACGACTTCGACCTCAGCCTCATCAGGTAGGCTACTCGCCGGCGAGTCGCGACCGCGTGCGCGTTCGGTTCCGGCGAGACGTAAAGCGACAACGCTGGTCGGTCACCAGGTGCGAGCCGACGAACCTGCCGGCGGCGGAGGCCAGCCAGCAGTACGAGCAGGCGCCGCAGCCGCACTACGCGGCCTACCCGGTGGGCCACCTGGGCGCGGGCGCGCCGGACCAGCCGGAGGACCGCGTGGTGGCGGAGATCCTCGGCAGCGGCCTGCTGGACGGCGTGAAGAGCGAGCCGCTGGCGCTGGAGCTGGACAACCAGGTCGTGCTGCCGCGCAACGACAGCCTCGTGCTGGCGAGCGAGCTGTTCGCCCAGGAGCAGAGCGCGGCCCGTGCCAAGGACAGCCACGAGGAGTCGTACGGTGGGTGGCTCGCTCGCGCGCGCGCGTCCCCGTGCTGTACAGCGGCGCTAACGCGGCCTCGCCGCCTTTCAGGCAGCGCTCAGTCGGACGACGGCTCGGCGGCCTCCTACCCCTGCCTGTGGATGGACTGCGGCTGCGCCTTCGCCGAGCAGACCGGCCTGGTGCAGCACATCGAGAGGCGACACGTCGAGTCCTCGGCCGGCAGCGCCCACGGCGCCAGTCGCCGGCCCAGGGACGGCAGGCCCAAGGAGGCGCACGCCCAGGACGACTGCCAGTTCGCCTGCCTCTGGCAGGGCTGCTCCAGGGACCGGCCCTTCAACGCCAGGTACAAGCTGCTCATCCACATGAGGGTGCACAGCGGCGAGAAGCCCAACAAGTGTCCGGTGAGCGCTGTGGCCCCCTGGCCGCGAGCCAGTCGCGCGACAAGCCGGCTAACGCCCCCCACCCTGCCTGTTCGCAGTTCGCCGGCTGCAAGAAGGCCTTCTCGCGCCTGGAGAACCTCAAGATCCACCAGAGGTCGCACACTGGCGAGCGGCCCTACGCCTGCCAGCATCGCGGCTGCAGCAAGGCCTTCAGCAACAGCAGCGACCGAGCCAAGCACCAGCGCACTCACTACGACACGGTGATTGTCCAGTCGGCGCCGGGCTTTCCCTCGCGCTCGTCTCGCAACCGTGACGCGTGACGCGAACGGCGACGAGCGAGTTTCGGCAATCGTAACAAGCGCGATGGCACGATTGACCGAGCGAGCTCGAGCGACCTGCGCAACACTGATAACCTTCTTCTCTCTCTCTCTGTTTCTCTCCCTTGCAGAAACCGTACGCCTGCCAAGTGGCCGGCTGCGGCAAGCGCTACACCGACCCGTCGTCGCTGCGCAAGCACGCCAAGAACCACGCGGACAGCCAGCCCGAGAGGCGCCCGTGCAAGGCGTCGTCCGGCAATCGGCGAAACTCCAGCTCGTCGAGCGTCTCGTCGCTGACGACGCCGGGCCGCTACCAGTCCGCGGCGGTGGTGGTGGGCCAGCGCAACTCGTCCGTGTCCTCGGACTACGGCTCGCAGAAGGACCCCTTCGAGGAGCTGCACGGCGCCGACGGCTGCCACGAGTACATCCCCTACGAGAACGTGGCGCGCTTCCTCGGCGACCACGAGCACAGCATCGGTAAGCGAGGTGCCGGCGGCCGAGCGCCGGAATCTCAGAGGAGGTGCGAGACCCACGTACAGCAACGCGACGAGCTTAAAATAATATTCAGCGCCTCTTTTTCCTTTCTTTTTTTTTCTCCCAACCCTTTTTTGCTTTTTGGCCCCGCGCGAGAGCGCAGGACGAGAGTGCACGTGCCGCGCGTGCCACGTGCTTTGCACGCGTCCGACACCATCCCGAGGGCCATTTTTGTAGCCGCGCGACTTTTATGCTCTTTTGTAATCGCGAGAGAAAGGCTTGCGTAACCGGGAGTGCGCGAACGAGTGGCGGTGCACTGCTCGGGCAGACTCGTCAATTCCGATTGCATTGTCCTCCAGTCGGCCTTCGCTTCGGCTCTGAATCAGCCTTGCGCTTCGCACTGACGCGAGTTTGTTTTTCTTCGCTCGATTCCGAACGATAAGAGATCGATCGCTTAGCTCGCGAGCGTCGTTTCTTTATTCCTGCTGGGCAACCGATCGGCAAGTCGATAGCATCTATCGGCGCTCGAGCGATCGGCGCGAGCGCTTAATTGCAAACCAACCGAAAGTCCACGTGTCCGTTTGCTTCTTTTCCAGGATACGCGGCTGACGAGGACATGTGCGACTTGCAAGACTTGGGCTCGGACATCGAGCAGCAATTCTTGGAACTGGGCAACTACGACGACTCCGTGTTTCTCAACGAGTAGCATCGCGCAATGTCGGGAATATCGTCTCGGCGAAGACACTGCCAATCGAGAACAAAACGGAATCGCGACGCGGCAGACAGTCCGATGCATTAATCGATGATTCAAAGGCGTCTTTTCGTACGGAGCGTGTTGTTGTTGTCCTTGGTTCGCTCCAACCCGACGACCGGAGAAGTAGAACAAAAGCATCATTGTAAGAACACAAGACTTTAATGGAACCAAGCGGTATTTTTCTGTTAGAATGGAAGAAGCAAAGACGTGTGTTTTGTACATTTGTAAATAACTCGGCTACACGGGTGCGTAGTCGATTTGAGATTCATGCGCCTGCGCGCACCTAGACGTGCCTGCAGACTTCTGGCCGTTGATCCTGCGGGATCTCGTTGCACACCACGCGGGCGAAATTCCTGAATGCCGACGGATTCTTCACCTGCGAATCGAACGAGATTTTGTCAATTCGAGAATGACTGTGCCGACAGATCGTAAGCTTAGTGTAAAAATGTAAATATTGTAAATTAAATTTTTTTATGAATTTTCTTTTTTTTTTGTTTTGTTTTTTTTTTTTTTCGTTTTGCTACAGACAATAATATTATAGAAGATAAGGTGACGACAAGTATAATCAAAGTTATACGTTTATAATGATTTTTCAATAAATAACTTGACAATGAAAAAAAGCGACAAAGTTACTTACTCCATTGATAGCGATGCTGGGTACAAAGCTGATTCGCGATTCGAAAGCTTTGGTCCGCTCGCCCATATTGATCAGAAGCTGATCGCCGAGATCGCCCCTCATACAGTTTTTGAGAACGTCTAACGACTGCTGGCTCAATCCATTATCCTGCGCGCACTGCAGGAGCAAAGGAAAAAAGGCAATTAATTTTTACTGCTGTTTATCACAAAAGTACCGTTTTTTTCTTCTTTCCCGACGGGTAAAAAATTTTATCGCGCTCGTCCGATAAGATCGTGCGGAATGAGACGTGAATTTCTCTATTCTTTTATCGTTATCTCGGCGGTACCTGTCGTGCGATTAATGGGCAACTGTCGAACGCGACGACGCCGAATGTGACGTACGCAAAGAGAGCGATTAAAAGTTGACTTTGGTGTGCGGCGCGAAATAACAAGGCTATCAATCAAAAATGTGCGGCTCGCGAGTCGGAAAGGAGAACGCGCGTGACGCGGCAAGTCCTCCGCAGAGCCAGTTTAAGACGTGGAATCAAGAAAAATGCACATCTTTGGCTAAATCCGTTACGGTAAATAAAAAAAAAAAATCTGTGTCGCTTACCTGAGCTGTAGCGCGAGCGGGATATCTGCTGCTCATGATGCAATTGACGACTTTGACACTTTGGTGTTGCTGCTGTTCGCCAGTAGTCGATTGCTGAATCGCGTAAAGAGCACACGCCTGAGCTTTGTTGCCATAGCACTCGCTTGGTCCATGCTGGCATTGAAATTCTGTTGGTCGTCGTCTGTCACCGAGTACCCACTGTGAGAACATTAAAAGCAAATTACATTCGTCTTCTCGTTAATTGTAGCTCGCTGAGAATAGAATCGTATAATGAGATGTTAATTCAACGAGGCATTGGTGCATCGATGAATTTACATGAAGTGTACTTTTTCCACTCGTTGTTCTTCTCTTTGCAATGAAAAATTACAGTGATTTTTCAAACTGATAACGTATTACGTTCGCTAATAATCAGTTACTACCAGCGTTTGCGCAAAACAAAATAACATTTCCTTTTTTCAAATCGAAAATTGTGGTATCTTTTCAATATTCAACTTGTGAATTGATGTAGAGATTTTCAAGCGAAAACCAAATATTTCTTTTATTTTTTTTTTCTTTTTAACCTAGTATACTATTTAACCGATCGAAGCGAACAAAGCAAACAAGAAAAGACGGAAACGTATATCTTTTCTTTAGATAAGAGAAATCTCCATAAAAACGCCGGTTTTTGAACAAACATACTTGCCGAAGCTTTGCCGAAGGGGACGAGGTTGACTCTCATGAAACTTTTCAACTCATCGTAAACCGGAGCAAGCTCCTTGGTGATGAAGTAGATACTGTCCGGGCAGAGCGATTCGTAGTAGATGTCCACGTTCACCACGGCATTTTGTTGCGCGGTAACCTGTGCGTGCAATTGGTAAATTTCTGTTGTTTTTTACCTGCGTTGAACGTTGTATTTACGGCGGGAAGAGAATGATATTTTTCGCGGCGACTCGTCGTAACTAATATCGAGTCGCAAACAAAATTGTCGAGCGACCGCGCGGTAAATGAAACGGTGCATCCGGCAACGGTGAGAAAGAAATGGAGAGTTTGTATATTTACATAATTCAGGCAGCAGAAAGCAGCGAGGAGAGCAAAGTGACGAGCCATACTTGAGCGTACGTAAGGTGCGGATACAACACACGTCTTCGCGAGAGTCACGACGGGAATCGAGTGGTGGTCGTGGTGGCAGCTCGCGCGACACGATTGAAAGTCCGAGCGCTGCACACCGACGCGCGAGAAGGTAGGGGCTTGTAGGAAAGAGAGAGACAGAGAGAGGTGGGGGGAGGACGTGTAAACTGTCGCTTTCGGGCTTGATTTATCCTCGACGAAAACTTTGCTGACGCTAATGGTGGTGTTTTGATGCTACCTATAAACACAATTAACTCCGACAGACATGATTGTTTGACGAGGCGCTAATTCGTGCGTCATACATCGAAATTGTTGATAACAGCGAATTAGGTTATTCGACTAGAAGTGAATCGAGAAAGTCGTTTATTGTAAATACTATTGCAGTGTTTTATCTGCTATCCGATAAAAACAAATTTATCACAAGCTTCGTACAGAAAGAAAACGAACAGGCAAAGTAGAGAACTTGCGATATATTTTTTTTTTTAATTTCCTAATATGTATAATAGATGTATAAAATACGTTTAAAAAAAAAGAAAACCCTTTTGTTCCGTGATAATTTTTTGACGAAGTAAAATTGGGATTCGACGGGCTTATGAGAAATACTTTTTGATACGTATTTTGCACGAAAGCAACTTGAGCTCATTTTGTGCGGTTTTTTTATCAGAAAAAAATCATGAAGCTTCAAAGTTCAAGTTATATAATCTATAACAACGTTAAATTTGGTTATATTTACATCGATTGCAAAATGGTTTCATAATATAACGCCTGCATAGATTGGTTCCGAATTACTTTAGAGTAAAGTGGATCTCAAAATGTTATATCGGCGGTCATTTTTTCTCTCCCGACGAATAGTCATGGCGCAAAGAATCGCCGATATATGTGCGTATATTTGTATAGGGTTATGGAAGACTTTAAACATTATCGCTTTTCTCGCTTTTCCCTATTTAAATTATCTTTTAGCCATGTAAAAAAAATGAATATACGAAAAAAGTCTCAGGTTCAACTTTTAAGGACTTTCTACATAAGGAGACATCGGACTTCAGACATTAGTCAGCAAACATTTCCTATGGTGAATAAACATAGTTAAATGAAATGTTATTGTACTAATAATGTTAATGTCGTCGATCCATTCTTTTTTCATTGCTCGCATCCTGTGCAATCACGGACACACCTAGATTTTAAACAAACGTTTTGTTTTTTAACTTGATAATTTCGGTACTCGTCCGATGTCTCCTTACGTAGAAAACCTCTTAGTTCACATTATTTCAAGCTATAAATAGGATTCGTTCCATTTATACTTCCATAACGCTTATTCACTTTATACTTTGAGTGCTACATAAGTAGTAAAAATCGGTTGCTCTAGTATGTTCATATAACATTAATAATTTTAAAAATCAGTTGTTAAGCGGATAGGCTGAAGTAGACACATTATTTTTCCGTAAAAATGATTTGAGTCACTTTGACCGTCAACTATGGTATGCTAGCATCACTGCAGTGCGTGTAGCGCATCAGTAAATTTGAAATCGTAATTTATGTAAACAACCGTTCATTGAGAGACTGACGTTCAGTGATCAACGTAAAGTAAATTTCATACGCTAAATTGGTTATTTTAAAAGTGATTTATAACTTCCATTTTGGTCCAAAAGGTCATAAATTGTACAAGTTAACAACTCTGACTCATACCGTTCGTTCTTATTTGATGGTAGGCAAATGAAAAGGTATGCAACAGAGCCGCTACTTCCAAAATAATTGCGATTGCAAACATTTAATAAAATACATGTCACAATCTTTGTGAACGCAATGTTGCAAAACACTCCTACGATATTCACATTGTTGCGATCAATCAAACGATCGTGAGGCACAAAACTCGATTTAGATACGTGTGCAAATTTCCGGATGCTCGCTCTTCGGGACGTGTTCGCAGATAACGTTGGTGAAATTCTTGGTGGCTTCCTGCGTCTTTATCTGCGGATAAACGAAACGTTAGCGAATAGAGTCATGCGGTACAACTAGTACAGACAGAAAAAGTGTACTCACTCCGTTGATAACGATGGCGGGCACGTTCTTGAGCGGCGACTCGAAAGCTTTGGTTTTCTCGCCACTGGCAACAAGAAGCTCGCTGCCTTGATTGGTCTTCATGCAGGTTGCGATGCGCTCGATCGACTCTTTGCTCAGTCCGTTTTTCTCGGCGCACTAAAGAGAACAGAGCGGCTCGTGTAAATCTCACGATGCAACAATTATCATTTGCAAATCGAAACAAGTCGATAAATTTGGTCTGCCTTACGATCGCATCGATACGTTGATTTCTCTGTGAATTAGAATGAGCTGTACATTTGAAGAAGTTTGCGCGATTGAATTATTCAAAATCACGTTATCAATAGCTGCTTCGGTAACATTTCATAATTTTCTTTGAAATTTATGAAATGTTACGTGCCTGGTTATAATTATTATTCCATTATTGTATGGACACAGATGCGAGCATTAAATAATAAAAATATTGAAAATGTGAGGTGCGTTCAATTTATCCTCGTCAATAATTAATTCGCACGGACAAATTACGTGACATTCGAAGTGCCGAAGCACAAAAGAATTTGACATGAGGCACATTCCAGACTATGACGATCAACTTTTCAGGGGTAGGTTTCGGATTTTCTTGAAACTTGGTCTACGTATTGTTTATATGATAGTGTATTCAAGTATGGATTATTATATCATTATAATAATTATATCAAAAGTTATAAACAATTGAACATTTTTGACGAAAAATTTTCAAAAATTTATATCTCCGCAATCATTTAAGTTATCGAAGCGAATTTTTTTTATATTACGTATAAAAGGGTGTACTTTGAAAATATTGAGTGAACAATACTTTAATATCAATTTTTCCAAAAGTTATTAACATTTTTTTTAACAATTGCCCATATCTCAAAAAGTGTTATTTTTATTTTAAAAATTCTTTTTTTATTGAATTCCTTGACATTTTATCTTTAAGATTCCGTTTTGAAATTCATCGAGCGATTATTAGATGCGACACAGTGAGCGATAATAGTGGACGCTGACAGGCCTAACGACGCCGATAAGTCGGTAAGTTTAATAGCAGCGCCGACGCGCGGTCGAGCGAACGTCGTAAGGCCTGTGAGCGTCCACTATTATCGCTCACTGTATCGCATCTAATGATCGCTTGATGAATTTTAAAACGGATTCTTAAAGATAAAATGTCAAGGAATGCAATAAAAAAAGAATTTTTAAGAATTTTTTTGAGATATGGGCAATTGTTTTAAAAAAATGTTAATAACTCTTGGAAAAAATTTATATTAAAGTATTGTTCGCATAATATCATTAAAGTACACCCTTTTATGCGTAATATAAAAAAAAATTCGCTTCAATAACTTAAATGGTTGCGGAGATATAAATTTTCAAAAATTTCAAAAATGTTCAATTGTTTATAACTTTAGATATAATTATTATAATGATCTAATAATCCATACTTGAATGCACTATCATATAAACAATACGTAGACCAAGTTTCAAGAAAATCGGAAACCTACCCCTGAAAAGTTGATCGTCATAGTCTGGAATGTGCCATGAGCGACTTTTCCACTCAGCCGATCACCTTTATCTTTTTTCAAAGAAAAAGGCATGTGCAACGCGAGCGGATCCAGCGAACAATGCACATTATTATCTGCCGAGAAATAAGCCCCATATCGAGCAAATCGCCGGTATCCGTCGAGGAGATATTCATATGCTCGGTGTCATTGAAGCGCGAAGGAAGTGAAGGCGGCTCACCGCAGGCACGTTCTCGGCGAAGCCGCGATTGTTCATGGCGCAATAGGCCACTCTGACTTGTTTGTCCTGCTGAAGCTCGGGCGCGAGCGACCTTTTTATCTCGTCGAAGGCGCACGCCTGGGCTATGTTGCCTTCGCACTCCTTCGCCCCGTGATGGCAGGTAAACTCTGCCGACTCGTTTTTGCTTCCAGCGACCCACTGCAATGATTAAGCAATCCCACATCGTCAATCGCGTCGGCGAGCGGGACCATTCCAATCGTCTCGAAAGCGGCGATCGTGGCGATAATGATAACGAATAAAAAGCAAATGTTTTCCCCGCGTGGAAACGAGGTCGAGACGGTTGTCGGTCGCTTTGGCATGCTTCGTTCGTGTAGCACCTACCGTGGCTTTGCCGAAGGGATAGAGGTTGACTTTTAAGACACTCTTCAGTTGATCGTAGATCGGGCCCAGCTCCTTCGTGATGAAGTAAATGCTGTCCGGGCAGAGCGACTCGTAGTAAACGTCAACGTTCACGATGGACTTCTGCTGGCCGGCGACCTATTTTGTACAGGTTCCACTCGTGAGTAAGTTATCGGAAACGATCGCTCGGACGAATCGTCGTTCAATCGAAAACTCCATCGAGCGCAGTAATAACGCGTAATAACGCTTGGGCGAGCGGAAGTGCGCACAAGTCGAAATAAACGGAGTAGAAATAGGAGCGAAACCAGTTATATTTACGTAATAGATGCAGCAGGCGGCGACGAGAGCGGCGAGGGCAACGCGACGAGGAGCCATGGTGTCCTTACGAGCGCGTCGGCGGCAATCGAATGATCGCCGATCGAAAAATCCAGCCTGCCGCGCGGACGACGGTAGGGGACGGGTGCGCGCGGGCGCAGCTGCATGGGAGGAGCTTGATCGTTGCCGTCGCGGCTGGCTCTCTTCTTCCTCGCTGTCGCGCGGGAAAGTTGGCTTCCAGCGAGCCGCGCAGGACCGGCCGGTCGGACGAAAGTTCGGGGCAGCGAGCGCCGCCGCGAGAAGTGAAAGGTTCGCCGGCGTAATTTATGCCGGCTGTTGCAACGCCAACGTCGCCGCGTCCTTCTGCGCGCCGGCGCGCTCTGTCCTTTTGTTGTGAGCTGCGCTCGCCTGCGCGGACGCCACTTTAATTTAATAGCTTCTTGCAAATCAGACGCTTAATTCTCGCGCTTGCGTTCGGAGAGCAATAACTCAGAGGCGAGGCATGGAGAAGCCGAACGAGTCTTGATATTTTTACGATTTGCTTACGATGAAATTATGCGAATCGGCGGTCGAGGTTTCGTCCTTTCAAATTTATCGGATGTCGCGCGTCGTCGTGCTACTGTTAATCCCTCGATGCGCGTGAAATAGTCGAGAAACGAAGGCGTACGCAAACAAACAAATGGGAACAAGGGGAAATCTGCGAAATAACAATCCTGGACGTTAATAAATAGGCAGCGTTGAGTTTTTTTCTTTTATGAAACAGTCTATATTACAGAAGAAACGAGTATACAACAAGAAGAGAAGAAAGACATCCGGCCGGTCAGACTTCGATGCCCTGGCCGAACCTCAGCGTAGGATTCGCATGTTTGATATCTCTCTCCAGTTCCAGCGCCCGCTTCTTAAATGCTTCCGCCAGCTCGCTGCTCTTCTGCGCGCCCTCGCCCGTGGCGTGCATATTGGATACGTGGCTGCAGGCGTGATAATTGCCGAACTCGCAGGCCTTGAGCGCGTAATTGTACGTCTGCGTGCGATTGGGCTCGACGACGCCCTCGATGCCGCGGTGGTACATGCCCGACAGGAAGGAGCAGGCGCGCTCCTGGCGCTTCTCGTTGCAGCCCTTCTCCAGCAACCTGACGGCCTGCTTCATCGCGCCGGCTCGGTCCTCCGCGTGGAGCCTGGCCTCGGACAGGCCGACGATGCCGGCGTTCGTGCAGCCGATCGCGTCGCCGAGCTCGCACGCTCTCGCCAGGTAATTGTAGCCGCGCGCTACGTCGGCCGCGCAGCCTTTGCCTGCAATTGACAAACGCCGAGCTTATCGTTCGATTCGTGACCGGGCTCGCGTTCTCGCGCGTCAGCCATCACGCGTGCGGATGAGAACGTCAAACGAGAGCTCGTGCCTCGTTAATGCGAAATGCCCAAAAAGACAGCCAGAAAGCGCTACAGTTCTCAGCATCGAAGGGGCGGCGAAGGCGTTCGGCCCGCAGAAACTAATAATGCGATTCGAAGTACGATTAACAGCAATTTTATGTAACGATCCGCACCTTGTATCCAGCTGTCATTCGTTTATTATGATACCACCAAATTTAGCCTTTGAAAGCCTCGCTGCTGTCGCGCATTGTTCTTGGCATCGTTCTCGACACGTGCACTTGACTCACCATATCTCTCGTTCGGCAACTCCTGGATTACGAATTACGAACCAACGAAGCTGAATCTTTTGTTGTCGCACGGTAACCGTCGAGTAATCAAAATCATTCTCTTGAAAGCATGTGAATTTGCTGTGTTTAATGGTGTGCCAAGTGACGCGGTATCGCTGAATTTTATTACGTCGGACAAAAACTATAATTTGCGTATTAAAACAATCGGCAATCGGGTAAATATTCGTAATAATAGGTGCACCTTGAAAAAATGTTTGCTTGAAAAATCAGACGTCAAAAAGCCTTAAGCAAATATGATCGATCATGCAGCACTTGTAATCCAATCCACATACTTTACAATGTCTACTTCTTACGAATAAATAAACGATTCATCGGGTCTTAAAGCCAGCACTTAGATTTTTTTAAGTTATTCAAATTAGTAGTTATACTATTCGATAGTTTATTTAAGCAATACATTTATTAATCACATTTGTTTGTTCGTCCAAAAATTACCTCTTAATAAAATTAATTAAATTTGGTCGCTACTACAATTATCTACTGCAGTAGCCACGTTTTCCTCGCGAACTAAGTAGTCTCATCGCAACGAATAGTAATTGGCACAGAAGACCCACCTGCTTCACCTGTTCCTTACCAAGTTGTTCATGTTTATTATTCTAGATTGTTTTTCTCTCGTTTCTCACTCTCTCAGCCACTGCCGCATAACATGGGAACGCATGCGCACTGCTTCGACTGGTGGCCGCAGGCCTTTAATCATGGGTCAAAGCGGTTTGCTATTTTTAACTGAATAAATAATCTATCTACTTGCGATTTTATGCTGGGTGCAGTTAGTTCATCTCATAAACTAACGATTGACTTATTTATAAACTTTTGTTATCAATACTTTCAATGTTAAAGCCTGAATCAAACTTAGGTGCTGGTTTCATCACCAAATACTTAATTTATTTTGTAAGGGCTAATTTATGAACGAACAAAGAATGTAATTAAAAAAAAATTATTGCTTGAATGATGAATTACCGAATGGTATAACTACTTTTTCGAAAAACATGAAAAAATCTAGGTGCTAGCTTTTAAGACCTCAATTCGTAGCGTAAATAATATTCCGATCAGTGATGGCAAGTCCAATTTCGAATTTGGAACGTTTCCAGCAGCTAGCGACATCTCGTCAAAACAGAACGTTGCGCGAGAAATCGCAAAGGCTACGCGTCAAGTAGATCCCCGACTTACCAACCATGCTCCATCCACCAAACTTGGCGCAACTGCGTCCGTAATCCAAATTGTCGCAATTCTTCTGATACAAATCCGCGGCTTTTGCGAAATCTTTCTTCAAGCTCTCGTAGTAATCGCCGAGCAAATGACAAACTGCGAAAGCGAATGAAAGTTCGCCCAAGAAAAATTAGAACCAACTAAAGGTTATGTCGATAGAAGTATCTCGCTAACCTTCCGGATTTTTCTCGCCGTAACAGCCGAACTGATACTCGGTGTACAAATTCTTCAAGTAGAGTCTGACGTCCTCCTCGTTTTTCAGATTATAAGCCATGTCTCACGAAAACAAAGCCGGGAATTTCATTGGGAAAAGTCGCTGTGGCACGTCACAAGCACGCGCGACCCAGAGACGAGCACTTCTCGCGTTCGCCGACAGGAGTCGCCGGAACATCGTTGGTCGCCACCCACGAAAAGCCGCCCCCTGCGGCGGTGCGCAGAGGGTGAGCCGATGGACATCGCAGGTCAGCTTTTCTCCGTTTCGGCGCGCGGTGGCAGTGCAAGCATCGTCGGCGTGCCGACCGCACCTTAAGCTCTTCGATGCCGAGCTGCGATACCAGCCGACCAGGTGAGCGTTTAGCTTCGTTGTAGGTTTGTCTGTTTCTTCGCGAGTCGACGCGAGTCAGCAGCAACCGCGCACGGGGCGACCGCTGGCACTCGCTACGAGTCGGCTGCCTATAGTCCGAGCAAGAGTCTCGTGCAAATAGCCGTGAACCATGGAAATCAATCGAAACTCCGCGATGGGTCGTCGCACGCGCGGACCGGGTCCCCGGATGTGATTTTTGTTTTGTCGCTGTCGCTCGGTCGTCCGCAGCGCGACAGTGGCCTCGCCTTGACGAGCGTGATGCCGGTTTTATCGGCGCTCGCCGATAGCGCGTCGCGCGTGCACGCAGCCTCAACTCAGAAGCTCAAAACTCGCGAGCTTTGCGACAGCGCGATCGACGATTCCGTAGCGGGAGCTTCCGGGCTCGCCGCGTCGAAGGTCGGCGCTTCCAGCGACTCTAGCTCGTCGTCCCTTGAAAAATCGGCGTCGCTTCTCGCGCCAAAGCCACGCAGAGCCAAGTGCTCGGCGAGGAAAGTGGAGCGAGCCGCGAGGGTAATAAGCCGGCGTTGGCGCGCGAGAGATTGGCATTGCGTGCGCGCCCTTGTATCGGTGCGCTTGGCGCGAGAGTGTAGGTCAAATCCCAGCCGGGGGACGCGCGCGCGCTCGGCAGTCGGTCAGTCGGCCGGTCTTTATCGAGCTCCTTGCACGGGCGAACGGAAACGTGCCTGACCCATATATCCGCGCGCCTCGAGCCCGCGATTTTCGCACCCACGTGAACGAGAATCGATTGATCGCGGCGGGCCGCGACGAGAGGCTCGTGGAGGCGCGCGAGCCGAATCAATTGACCACGACGTACGGTTTCTTTCGGCCTGGCTCTGCGTACCACCATCTCTCCTTAATAATTCATCCTTACACAATTGTTCTTTCTCGCGCGAGCCGCCCGTTATCGTTGCTCGTGCATTTTAACGAGTGTTTTCTCCGGGCTCTCGAACGTTCAACAGCCTCGAGTGCGCGTTCGAGAGCCTAGTGTTTATTCGCGCGCGCGAGCTTTTTTTTTTCTTTTCGTCTGTCTTTGTGCCGGAGAGACTTTCGCTTTTTTGCAGTCAAATGCAAACAGAGTTCTATGAGGCGACGCTATATCCTCGCTTTTTTTTCGCTCGATCGTATGAGTTTGTTCGAATGCTACTCGTCGAGTTCTTTTTTTTGTTTTTTTTTCCCTAGCATGCAGTAGTTTTTATCCGCAACCATAACGAACTTCATTTTGCAAGTAACTCCTCATTAGAGCTGCTTGTTTTGTCATTCATTTTGTCATTCTTGAGAAAGACTATATTTATTGAGGACTTTGTCACGTTAACTCTTTTTTCTAAGTTTTTTATCTAGTCAACTTGACGAGTTAAGTATATCATTGCCTTTTAAGTACTCTTTTAAAGTATATATTTGCGAGGGTATGATGAAAACCAAAAAAACATATATATTTCATGGATCCACGCAATCGGTACTGCGACAGCATATGTATTGTTCCGAAAACACGTAATAGCTCGCCGTAAAAAAAATTCCTCGAATTCGGCGTAATTCAACACGTAGATGAGTGATGTAAGTGCAGCTCGGCAAACGTCCGAAAAAACCGACTCAGCGTAAGTAATAGCAAAGCAGCACGACTCACCGGTCGTCGCGACGGTAGTAATCAAATGTCTAATTGCACGGTTCGCGGGAGGGTCGGCGATAAAACAAACGATTCAGCCGACAGGTTCAAGGCCTCGCGTGGTCATCCAACGCCGTTTTCGATGAAGGAGGGGGGGGGGGGGTTATCAAATTATCGCAAACGTTAAGTATGCCGTGCACATCGCACTGACCCACATCTTGCTTTTCTTTCCAGATGAGCGAGTCTGTGAAAGTGGCGGTGAGATGCCGTCCCATGTCCCAGAAAGAGCTGCAACAGAAGTGTCGGGTGAGTGTGGCAAACGCGTCGTCTCTCTTTCTCTCGCCGTGATTAATGCATCACGAGACAAAAGAAAAAAATGAAAAGTCCTTCCCCTCTCCCGAGGTGACAAAAAAAAAGAAAAGAAAAAAAGCGAGGCGTCTCCGCGTGAGAGTGCACGTGGGCTCGCGTACGGACGTGCTCGACACATGCGAGTAGACGTTGTCACTGTGTATATATCGAGCGCTCGCGTAGCCTAGGCGACCCGACGTACAACAACGACGTGCACGACGTGATCACCGGTTTTTTGAATGATCTCGACTCCCGAAAAAAAAAATAAAATAAAACCAAAGAAAAATATGGAAAACGCGTTTTCATTTGGCTTGCCGGCAATTTGTATTCTTCGCCTCTCCGTCGCTCCTCCATGCTTCTGCGCTGATTCGTAACAATCGATGCGAATGCTCGATCGCGATCGATTAATCGTTGGGTTAGCCTCTGTTACATGACGATTATGTTCGATCGACCGTGCGATACTGATCAACCGTTAACATTGTTGCGCTACTTTTCAGCCGAAACTTCGCGCGTTATCTTTTCGTTACATCGCGCTCTGGAATATTGCCAGTGGGTATTAAAAAAATAATAATAATAAGAAGATAAAGCGATCGCGATAAAAGAAAGTCACCGTTCCGCGAGCTGTTTACTCCTTTCGCTGTGCAATGGCATCGAGCGCGGGTGTAAAATCGCCGCGGGGCAATCGAAAGTAACGCGAGGGTTTCAGCAAGTCACGTAATATTATTGTTTTGCGCGCGCGCCGATCGATGCCTGTATGGATAATCATCGAGGGGCGCAAACGACGTGTTCGCGTGAAAGAAACCAAAAGGGAGACGAAGAGCGCGCCCACGCTGATCAAGACAGACGGACGCGACGCGGTCAACGGCGACGACAGGCTGGCAGCGCGAACAGCCGCGATGCCAATCGACCGTCGCGGCTCGTGAAAATCCGGCCGGCGGCGATCGATTACGCGTATCAGCGATAAATCGGCGTGCGTGCCGCCGCAGCGGGAAGCGCTAGCGCGATACGGGTGCATCGATTCGACACATATCCGCCCGGCTAATTTGCATTCGACGAGACGCCGCGGGAGCCTCGGAAGGGGGAGCGACGCGCGCGCGGATATCGAGCGCAAGCGCCGGCTGAATCGGCGTTCCTATGCGCGGCCTTTCATAATTGATGCTCGAGCGCGTGCACGGCCCTGAGCGGCTTTTACGCTTATTGTCGCGACAACGCAGCCGCACAGCTCTGACGCGAGCCTCCGTCGATCCAGCGTTTCGGGTCTAGCCGCGCGACGGCGCCTCGCCGACACCGGCTGCCGCCACTTTTTATTCGATTCGCCGCCTACGAACTACGTAGCGTCTGCGATGAATTCGCGACTTTCTAAACGCTCGCGCGTCATCGAAAAGAGCCGTCGACTCTTTTCCGCTATATGCGTCTCAATCGGCGGTCAGTATATACCGGCGAATCGATGGCGTGTTGGTCGATTGTACATTAATAACAACGCGTGACCGCCTCCTCTTTCACATGCTCGGCCGCCGGGCAACAGCCGCAGATTGGAGCTTTCGACTTTTAATGCCTATACTTTCCGGCGCGGCCGTCGAGCGTTGTTGGCTTTTTGCGCGCTCGTGCATTCTGAGTGCGCCTTCCCGTTTGATCGCGAGGCTCCGCCGAAAAGAGGAAGAGGTCGGTACCACTTGCCCGAGCGCGCGCGCGTGCGCCGACTTTCGGCGTCGAGTGGGCTATAGCCGTTGAGTCAACGTGCACACCGAGCAAGCGAACGCAACAGAGCGGATTTTCTTTGTCGCTCGGACTCCTTGTTTCGCAAATCGAAATTATGCGTTGGTTGGCAGCGCCAGAGTATCGCGAACTGCAATTACGGCTTGTTCTCAGCTAGTTGGACTTACCCTAAAGCTCGGAAACCGCCCAACCACGCGCTCGACCTTCTTATTTTCCTCTGCGATAGTTTTCATTACATTTATACTCCAACATCCAGTCGCAATACTCGGAAACAATAATTACTCGGTAGGGAAAAAAAGCAGATCGTACGGTACTCCGAAGAGTGATTATATATTATCGTTGTGCCACTGCTGTTTTCTCGCAATAACGAGACTTTTTAAAGAAATTTCTCCACGGTGGGAGATTTCTTAACGCGGTGCTCCACTTTTGCATGCCATACGCTTAGGTTTTTCACGCGTTAGGATACAAATGCGCAGAGCGAGAGAGAGAGAGAGAGAGCGAGAGCAAAAGCTGCCGAGGCAATTTTAGAAAGCTTTACGTAAATCGGTTGTAGCGCGCAAAGCTACGGCGAGCGGTCACGCCAGGAAAATTAGGTCGTTGCGTACGCGCAAAAAGTGCTCGTATGGCTTTGATCGCGAGGCCGTCCCCGCGCGGGAGAACGGGAGCGGGCGTGCAATTTCACCGGTTTCGATATGAAATTATAACGGTACTCCGCCGAGCAACAAGTCCGAGCGGACGTTGCCGCGCGCGGAGGAGCTCGCGCAAGCTCGCAAGCACATGACGCAGCGACGTGCCCGATGCGCAGAGCGTGGTGACGGTGGACAGCGGCGCGCGAAGCTGCAGCCTGTCGGACGCGAGCGGCGGGCCCGCGAGCGGCGGCAAGGTGTACCAGTTCGACGCGGCCTTCGGGCCGCAGGCCAGCACCGAGGCCGTGTACGAGGAGGTGGGCTCGTACGTGGTGGAGGCGGTGCTGGAGGGCTACAACGGCACCGTCTTCGCCTACGGCCAGACGGGCTGCGGTAAGTCGCACACGATGCGCGGCTTCATCGAGCGCGCGCTCGAGCACCTGTTCGAGGCCACCTCCACGGCCAGCCAGGACACCAGGTATCTGGCGCTGCTCACCTACCTGGAGATCTACAACGAGAAGCTGCGCGACCTGCTGCAGTCGCACGACCACCACGACGGCCAGCTGCAGCTCAAGGTCGGTGGGCCTCCGGCCAAATTTTCCACTCGCATTTACGAAACTGTTCGATCGCGCGCTGCCTCGGTCCACTCGAAACTCGCCGAACGCCGCGAACCGGTTCCTCCTCCCGGCTCGCGTAACTCATCGTTGCCGGCCGTTCGCGACACGTCATCCGTGTCCGCGCAGCGCGATGGCCCGCGAAAACTAGCAGCCGGCCCCGAGACGAGTGGACCGGGCGGCAGCGAGCGCTCGCGGCCCGAGGCCCCCGACTCGCGGCTCACGGCGCGCGCGCGCACGCAGGAGGACCCGGTGCGGGGCACCTACGTGGCGGGCGGACTGCGCGAGGTGACGGTCAAGGACGCCCGCGAGTGCACCAGGCTGGTGGAGCTGGGCGACCGGCGGCGCGCGGCCGCCGCCACCAAGATGAACGCCGCGAGCTCGAGGAGCCACGCCGTGCTGACGGTCTCGCTGGAGGCCATCGCGATCGGCGCCAACGCCGGCGGCGCGAGCGCCGTGCGCCGCGGCCGACTGCACCTGGTCGACCTCGCGGGCTCCGAGCGCCAGGGCCGCACCGGTGCCACCGGCGACCGGCTGAAGGAGGCCGCCAGCATCAACCTCAGCCTGTCGGCCCTGGGCAACGTGATCAGCGCGCTGGCCGCCGGCAACGGCCGACACGTGCCCTACAGGTATGCCGCCCGCGACCCCCGCTCCCGAGAGACCTCGGCCGATCATCACGGCGCCCGCCCCCGCCCGCAGGGACAGCAAGCTGACGAGGCTGCTGCGGGACAGCTTGGGCGGCAACGCGCGCACGCTCATGATCGCGTGCGTGAGCCCGAGCGACGCGGACGCGGAGGAGACCCTGAGCACTCTGCGCTACGCGGCGCGCGCCCGCTGCATCAAGAACAAGCCCGTCGTCAACGAGGACCCCAAGGACGCCCTGCTGCGCCAGTACCAGCTCGAGCTGCAGCGGCTGCGCAAGCTGCTCGAGTCGAGCGAGAGCAGCCGGGACTCGAGCGGCTGCGACGGCGACGAGGTGGAGCGGCTGCGCCGCGAGTGCGAGCACTCCACTTCGGCGGCGCAGAGGCTGCAGGAGGAGGTGCGCTCGCTGAGGAGCCAGTGCCAGAGCGGCGCCGCCAACGGTAGGTCTCGCCTCGGGCTCCGCGCGGCTCGCTTTCGCTTTTGCCAGTCTCAAGGATCGGTTGAAAATCAAGCAGGCCGCTCGACAGCCAGACATGCCAGACATTGTATCGCTGAGAAACTTACACGGAACACACAGCCGCGTCCGGCGTTCGCGATCGGAGCTGGTAAGAGGGAACGCACGCGCGCTCGCTCACTCGCGGAAGTGTCGACTCGTCGTCGTCGTCGTCGTCGATGCAAGAAAAGCAAAACGAAAGAAACGCGGTCACGCGGTTCACGGCCGTCGTTGTGTATACTCTTAATTAACGAGCGAATCGATCGGCAGCTCGGAAAAGTCGCTCGCCGACGGGCCGGTTCTCCGAATCAGAGACAAAAACAAAGAGAAAAGAAACAACTGACTGGACAAACTTGCAGTGCCAAGCACGCCGGACACGATCTTCGGCGACTTGGTCCAAAGCGCGGAGCTGAGGCAGCGTCGCCAGCAGCTGCAGCATCGCGCCAGCCAGCCGGACATGGTGTTCGGGGACCTGGTGCACTTGGACCTGTCACTCGACTTAGCACCGCCCGGAGCGCTCACCTGACGTTCGAACTTTGCACTCGCGAGCAAACATTACTCTAGCGCACCGCCCTAGGTAATCCTCTCGTGAATCTCGTGGGTGCAGCAACACGAACGGTGCGCAGCGAACCGAGTGAACCAGAAAACAAAACTCAAAAAACAAAAAAATACACACACGCCGGGACACACTGAGCTGGATAGACCTGATATGCAAATATGCGGTTTTTTGTAAGCAAATCTCCTCGTCGTTAAAAAGACACTTTACTGAATATTTGGACTCGAAAGAACTCATTCCATTGGACTGAATGACAGCTGGTGGACATGCACATACAAACATTGTTATATTATACCTTTCAACCGATCTTTGGACTGAGAGTTCAGTCCAATGGATTGAACTTTCGGTCCAAGGAATTTAGAGTGTGCGTGTGCGTGTGGGTGTGTGTGTTTGTGCGCCGTCCTTTCGATTATTCGCTTAATTATTGATCGCACGTTTTTCTGTTTACTCACTTATCCAAACATTCTCCTTCTCTCTTTCTCTCTGTCTCTCTCTGTCTCTCTCTCTCTCTCTCTCTCTCTCTCTCTCTCTCTCTCTCTCTTTCTCTCTACCTCTCTCTTTTTATTGAAATCGATAAACTGACAGTCACGAGTGTAACTGTTTATTTTGTACATACATAATTATTTGTTTTCTTAGATTATACGTAGCTGGAAGCAAACTGTTTTTTTTTCCTCGATATTCTGAAGAAGCGGCAAAATGACGCAAGACTAATCGGCCGTTTTGTTTTGCAGTACTGGTGATAGACTCGTCGCCGTCGAAAAGCAGCGAGGAGGCTCTCGATCCCGAGCGCGCCGAGCGTCGTCAGCGAAAACGCGAGGCCGCCAAGCAGGAAGTCCTCAAGCGACTGGAGAGATTGACGATCGGCGGCGAGGCGCTGGGTGACGTCGAAATTCGCCGGCGACGGGAGCGCAGGAGAAAGAGACTGCAAGCGCTGGCGGAGGCTCTGGAGAGGAGCAGTCAGGAGGGCACCGGCTGCGCCTTCGAGGTCTACGGCCAGCTCAAGTCCACCGAGGAGGCGCTCAAGAAGATGGCCAAGAGAGCCAAGCAGCTCGAGGCCGAGGTCGCCGACATGCAGGTGCGCCTTGCTTTCCGTCCAGCCGTTGTGTCGGCGAGTCATCCAGCTGATCGCGCGGGCCGTTTGTGCCGACTGGTAACGAGGGAAAGTGGTCTCTGGATACGATACGCGAGGAGGCTTTCGGAATACGTTGCTCTCCCGACGAGCGAGGCTCAGCAATTACACTTTCAAAATCCTTACGTCCGCTCGATGGATTCTCCGCGAACAACGCGAGTCGCAACGTAGCCGAGTAAGCTGGTGCTCGCATCCGCGATTCCTCCCTGCGGAATCGCTCGCGAAGCAACTTCATACGTCGACTTTACTTTTGCTCCGGGGCCGCGGAGGGGAAGAGACCGTTGTTTTCACCGCGGACGCTTTCGATGGATCGCCGTCGCGCGGACGAAAGAAAAGGAGACTCGTTGCGGGCGCTCGCCGAGCCGCGCGATCATCCTCTCACTTTCGCATCCAGCGGTATGGCGGCCGGCAGGTAGAGCTGACGCGCGCGACCTTTCGCTTCGGCAGGCGTCCTGGGACGAGGAGCGCCACGAGCTGCTGCGCCGCGAGCTGCTCACCCAGCAGATCTGCGAGGCGATGATGCCGCACCTGCGTCCGGGCTGCCCGCTGCGCGACATCGCCGCTATCAGGGCGGCGGCGTCGTGGTGCACGGAGCTGGGCCGCTGGCGGCTGCCCGACATCTCGTCGCGCGTGCCGCTGCCACCCGCGGCCGCGCTCAAGACCCCGCCGCCGGCCGAGCCCAAGGCCGACGTGAACAACAACAACAACGTCCCGACCGCCAGCGGTGGCAACGACGCCAGCCTGGACGAGGAGAGCGCGGGCGAGGAGCGCGAGACCAACATCGCCGACGTGTACTTCAAGCGGAGCCGCGTCGACAAGATCCTCCAGCGCGTGCGGGAGGTCAAGTCGTTCGGTGAGTGGTCGGCGCCCGTCGCTCTCTGGCGCCGCGGCGGGTTGCCCTCAACAGCGTCGCACAAGGAGTCGTTAGGCTAATGGCCTCGCGATGCGTCAGCTTTGCGCGGTCGCGACTCTGTAATGGCGTGTTTATTTCACTGCGACAGCCTCGGCGACAGTGATATGCGTAATTACCGGCCGGCAATTTGACGTTTCACTCGGCTCGAAACGCGACGAGGCAGGATTAATCAGCCGGCGCGGGAGAGAGAAAGAAGAAAACGAGCTGGCGTCGTTGTGCCTCGCCGATCTCTTGGAAGAGGAAAACGAAGGATCGCGCGACGTCGTGAAAAAAAAAAAAAAAAAAAAAAACTGAAAAAAAAGCAATCCAACGCGCGCGATAATGAATAATCGAGCGGCCGCTAATGACACGACGAGCGCAATGTCGTTCAACCGCGCCAACGAGGAAAGCGATCCGCAGAGCTGCATCACGTTGCGGTGCGCTGCCGCACTTCGCGCCCTCGTGTTTGCACAGCGGCTACAGTGTGATGCAGCTCCGCCGGGCTGCCCGTATGCTAATAACCGCGAGGCGAGAGGAGCGACGACAGTCGACGCGCTCAATGGCCAGCCGCGAGCGAACGGTGCGCTGTTTGCTTTTGCACTCTTGCCGGCTCGTTCGCGACCTTGCCGATCGATCCACTTATTCTCCCGGCCGAAGTATAGGTGAGGAAACGTCGAAATCGAGGGGGAGGGGGGACGAGGAAAATTTGTGTATCGTCGCTCGAGGCTGCAAGGAGCGCGCGCGAGCGGCTAATTTCAATGACTGCTCCTGCCAATTTTTTTTTTCCTTTTATGCCGTTCGTAAATAATAAATTATAAATCGCGCGAGATTTTGAAAAATGAATGACTAAGCGTGTGGAAATTATTAAGGGGAACTTTATTCGACGTAATTAATAACGTAATTTAGAGGGAAACGACATGAAAAATGAACACAAAAAGGCTCGAGTTATTAGAATTCTCAACCGGCAGATCACGCACTCGGCATTACTAGAAAGTCCGTTCATAATTAATCGAAGCGCCGATGCTCGCGCAAATGCAGCGCGGAGAAAAAAGAAAGGCTCGGATTCACTTGGTCTTATCATCATCCGCGATATGCTCGCGCGAGATTCACAGTTATTCGCGGCTATACGAGTATATCGACGAACTCGCGCGACCTTGATTTACCACAAACTGGCCTACTGCGTCGACGCTGCGCGTTCCGTTGCTCTTCGATTTTTAATGACCCGAGCATCGTCACCGGCGTTTTTTAAAATGATCCCCGGTGCGAGAGCATCACCCGATCCCAAGCGAGCGGAATCTCGAAACGCTTTGGCGAGACGATTACGTGGCCGTTGCGTGGCCGATTAATATGCTCGTATGATGCTTGATTGGCAACATTTTTTGCCTCTCTCTCTCTCTCTCTCTCTCTCTCTCTCTCTCTGATAATACTTGATTCGCATTGAAAGAAGCGAAGCTTTTGACAGTTCGTTAGTCACGTACAGACATCGTTTTGAGCTCGCGTTGTCTCGCGCTCGCGCAACCAAATCTAGTATCTTTTAATTTATAATGTGAAAAAAAAAAGAATGAAAAAAGTAAAGAGCAATTATATGCACGGTAGTTAATAGGCATGAAAAAATCGTGGCGCGAGATTGAGCCTTGCGCGATTAAATCAACAGGTTTGTACTACTTTTTTTCCTCTCAATCGAGAGCTCCGACAACGACACGCGCACGATTAGCTGCAGCACTATGAAGTCACACTCCAAGCCGTCGCGAGTCGTAAAGAGCTTTGAAAGTCACGATTGTTAAACGTCGGAGGGGAAATTCACGAGCCTCGTTGTTTTCCAACTCGCCGACGACGTTCGCGCGCCACAACGCGATAATGATAATTAGAAAATGCATCCTAAACGCTCGCCGAGCCTCTTCCTCGCGAATTGCCACGCGCGAGTTGACGTCTCTTCGTTCTCACAGACACGGCGAGTCGGCTGAGCAGGTCGGGCGGCTCGTCGGAGGAGCCGCAGCCTCTGGCGTCGAGTCAGCTGGCGCTGCAGCAGCCGGTGCAGTTGGGCTCCCTCGGCACGCTTAACGGCGCCTCGACTCCGCCCCGGCTAATCGGCGCTTGGGTACAGTCCGACGACGTCGTGCCGACAACCATCAACGGCGACTTCTTCAAGCGACAGCAGCAGCAGCAGCAGCAGCAGCAACAGCAGCATCCGCGCATCCTCGAGGCGCTGCACCCGGCCAGCCACCGGCTGCCCAACCCCATATCTTGAATGGTCAACTGGTCGCCTGACTCGTCGTACATCTCTCTTGTTTATTTGAAATCGTTCAAGTGCCTTTTATACAAGCATGTACATATTACAAAGATAGTTAATAAAAGCGACGACGATCCGAGTGCTGGCAACTCGATCGTGCAGGAAACGAAGGGAAACGGTGGATCGGCGATGGTCGTCGTTGCAGCGATATCGGCGCCGCTCGATAATGGAAGAAAAACAAAAGGGAAAAAAGAAAACGAACGCGGCGGTTGGCGGAAGCGAAAGCTGCCAGATGCGAGCGGCAGATAAGCGGGCGGCGATCGAAATCCTCGTCCATTATAACGCGCCGCGCGCGTACGTGCACGTTGCGAAAGAGTGCCGCCTTGGGCGCGCACGCGCTCATTATCCTGCGCAATATCCTCCGCGTATGCGCTTGTCCGCGAAGGCCGCGCGCCATGCAAATGTCGCGCGCGGAGATAAGCGCCGCAACGGCCGACGTCTGGCTATGTCGACGACAAACCGCAGCTGTGAATACACTAGTTATAAGATTTGTGAATAAAAAGAGAATAAAGCGACATGAGTACAAAGTCTCGGCCTACATACAGTCATTCAGCGCGCTCACGCATCCCGCCTCGGAGCAGGTTCGTCCGCTTTAGCTCGTAAAAGGGGCAGCGAGCGTGAAAGTCCGCAGCGCGCGCGCGGCAAACTCCACGAGAGAAGATCATGCGATCCAGGCAGACAGTAAAACTCTTACTTTCCCGCGCGGCCCGTCGGCGCTTTCCCTCGCCGATCCTTTCACGTGCAGCGGCAACTGCATTGTCCGTTCGCAGACGTCGACGCCACTGAGCGCGTTTAGAAAGCAGCGGAGCGGAGATGCAGCGCGCTCGGCTTGGAGAGCTGGTAAATTCCGCTACGCTGATCGCTGATCGTCGCCGCTGCTCTCGAGCGAATCAAGAGAGGAGAGAGAGGTGGGAGTGAGCGCCGCGCGAGTTCCCAATAGCAACGAACGAGCGACTGGTCGTGTGGCCATATAGCAGCAGTCGTCGACGCGCTCGCGCAGTGTGCGTGCCTCTTTAGTGCGCGTGCTCCCGGTCCCGCATTGCGGATAATGCGACTGACCGTCCGCAGACCCGCTTCTGTCTCGTACTAGGTTAATACGCAGCGACGAGCGATCCGTACGAAGCGAATGGCGAGTGACGAGACGCGATCAACAACGCTGACAACATGACCTCGGTGCTGTCCAAACTGATCGACCGCACCTCCAGCAAGTACCACATCCGCCAGGAACAGCTGACCAGGGGTGTCGTAGGCGCCGTCACCGCGCTCTACCTGCTCAAAGTCGGCTACCCTTACCTCGCCGCCTCCGCCAAGGTCTGCCTCGCTCAGGTTAAAGGGCTCGACAATGCCGCCAACGCTGCCGTCAGCAAGGTGCAGAACAACAACAACAACAACAACAATGTTAAGAAAAAGAAGAGGGCTCAGGAGAAGCGGGACGAGGCCAAGGACAAGAAACTCGCTGCTTTAGGACTCGACAACCAATTCATCAAGCAGTTGCTCATGCTGCTGAAAATCATGATTCCCGGATGGAGGACCAAGGAAGCTGGGCTACTGACGTGCGCGACTGTCACGCTGCTCGCCAGGACATTTTTGTCCGTGTACGTCGCGACGCTCGAGGGCCAGATCGTCAAGAGGATAGTGCTCAGAGACGTTTGGGGCTTCTTTTGGATGTTGACTAGGTGGCTGGCTGTGGCTTTTCCTGCCACGTTTGTCAACTCAGCCATCAGATATCTAGAAGGTCGCTTGGCCCTGAGCTTCAGGTACCATTGCTTTGTGTGCAACTGTTAGAGAAACTCACTGATGCTTCTTCTTATTACGGTGACTAAGACTGTTGGCAAACTGTGAGAATCCACTGGTGTTTTTTTTTTTGTACAGGGAACGTCTGGTGAGTTATGCCTACAATATGTACTTCAACCAACAGACGTACTACAGGGTCGCCGCATTAGACACTCGCCTTGGTGGAGCAGAACAAAGACTGACTGATGACCTATCAGAGCTGGCCAGCTCTGTGGCACACCTCTACTCAAGCCTGACTAAGCCACTGCTGGACTGTGCACTAGTTGGCATTGCTCTTATATCCTTTTCTCATCGCATGGGAGCTAAAACTATTCCTGGTAATCACAAAAAACTTTTATCTAATGTAACACAAAGAACAAAGGCTATTTTGCTCTTGGGCTTATCATTCTTGCTCGTGGTTTTGAAACATCAGTCTGGGATTTGTCTTATCTCTCAATTCATTGATAAAATATTTGCACTCGAGTGGCTTGCAAGATTGTCTTTTTTATTTATCAATTTTATAATGAGTTGTTTGTTCGTTGGATGCCTTGTTATATAAATTAAACAGTGCTATATTGGATTCTCCTTTTGTAAGAAAAAAGTTGATGATCCATCAGTAGATTACAAAAATAGATGTCATTTGAGATAATGCCACTAGCAAGATAATGAGTCTGCTATTATTATAGCTACATGCTAACAAAGCTCTAGATTTTACATTTGAAAATTAATCATACTTCTAGACTTTCTAGAAGCAATTGAATTACTCCTATTTTAATTTTAAAATTCATCATTTATTCTTTTATTTGAATAATAAGTAATGCGACACATCTTTTTAAGGTCCTCTCCTATCAGTTGTTGTGATTGCACTCACTGGTCAGATTCTACGATTAGCCTCTCCTCGTTTTGGCCAATTAGTTGCTGAGGAAGCTTCACGAAAGGGTAGATTAAGAGAGGCTCATGCCAGAATAAGTGCTCATGCTGAAGAGATTGCATTCTATGGTGGCCATAAAGCAGAGCACAGATATCTGACAAGAGCTTACAAGCAGCTGACAATGCATTTAAGAAAGATTTTAGCTCTTAAATTGGGATATGTCATGTTGGAACAGTTTTTAATGAAGTATGTCTGGTCTGGTACTGGACTTGTGGTAATTGCCTTGCCTTTATTGGCCTCCACAAACGGCATTTTACAGTCTAAGAGTAACGATGGAGATGGTCTGTATTACGTTTGCACGCAAGTAATGCGCAACCCTTGAAAACAGTTTTATGATTTTAATTTTATTAGGTGGCGTGAGCGAGAGAACAAGATATTTAACAACATCGAAACATCTTCTGACTTCTGGCGCAGATGCCGTGGAAAGATTGATGTCTTCTTACAAAGTAAATTTCGTTCACGTACTTAGAGAAAAGTAATATTTTTTTAAATGCACAAACGTTAATTGAGCTCTTAATTTGTTCTAGGAAATCGTTGCGCTCGCTGGTTACGTTGCCCGAGTCAGTGAAATGTTAGATGTATTTAAAGATGCTCAAGTTTGCAAGTACCACAGAAATGTTGTAACAACTTGCCAAACCAGAACGCCTAATGGCACAACCGTGGGAAGTCAAAATCTTGAATTCAAGGATGGATTACCGATAATTAAAGGTTGACGCAACGTTTTTTTTTCGCAAACATATTGCATTTTTTTTTAAATTGAATGTATTAATAATATTTTTAATAAAATTTTCGATGTATTTTTAGGAACTGTCCGAGATAGTGAAGACGGAAGTATAAGTTTAATAGACGTGCCAATTGTCACCCCTAATTGTGAAGTTATAGTATCTAGTTTAACACTCAAGGTGCATTTGAAAGCTTTTCCTTAATTTAATTAACGAATCATACAAGCAATTACCAATTGTCGTTTGATATTCACAGATCCGACCGGGAGACCATACAATCATCACCGGGCCCAACGGTTGTGGCAAGAGTTCTCTTTTCCGCATCGTGTCGGGCTTATGGCCAGCTTACGGCGGCATTCTTGTTCGACCGGGCGAGTCGTACTCATTAAAAACCGGCCGGCCGGCTCTGTTCTACATCCCGCAAAAGCCGTACATGACTGTGGGTTGTCTGCGCGATCAGATAACTTACCCGGCCGAGGTATCTAAAGACGAGAGTATCGACGAGGAGTTGCTCGAGTTGCTCGAGTTGGTAGATCTAAGAGGACTCGTGGAGAGAGAACCCGACGGCCTTGACGCTGTTGGTGACTGGGACTCCACTCTATCTGGTGGCGAGAAACAACGTTTAGCCATGACCAGACTTTTTTATCATGCGCCGCAATATGCACTACTCGACGAGTGTTCCAGCGCAGTCAGTCTTGAGGCAGAGGGTGCGATGTACGAGACAGCCAAGAAGAAGGGAATCACTTTGCTGACAATAACCCATCGCGTAGCCTCGTTGTCCAAGTATCATAAATTTATTTTGAGGTTTGACGGCGAAGGCGGCTGGAATTTCGGACCACTTGACGTCGAGAAAGTGGCAGTCATCGCATATAATGAAAAAACGGCAGAGGAAACAGCAGATAGACATTGCGACGATACGTGTCTCGGCGAAAGTTCCGTTATCAAGTGGATTACATTCGACGATTGTGACAATCAGCCGAAGGAGGAAGTTAAAATGAAGGAAAAAGGCGTCAACCACTTTCAGCGTCTGCAGGTTCGTGCACTTCACTTTTTGAAATTAAAGATCAATTTCTAACGACTAACAATGGTTAAAGCGATGCCCTTGCTAACAAATTTAAATAATGCACACCGAAATTCTTTAATCTCACAAAGTGACGTATGTTAATTTTAGGAAATTCGCAGGATGAACCGAGAAGGAACGCAAATGGATATCATGACTTATTCACAATATAATAGAGCGAATAATGCGTAAATTGGTGAGAATTCTCGTTCGATGCATGCGGATGTATGTACACATTATATCTACGTAGGTTTCTATTAATTGTACAAAATACGAAATTAATTGCTGTATTTTTTATAAGAAGTAATGTCAATTACATTAAACTTTTAAAGTTTATTGTGAAACGTCATGATGACGCTCTAATTGTGATAGTAAAGCATCATCGACGACTTTGAAAAGAAAGAAAGATAGAAATTTGAAACCAAAAATTTGTTGTTACACGTAGATCGACAAGAGGCATTGAAATTCTCCTTTATCATATTAATATGTTAATGAAAATTCTTCACGCTAAAAAGTGATTTTCCAAAGTTAAACTATAACTGAAAAAATCTTTAATAAGCACTTTAGACGATTTTTCACGAAATGAAAAAGTTCCTTTCTGAGCTAACCCTTTCACTTATATCAATAATTAAGCTAATCAAAATACGTAAGGCGTAGTAATGCGGATTAATATTTACTGTAATTAAAGTGGAGTTTAGATATTTTTATTAGAATGAAGAGAGCATGAAAATAATTGAGGAAAAGTAAGTATGTTATAATAAAACACAATGAAAAGATGAAATAATAAAGAAGATGAAAAATTTTGTGATAGCGAATAAACGTAATGCCAAACTTAAATTAAAAGTTCGTATCGATATTTTTATTAATTTTGATATAAATTGCACACATCACGAATCATCGTTGAATAAATGCTTTCTCAGAGAATAACTAACTTTAACACTTCTTACACATACCAGAACAAAACTAACTAATAAGTAAACATCCGAGATCCTTGTATGTTGCAGGGAGGAACCTCTTATTTATTCGTTCGTGTAGTTAAAATATTCGAGAAAGAATAACGATAGATTATGTTTAGAAAAGTTTTTCATTGACGTAGTTGATCAATCAAGAAATCGTGATTATATTAAACTAAGAATGTATCAAGCGTCGATATTTTTGGTTATTCGTAAAATGAAATTGGGATATTTTTTCGACTCAATTTGAATAATTTTGATTTTTTCGCAGTCGTTTCATATAAATATATTTTGTCAATTTTTAATATTAATTTATAATGTTACGTACGTTATTAGTATTAGATTGTTCAAATGAAATGAAATGATAATTCTTTCGGATACTCATTTAGTTGGAATAAAATTAATTAAAACAGAAACTGACTTTTATTTCCTTTTCCCCCTTCCACTGTTTATCTTTAAGCTTCAGCTGCGTTTGCTTCTTGGGAAGAGCATTTACGAATTAGTAGTTGGAAAGCTATATTCGAAGGAATAAGTCAACGATATTCGAATAAAAGCGGTTATATCATTTTACGTAATTTCGTAGTATCAAGTTGCTCGATGTGTATTAAATGCGTCTCGTAGGGGTGAAATATATATCTATATTAAGATGGCGGCGATGACGAGGGTGAACAAGAATCTCTCGGCATGACCGAGTATTTCGACAATGCGCCATTGCGATAAACGCTATCGTCGCTTTAGACGATCAATCGTCGAATCCAAACCTCGACAGTTCGCTGCAATTTGCGACTTGAATAATGGAGCTTTCGCCGAGACACGTGGCGTCGCAATGTCGATCTGCTGTTTCATCCGCCGTTTTTTGCGCGCTATTTTTTTTCTGCTTCGAAAACTTGGTTTTCGATGATGCCCTAAAAGTGCCGAGTTGAGAAAGTGGCGGTAATTGCTGTAATGCCGCTCTCCCTCTCTCTCTTCTTCTGTCGGGCGAATTTGCAGCAGAGAATCCGAGAAATCGATATGGCGTTGAGCGTCAACTTAACTTCCGCTGCGTACGGAAATTTAATTTGAACTTTTGGCGGTGTGCGGGAGCGAAAGAAGGTCGCGCGCGCGATTATAATTGATCGGCAAGAGCGTGATCGGCCGACCCGTCGTTCGATCAACCAACGAGGAAAAAAAAGGACATCGAAAGAAATGAAAAAAGGCGGCGGACGTCGAAAGCGCGCGACGATGAGCTAGCCTCCCCTCGCCCCTCCGCTGCGACGGCCGGCCGAAATCGCAGCTCGGCGGGCGGCGCGACGGGTCGACACGAGAGTCCCGCGTCCCCCGGCGGCAGCCCGAAACGGCATCTTCGGCGCGGAGATCGAGGCGGCGAAGGGACGGGAAACGCAATTACGAGCGAGCGCGGCGCGTTCTTTGTTTTGAAGCTGCGGCGAAGGGAGGAAGAGGCGGCAGCGAGAGGGCTGGTGGGCGCTCGCCGGGGAGGGAAGCCGTGTAAGGCCCGATGAGCTTACCACGGAGGTGAAACCCCGCAAACGTCAAACGTCGATAGCGGAGAGCGAGCCAGCCATGTTGAAGCGACGTAGAGAGAGAGAGAGAGAGAGCGCGCGCGAAACGCACGAGCGCGTCCTCAGCTACTCCAAGCGCGCGCGCGCGCGGCGCCGCAGCTAAGCAAACACGCGCGCAACGATAATACGCACGAGATTAAGGACGAGCGAGAGAGAGAAAGAGAGAGCACGCGCGCCTCTTTGTCCCAAGTAGCCGATTGGGTTACCGCGGCCGACGCGTGCCAGCCGGCGCTCTGTTTGCCGACGCCTAATTAAGTCTCGGCCGGGATAATCCAGCGGCCGATCGCTGTCATCTCCCCGGCCGGCGCAATCACTCTCAGCATCCCTATCGAGGCGGCGGCGCGCGTGCGAGCGTCGAAGGGCGGCCGAGGTGGCAAACACAGGTGCGCGACCGCAGCGCAAAAAAGGCGCTTGCGCTTTTGGGGCCGGACGCGCGGCGACCGCCGCCGCCGCCGCCGCCGCCGCCGCGGAAGAGGCGCGGTGTACGCTTACCGCCGCCGCCGCGAGGTCCGATCGGAAAAGCGGGAAGCAGGCATTACGAGCGAGTGATCGCGAGGACCACCGGTTCTCTGTCGCGCGCGCGCGCGCGCCCGCCGGCGTAACCCAACGCGGCCGCGCGCAGCGCCCGACAAATGTGTCGTGCGAGGCTGACTGAGCGATTAGTATCCCGTGTCACGACGACGGCGACGACGACGACCAGCCAGCGAGGGATGCTCCGCGCTTGGCCGCGCCGCGACTCAGTCAGTTGGCCGACGCTCGCCAAGCGGCTCGCACTGGCCGCAGTCGCGGTGACCTACGCCGAGGCCGTGAATGAGCGGCGGACGCCGAGCGCGCTCGTTGCGCCTGAGATGACGACGGCCCCGCGAGGCGGTGATAGTGGCTGCCGTCGCTCGCGTTGTCCCGGCAACCGGAGGGGCTGGACCGCTTGATAAGCAGCGCAGCAGCCGATAGGACGGCGACGGCAGGCGGCGAGTGCGCATATGCAGGCATGTTCCTCAGGGAGGCCGACGAGCACAATTTCACCGCCGAGATGGAGTTCCTACACAGCCATCATTCCGCCAACAGCTCCGAGTCGCCCTACACCCTCGGCGCCGGTGAGTCGCCCTTTGTTTTTTTTCTCGCTCTGCATCCTCGCGTCGCTGCGATCGACGGCGGACTGTCCGGTCGTCCATCCGCGTCCCTCGCGATGTCCCGTCGTCGCTCCTCGGAATGCCGGCTATCGGACTGCGAGTTGCGTCGCCTAATCGCGTTGGAAGGCGCCGAGCGTCGAGCTTGCAGGAGCGAGGCCAGCGGCGCGCTTCGAGTGAATTCGACGTCGCTGTTCGACGATTGACCGCGCGACCTCAAGACGGAGCTTTCGACCGAGCAGCCCGCGCTTTACCTTGTCGCAGTCGCTCCGGCCTTTCGACCCGAGAATCGTCGATCGATGGCGTCGCGGGTCTCGTCCGCTTTGCTGAAATTTCACCCGGGGCGCTCTCCGTCGTTCTGCCCAACGCTGCGCGGAAGCTTCGTCGAGTAAGGCGCCCTTTTGCGGACAGTCGCCGCGGTTTCGTTATCCTTCGTGCCGGCCCGAAACGAGCACGAGACGCACAGGTGTCAACGGGCTTAAGTTATTACGCGCGTCTCGTTGTTCCCACCCGAGAGGATCGTTTTTCGCGAGGGAGCAAGCTGCTTCTCGTTGCCGCGGCCGAGTCCCTCGCGAAAAAAACTCGCGCGAACGACCGGACGGACAAACAAATATACATGTTCGCAGGCTCGGTTGGAAGCATCGAGGCGAGCATACCGTCGGCGCTGTGCGGCGGTGGTGGGCTGAGCACAGAGGACGACGGCGGTGGCGGTGCGGTAAATCCGGCGGACGCAGACCCGGGCGACGGCGAGGACAACGGGGACAATGGTCTGGCGAGCTGCCTGAGGCTGCAGGACTTGGCGGTGACGGGCGGCGAGATCCACAGCGTGCAGAGCGCCAACGCGGCCGCGGCCGCGGCCTCGCAGCTCGTCGGCGAGTTCGCCACCAGCTTCTGGGTCGACGACATGGCCGGGTTCCCGCTGCCGCCCCTCGACCTCGATCCCCTGCCGCCGGGACTCTTCTCGCCCTGTTCCGGCGGATACAAGTGAGACCCCGGGAACTCCCACTCTTTCTTAGCCGACCGCTTGGGAGAGGGAGACGCCTGTACGGGCGCGACGGCGATACGCGACACTCGAGACGATCGAATTTTGATAGCGGCCGATCGATTTTTGATAGGTACGGCCTGCTGCCCCAGGTAGAAGTGATATTTTGACTCGCGGCCGACGCGTCGAGAGAGAAAAGACAGCTCAGCCGACGACGGCCACATCTCCACTCCGGATTCGTTTCCTTTTCACGCGAACGGCAGGATGATGCTCCGGCTGCGTGGACGCGCGACACTGATACTCGGCTAAGATCAATTTTGGAGATGAGACTTTTCTCGAGTATTTCGCGACCTGCCGTTCTACGCGAACAAGTAGATTATACGCTCTTTCCACAACCATTCTAGCGTGATTCGATAGATTTCTCATCGTTAGCATCGCTACGAATTATGCTTTTCAACTTTTAACTGCCGTGAAATTGTAGAGAAACAAGTAAATAGTAACAACAATGAAGCAAGCAAGCAAGACCCGTTGCTTGCTTTCAAAAGCGAATGAAGTTTCGAGCTCGCGGAAAAAGTGGCCATTGCGTGACTTTATTGCTCGATCGATCGTTGCGTCGCAGCGCTAAAATTCGGACGGGATAGTCGATCGGAAACGAAAAATAATGGAACAGCAGCCCTCGACGCGGATGACCGTCGCGTACAGGCGTTTCCAGCGCGCTCGAATGCTCTCGGGCGATTCGGCGAGAGTATAGGGCCCAAGCCGAGGACGGACTTCACAAGCGAGTGTTGTGGTGCAGTTGGGGTTGCGCGAGAGGCGACTGCATGCCGCGTCCAGGCAACCTGAACGGCGAGGGCATGGCGGACGTGCTGCTGTCCTTGAAGCACGCGGTGGTGCACCCGGCGAGCCCGACCGGCGGCTACTACTCGTCGACGACGACGACGACGCCCGTCTCGCACTCGGGCTACGGCTCGCAGGACTACGGCCAGAACCTCGGCGGCCCGGCGGCACCGACGCACTACTCGCAGCAGCCGGCCATGTCCGTCAACGTGTCCATGAACATGACCATGAACATGAATATGAACATGAACATGCACCCGGGGTGAGTCCAAGCCTTGCAGCCGCTGCTGCGCTTTTTCTGCCCGCGGCTAATTGTCGCGGCGGACGAATCGATTACACCGTTGGGCGAGCTCGGCCGCGGGCTCCGGTTACCTCGCGCGATCCACGGTTTTCTCATGGAGGAACCGCATTCTTCGCTCACCTCGATACCAGCCAACCGACGCTTCTTCTCCTTCGAGCTCGCCGCGACAGTAGTTGGCGAAAATCATTTCTCGCGTGCCGCGCCAATCAGTAGACAAGCGCGAGCTTGGCTCGGACGCGAACACTCGGGGCCTTCTCGTTCGCTGGAATTGCCGTCAACTCGTTTTCGTAAGCTCGCGCACTCCGATGAGAATCGTCCGACCATAGATAAATGGCCGCGGCGATGAAAGCGACTGTACGTGGTTTGATAAAAACGAAGCCTCGACGCTTCCAATTTATATATTTACGCGTATACTGCGCTCGTCTTTCGTACTTCGCCAATGTATTGCAGATTTTAAAGCTATTTTTGCGCTCTTTACGCTCGGTATTCGCGGATTACGCTTCACGTGCAATGAGCACACATCGCCGACAAGCTGATGCGCTATTTAGCTCGCCTGATTGATTTTTGTAAACATGAGCCGATGCAAGCACAACTTTTGGAATCGACTTGGCGGAATCTCGCTTCAGTCCGTCGCGCGAAGCGACGCTTTGAGAACGCGATATTCGCGTTAAAGGCCCAGAAAATTATTATTAGCGAATGGCCTTTGCAGTATGATTGTTGTAACGTTAGTTGCCGGCAACGAAGCTGTTTATTGATTTTAGTTTCGCGCGAGAACTCGAAAACCACTAGTGCACGAAGAGCAACTCGATCCCGGCGTCGAAACGGCAAACGAAAAGGAAAAAAGACAAAAAAGAAAAAAAGAGGGCCGGCTCGCGTAGGCAAACGCGAGAAGGCGTGTAAATGGTGGATCGCGGCAATTGTTGTTGCAGCTACGAGCAGAATTACGGGAGTCCGTGGGGCGTGGAGCCGGCATTGCTGAGTCCCGCCCCCCAGTACGCGGGGGTCGAGCATCCGCAGCAGAGGGTGAATCAAGCGGCGGCCAATAGCCTTGCGGCGGCGGCCGCCGTTGCCGCCGCGGCGACCACTGCCGGCAGCGCCGGCGCGACTCAGCAGCAGCAGCAGCCGCCGCAGCAGCAGCAGCAGCAGCAGCAACAACAGCAACCGCAGCAGCAGACCGGCAGCGCGCAGCAGGAGAATCACACGCTCTGCGCTGCTGCAGCCGCCGCCGGCGCCGGCCTCGCTCAGCTGTCCCTCGGCGCTCAGGACGAGCAGGCCCGGCCCAACCTCTGCAGGATATGCGGCAAGACCTACGCCAGGCCCAGCACGCTCAAGACCCACCTCAGGACGCACTCCGGGGAAAAGCCCTTTAGGTGCGATCTCGCCAACTATTGCCGTCGGAATCTGCTTTTCGACAATTCTAGTAGAGTTGCAAAGCCTATTTGAAAATCTCATTTCTCTAAAGGGAAACAACGGTCAACTTTTTTAAATATCCTTTGCCAAACAAGTTTCTGGGACGCAGCATCGTCGAACGAACGTTAAGACAACTATGTTTTAATTACAATGAAATGCGTCGAAGATTCGTCACCGAGCATTTTTCGACAAACAAGTGGCATCCGTAGAGTTCGGTCGGACATCGTCGCGGCCGACTGATTTCTACGACTGGCCATCGATATTAGTTTCCGATCGCGCGCGTCCGCGATAACGATCAAACGGAAAGCCAGATTTGAAAGCGCGAAGCGTCGCGCTGCGAAGAGTGGCGCTCGGCTGAACGACGACAGTGCAGAGATGAGTCCAGTCTCATGCCTTTGCAATTGCAGGTGTCACGCGTGCTCGAAGGCGTTCAGCCAGGCGGCAAATCTGACTGCGCACGCGAGGACGCACTCGGGCGAAAAGCCCTTTCGCTGCCCAGTCTGCGAACGGAGATTCTCACAGAGCAGCTCCGTCACTACGCATATGAGGACGCATTCCGGCGAACGGCCCTACAGGTATGCCGACTGCATCCCCTTTCTCCAGTCCGCTGCCTCTTTCCTTCAAGAATTTCCATTTGCTGTTTTTTATGTACACAGCGATCGATATCGATCGATCGCTAAACGTAATTGTCATTGTCGATAATTTCTTTTGCAAATTTACTGATATCCATTACATAACGTGTGTATGTATACTTTCAACTTTCTATTGCACAACTTGTCAATTAAAAAAAATGACAAATCGTCCGAATTTCATTAGTACTTGTCGATTTATGCATTATTTTTCATAAAAATTCAGTGACTTTTTATCTTAGTCGAATGAAAATAACGAGTCATTTTTATCGCGGAGCTTTTAATTGAGCACATTTTGCATTTGTCCAATATTTAAAATGTCGGTAATCGCGTGCTCGCAGCGGAATATAATACAAGTCAAGCGTTGTTGAAAAATAGAAAAATAAAAAAAAACAGAGTAACAAAAGTTAACGGTAATATTGAAAAATCAATCATGTAAGAAATCGATTAAACCGAGAAAACTTAACCGATAATGCAGAGAGAGAGAGAGAGTGTGAGAGAGAAAGGAGGCGGGGGGGTCAGCGAAACTCAATACATTGAAAATGCCACAGGTGTCGACACTGCAAGAAGGCCTTCTCGGACAGCTCGACGCTCACGAAGCACTTGCGCATCCATTCGGGCGAAAAGCCGTACCAGTGCAAGCTGTGCCTGCTGCGCTTTAGCCAAAGTGGCAATCTCAACAGGCACATGAGGGTCCACGGCGGCTCTTTACCGCGCTTGCCATCGCCATGATGACGACACGGCGTCAGCAGCTGCTTCGTCGACATCCACAACGAACCAATTTGAGAAAACAAAACAAACGTTTATCTACTAGTCGAAACCAAAAATTTTTTCGAGTTTTTTCATTGTAAGAATAGCAAAAAGCAAGCAAACGACAAAACAAACAAAACAAAACAAATGAAAGGGCGGCCGTTTAATTCAAACACCACAGCACCGCTGATTATTGTACAAATATTGTATTTATTATAATTATTATTATTAATTATAATTAATATTAATGTTGCTGTTTTCACCACTTTCAATTGCCATCTCGTGTGTGGTTTCTTTATTATTAATTAATTTAAATCTTCTCGTTCTTATTTATTTACTTCTTTTGTTTGCCGTCGATTCCGCGCGCACTCGAGAATGCAAAACGAGACCTTGACTCGTTTATTCTTCTGTCTTTTTCTTTTTTTCTTTTATCTTTTTCGTAAAAAAGTCTCATAATTTTCTTTTAATCTTCGCCCTTTTCGTTCAAATCAATAATAACGAACCACAAATGAATGTTTCTCGCGCATCTCTCTCGTGCATCGTACAATACAGTGTATTTTTTTTAAATAACATCATCGGCATTTAAGGGGATAGAATGTATGGAGACGGGGATAAGAAGGAGGTCTGGTTTTTCTATCGTGGCTGTATTTTTATCTCTCATCGATGCATCATGAATTTCTTCATTGTTCTACAATTCAATATGTCGCACTCTCACTCTCGCTCAATCCTTTTCTCACCTCATTTACTTCAAATTGTTTTATAATCGAAACTTTCAATGAACAACTCTATTAATTTTGTTTTCAAAAAACCGTATTCTCGCTCATCTATTATGTTTTCGTTTGCTCACGCTCATTTTTTTCTATATATAATGATGCATTTATAAGTAATATACTTAAATAAAAAAAAAATCGATAATGTCTCTACGTTTTCTGTATCGTACGGTTGCATAAAGACGAGTTGGTCCGTATCAGTTCTGAATCATCATCCTCGTAATTTGGAACTTCTATATCACGATTCATCGCTTCGAAGACTGAATAAAAGATTTATACAACATCCCCGTGTAAATACAAGTCAGGACCAACTTGTCATTTAGCAGACGTACTTTGTGTATTTCTTGCTTTTTTCATGTTATGCAGTATACTCCTATTAAAAAATCTATATGTCGCCTCTCTCTCTCTCTCTTTCTCTCTCTCTCTCTCTCTCTCTCTGATTCGCTACGTTTCATTCCTTTTTTTATTCTCTCATGTGATGCTTTTTATTTATATTTAGTTGTCTCTCGCTCTCGTCTTTATCTCTCTCGCTCACCAACATATTCTCACGCACTCTTACTTTCTTAATGGAAGAAAAAAATCAATTGCATTTTCGAGGGGCTTCTCAACCCAGTCAAAGCCATAGCGCAGAAGGCCTCTGGACAATGGTTAGAGTTTGCACTTCGACCATGAAATCGCCGTTAGATCTGCATCTCGTTTTCTTTTTTATTCATTTGCTTTGTTTTGTATGGAATGATTTTGGAGTCTACTAGAAAATCAATTCAATGCTCAAGAAGGGAATTCCTTTTTATTCTTACTATAATGGACTTTATTTATATAAAGTTTTCTTTATATTAAATAATGTATAGAAAATTTTCTTCTCCGTGTAATCATGTATATTCGACGCTCGAGTTTTTTTCTTAAAATGCTTTGATTCAAAAGAAACAAAAATCATTTAACAAGTTATGCTCTTCCTTTTAGCAGAAACTAATTGTATATACTTAAATATAAGCCACTCAAATTATTCATGATATTTTTTTTCATTTTTGTAACATTCGAAACCGAATCGATATGTGTGTGCGTTTTTTAAAATAGACCTTTGCGTTATACTCCATCTCTATTCATGATCGTCTCTCTCTACCGCCGCGACAATCGTCGTTGGATTTTCACGTTATTTTCATGTTTCCCCTTCCCTAGAAAAAACAAATGGAAAACAAAAAAAACGATAAATTTTCTATTTAATGAATTTTTAGTCTACTTCATAATATTTATATAGAAAAAATTGTTGAAAGTTTATGTATAGCATTTGATAACTGAGTTAATAAAAATCTGCCGTTACCGTGACGATTTTTTATGTATACTAAATCTATGAAATATTCTCAGTCAAATAATTTCGTTCATTCGTATAAGAGTATGAAGGACAGACCATACTGAAAGTTTGAAAATACAAATGAAAGAAAGTCAATTGTTATTATTATATATTGAATTTTTCAACGGTACATATAGATCAGAGTTATAATTCATGCTCACGATATCTATTTTTCAAAATTCAGTATGATTCATGGAATCGATAGTGATTGTAAAACAAAAGCTATCTCAAATCAAATTTATATCATTCTGCACAAAAAATACTTGATGTAACATCGGTGATGTTATCCGCCATGAATTGATATAGCGTCGATTCGTACAACTAAAGTTCATCGTTTTAAAGACACTGTGGCACAGCTTTGATGTTTCTGTTTTTCTTTTCTTGAACTTTTATATCGAAACGGTCGGGATACGCCTTGACAAAGCTTCTTAAACTCCGAAACATACAAAGTAAACGCACATTACAGACGCAGTTAACTTTAAATCATAACGATACCAAGACAGATATAAAATATTCATCAACTTTTCAATATACAATCTATGTTTCATAAGCTTTTTTTCTGAATTACTTTATTTTGTTTTTACTTCACGTTAGATTGTCTCACTTATATATGCATGGAATTCATCTTTCGTGTTAGTCGAAAACGAAAAAAACAACCCAAAAAATAGAAGTACAAATCAAAATTTTCCGACGTTTAATAATATAAATGCTCGCGCAATGCAAACTTGGAGCATCAGCTCGTACCAGCGTGATCGGACCGAACATACTAACAATGAATTACTGACACAGCAGTCTTCTACTTAAGACAAGGGAAAGAAATAATTAAAAAAAACTTGAAAGAAAGAAAAAAATTATCTCTTTATAAGATTAAACAGTTAAACTCGGCTTGATACCATGAGCCCGCTTGAGGAAAATAAAGCCAAGTTAAGAAAAAAATGTGTGTTTGTGCTTCAAAATGATAAACAGAAACTCTTTTGAACTAAAAGGTTATTCAAGGAATACACAATGAATCGCTTTCGCAAATCAAAAAATGACAGCTCCGTGCCTTCGCATGTTATAGATTGCAATATATGTATGTCTGTGAGTCTACGACGTCCAGCATGAAAGAAAATGGAGTAGTCTACAATTGATAATTGGATAAAGAAAAAGCTAAACAGAGGCGTGAGCCAGTTATACACGCAAATCGGCACGGAGCCGCGTGTTCATCTAACGCTCAAAAAAACATTCTTGCTCTCTCGTTCTCACGCGTGTTTTTGTATTGTGTACTCTGTGAATGCATGTACGTGAACGAGCGTTTGTTGTGTGTGGGGATTCTCGGCACTCTGACTTAATAGTAGTTGGTTAGCAGCTGCGTGTCCAATGTGAGTAAAAGAGTGTGCATGTATAGTATACAAGGCATGTGACATTTTGGTAAAGTCGACCGACGTGGAGGTTTGAATTAGTAAGAGTAGAGATAACAGTAGACATAGAAAGAAGACAGAGCGTTTTGTTGTTGGTGGTGGTGATATCTGTGGCCGCTGCAGAATTGGGAAGAATAGTGTGATGATGTTGATGATTGTGGTCGTTGGTGATATAGTTGGAGGTCGTCGATGGTAGTGGTTTGTTGTGGTGGCTGTCTTGTTATAATGGATGCTGCTGCTGAAGTTGAAGAAGACGAGGCTGCTGCTGCTGTAGTAGTAGCTGTGGCTGCTGGCTGGTGGTAGAGGTGGTCGTTCAAGGTCAACGTGGGCTGGGCGCCGGAGGGCTGGGCCGTGGATCAGGCTCGCTGACCATGCTGTGCGGAAGTCCCGGTAGTTGGGCACCAGGCGGTGGGGCTTGCGAGACGGGGGTCGGGTTGGCGCTCGGTTGCGCGTTAGGGTTCGGAGGTTGGGCCGCTGCCGCCGCTGCGGCCGCTGCTGCCGCGGCGGCTGCGGCTGCCGAGTGGCTCGTGGGGCCACCGCCACCCCCACCAACCGGAGGACCCGAGTCGTGAGGTGTTGTCGAGTGGGCTTGCTGCACTGGCAAACCGCCCGCGTAGTAGCCGCCGTTGATGCCCTCCGTGTAGCTGCTGCGGAGAGAAAGCGAAAAGACATTTGTTGATGATCCACAGCACTTGTGAGAGAGAGAGAGAGAAAGAGACAGAAAGAGAGAGGGAGAGGGAGAGAGAGAGAGAGAGAGAGAGAGAGAGAGAGAGAACGACAGCATTTGTGAGAAGAGTAAAGAGAGAGAGAGAGAGAGAGAGAGAGAGTGAGAAAGAGAGAGAGCGAGAGAGAGAGAGAGAGGCAGAGGCAGAGTCAGAGTAGGACAGATAAGACAGAGAACAACAGATTTTCTGTGTATGTTTGTACGATTGTATTGCCGTTTTTCTGCACGATCAGATGAGCGTGAGAGTTTTCCGAAAGATGTATGTGTATAATTGTGTATAGAGTGTCTACGAGTGAATGTGCTAGTGTATCTTTCTTATTTTGCGGATTGTCATCTGCAAAACAATTGTTGTTTTTTTTCTTTCTCCACGCTTGACAGTCACCCGGGCCCAAAACATTCATAATAGAGGCGACGTTTATCAGGCGTGCATGCTACAATTGTCACGTTATTTTGTTTAACTTGACTTCTCAACAAGAGAGGAAATTGTCAATGGCAACAGCAACGTGTTGTATCAACGTTTGTTTTTTTTTTTTCTTTCAATATATGTATTTGTACAGTACATTCATTTTATTTCTCACATATATACGTTTTTAATAACAACTGTCATTTTTTCACTGCGTATTCCATTGTAATATACCTATGTACAAAGTTTTTGACATAGAGAGCTTTTGTTTCTACTACATGCGCGTGAGCAGAGCAAAACCGAGCTTTGGGGCACTACAGTACGGAAAACTCAGTTTTACTTTGCCCTCCAAGTATACATGAGAATTTCTGCTGCATATTTACACTTATTCATTAGAAACACGATGCTTCATGATTACGGATAGTCGTGACGACTTGAATTTTATGATTTCCTTTTCTTTTTTCTCGATTATCGACAGAAAAATCCTTACCCAGTAGTTGACATGAAGTATTCTTTATTGACGCAATTTCTCAAACAATCGGGTATACGACCGACTATTGCTCGTCGTATTTCGCTCGCTGCCATTTCACGGAGTTCCGTGCAGCTTGCATCGCTATAGAATGCAGCATGAGGCGTGCATAGTAAATTTGGTGCGTCCTTTAGCGGACCTACACAAAGTTAGAGAAAGAAAAATTGTTCCATTAATCATCGCGATTGAATTATAGGTACATATAAATACATGCAAAATTATGAGCAATGCAAAAGCAAAAAAATGTTTGAAACAAAAAATTGATTAAAAAGCACTTAGCGACATGAAAACAAAAACAGCGTAAAATATTAATGAAACTTGTGATTAGAGAACATAGCTGCACTTGTACAAGCAAAGACTCCACGATCAGTTAGCAAGATGTCTCCAGCTGAGAGCATAAGGGAAAGGGTTAGGTTAGAGAAAGCAACTCACTGCAGGGAGACTGACCCTGAAAGACATTGTATGGTTCATTCTCATGGACGTCAAGGGCGGCTGCTCGGATTCTACCCTGTTTTAACGCAGCAGCTAGTGCATCGTCGTCTACAAGTCCTCCACGAGCTGTGTTTACCAAGAATGCTCCTGGTCTCATCTGCACATACAAACAAAAACACACATAGATACATCGATGTGATATTTCATGGTACACAGTATATTCAACTCAGTAAGTACCTGTTTGATAGTGAATTCATTAATTAGGTGATGATTGTGCTCATTCAAAGTACAGTGTAGAGATACACAGTCCGATTGGAATAATAGATCCTGCAAATATTAAAATGCATATATTATTCGATTATTAACTTTGAAATTACATTTTTTTTTCAAAAGTCAAACTTACTTGCAATGTGTAAACCCTTGTCAGACCAAGAGACTTTTCAATACCATCAGGAAGATAAGGATCATAGAATATGACATTAAATCCAAAAGCTTTTGCACGCAGAGCAACAGCTGATCCAATCCTGCCCAGTCCTACAATTCCAAGTGTATCGCCCCGTATCCTAGCACATCCTTGCGCTGCTTCTCTTACCTTAGCATAATAATGACATGAACTAGTAAAAATCATCAATAAATTGGAGAGATATTCAAATGCTACATACCTGTTCTGGTCCTGTGAATTTTTTGCCGTCGCGAACCATATTTGCTAGCCAATATGTACGTCTATAAAGATTAAGAATGAGGCAGAGAGTGGTATCGGCCACCTCTTCAACGCCGTAGCCAGGCACATTGCACACTGCGATGCCAAGCTCGCCAGCTGCTTTGACATCAATGTTGTCCACTCCTGAGCCAATTCTGACAATGATCCGAAGAGTTTTGAACTTTTCTAAATCCTCCTTGGTCAGGATGATGGTGTGCCACATGAGTGCACCTACTGCTTCATTCAACACCTACAACCATAATCATTGCATCGAACACACAGTCATGAATTAGTTAGCCTAGATCGACATTGAAATAGACACTGAAAAACGGAAGAGCTTTGAACGTAGACAAACCTTTTCGTGTATTTCAGACGTTGACTGTGCGTCACAAAAGGCCACAGTGGCGACGTCCTTGAGTATGGGCATCTCGATGGAGCAGTCGCGTCCATCGAGCAGAGCGACAAGAGGTCTCGTTTGGATGGGCCCATTGGTGATGGGGCCTCTGAGGTTTTCCATACGAGGGCGTTTGGGCATCATCTTCCGTTTGTCCATCGGTGGCAGGCACAAGCCCCGCCGATTTTCGTTGCAAGTGTCTCTTATCGATACTCGATTTGCTCCTCGCTCTCTCGCTAGTTATCTCTCACGCGCACGCGGTCTCTTATTTGTCCACACAAGACACTGTCTCTATCTTTTCTTGTTGGCTGATCTCTAGCAGGAGTTAGGTTCAGTGAACAGAGCACACAGTCACCGGCAGCATCACGGCTCCGGGAGCGAGGCTGCCACCTGTAACGGAGACATAGAGCACACACTTTAGGACACTGAGTTGAGGCAGGCGGACAAATAGAGGAAAGGCTTGGCCGAAACCTCTCTCTCTCTCTTGCTCTTTCGATCTGCAGAGAGAGGTTAGAGAATATTATTGGTGGCGTCTTCGCGGGGCCAGCAGGCGAACGAACGTGAGAGAGAGAGAGAGAGAGAGTGAGCCAAGCGCGTAGACAGGCGAGAGGCGACGCCAACGCGCTCGATAGGTTAAAAGCGCGGCGGCGGCCGGCGTCGCTCACCTGCTTCACAAGCCGCGTAGCTGTGCGCTGCCTGCCTGCCTGGCTGTCTCTCTCGCTCGCTCGCTATACGCGAGGAAGCTGCTAATGGATGATCTTTCTCTCTCTCGCTTGCTTCCCTCCGCGGCTGGGGCAAACGTTTGCAGGCTGGCTAATAGTTGGTCGAGATGGTCACTGGGTCGACGTTTGCCGAACGCACAACACGCGCCGGCGGAAATTGGAGCGTGTGTATGTGTTATTATTCCGTAATGCTTGCTCGAGCCGCCGTCGCCGTCACCGCCGCCGATGCCGCGGGAAAGTGCTGAGTTAGCTAGCCGAGGCTCTTGCGCGCGAGAGAAAGTTAACGAGATATATACGTGGCGCCCCCCGAGAAACGGCTCGAAAAAGTCGCCTATACAAGAGAGACAGAGCGAGAGTGAGCGAGAGTTGGGAGTTTTTTCTTTCTTTTCTTTTTCGGTCAAGTGTACATACGCAACACAGCTCGGCGCGCATAGCCGCGCTCCGAAGCTGTACGCACAAGCGAGCGAGCGTGGGAGGTGGGGACGGACGAGCTAAGCGGCGTCGCCTCTCTGCAGCTGCATACGCCGCTGATTTATTCGGCGGGCCGTTAAACTCCGAGAGTAGTGGGGGTTGGGGAGGGGAGGGGGGGAATGCCAAGTTTCGCCGGGGAGAGAGACGAGAGAGAAGTTAACTGAGTTAACTTTGCTGCCGAAGCAAAGTTTCCGCCAACTTTAAGTAGTCGCCTCCGCGCGCGCGAATCTTCTCCCCCCTTCTTTCTCTCTCTTCGTCGTTTCATCTCTCTCTCTCTCTCTCTCTCTCTCTCTCTCTCTCTCTCTCTCTCTCTCTCTCTCTCTCTCTTTCTCTCTCCCTTTTCTCTTCTTTCGTACGTGGGTACTTTTATTCTCTCGTTGGCGAGAGCACAGCAGTGGCGTCGGCGTATCATCGGCAATTTCTTTGTTGCACAAGCCGGCTAGCGTTCAATTAGCGCATTACACTTGCAAATCGGCCGATTAAAACTCTTGGCTAAATTCAATTAAAACTCTCGTTCGCGCTCTCTCTCTCTCTCTCTCTCTCTCTCTCTCTCTCTCTCTCTCTCTCTCTCTCTCTCTCTCGCAGCAGCAGCAGCAGCAACAGCAATATATACCTAGAGTATCTAGAAGCACAATGCTTCTCGCGCGAGCCGAGAGTTAAAGCATAAGATGGAGGATGGCACATCTTGCAATGGCCGGCGAATGAAAGCGATCAATCGCTCTCTCATGGCGATGGGTGTCAAAAAGATAAGCGGCGGCGCGGCGACTATAACGCGCGCAAGTATTTTCCAGACCAAGTGTACATAACAGTACTCGCCAGCGAGCGAGCGACGCGGCCAAACTTTTGGTACAGTCGTTCGACAAGCTCTGACTCCCCCTCTTCTCTTTCTACCTATTCGTACGTGAACGTACACACTTTGGAGCAGCGTCGATCTTCCGACTATGTGACACGGACATTGCAAGATTGTCTCTCTGTTGTTGTTAATTGATACGTCCAAGTTTTTGCGCGCGACTATGGCGAAAGTATGCACAAAGTAGTTTGCAAACTTTGTTGCCTCCGCCCTCCCCAAACTTCGTTTAACTCTCCGCAAACATTAATCTACTTCGTGCCTTCCCTTTCGTTCTCTTATTCATTTTTCTTTTCTTTCTTTTATACCCTCTCTCTCTCTCTCTCTCTCTCTCTCTCTCTCCCTCTCTCTCTCTCTCTCTCTCTCTCTCGCGGATTGGTGCGTTAATCAAAAGAAGCTAAAGCGAAACTTGTTGCCCCCCGCGCGGCGGCAGGCGTAACTTTTGACAATCGTCCGAAAGAAATCGATCGCACACAGGCGCAGAACGAGAGAGAGAGAGAGAGAGAGAGAGAGAGAGAGAGAGAGAGAGAGAGAGAGAGAGAGAGAGAGAGAGAAAGCCGTCAACCCTTTAATCGTTTGCTGGAGCGGTGTGCGACGGGAACGAGAGAAAGGGAGACAGAGAGTGAGAAAGAGAGAGCAAACGTCGCTGGCTCTCGGCCAGTTAATAAGTGTCCTGTACTATACTACCACTCGGTACGTGCTTGCGTTGACTTTCGCGCGTTACGTAAGTGTGTGTGCGCGAGAATGTATTGCATGTACATGTGGTCTGTGTGCGAAACTCACACGCACGTGCTCTTACTCGCGCACACGTGCGCCGTTCAGCGAAAAAGGCAGAATGTAGTAGCGCAAAGAGCAAGAAAGAGAGACAGAGCCCCGCCTCGGCTTCTCTCTCTCTCTCTCGCTCACTGTTCAGCTGTTTATAAACAAAACTCGAAGCAGGAGATAAGTACAGTTGGTCCATGTTGTTGCATACGCATACTAACCTGACCCGCTAAGCACCTCGTCCACATGCCACACACTCTTCCTTTCTCCTCCTCGCTCTTTCGCTCGTTTTCTCTTTCTTTCTCTCTCACACGCACACTCTTATTGGGACTGCAACGCTGCTGCTGCTGCTGCTACCGAGGGAGGCTGCGCTGCTGGCGGCGACGCGGCGCGACCCGCGCGACACTTATTTGACGAAGGCTTCAGCACAGCGGAGTAACGCCTGGTTACGCCGTTCGACGACGTAGCCAAACGAGCTCGCACGTTCACTTACACTCGCCACGTAGATGATGGCTTATCCCACCGTTGATTATATGCCTAGCAGGAACAACACACACGCACTCGACTCTCGTAATGCTGCTCGATTCTCTCGACAGGCTCGCTCTCGTAGGCGCACCGCGCGGCCAACGTTGAGGCAAAATGGCGGCTCCCCGGCTGCAACGAACGACTATCGACGCTAGCGACATCACTCGGCCACCGGGCCGCGGCGCACTCCGCAGTGAGCGCATCAACGCGCGCTGGTGACAGCTGCCGGCGTATCCTCCAACTTCGTTCAAAATATTCCGCGCTCGCAGCGCGATATGCGCTTATGTTGGCAGATAATTCAACAACATCGACTACATACGATAATTATATATCGAGCTTGGGAAATACAGCTTGCAGTTACATTTCTTTTCTTGTTTTTGATCGAAGCTTATAATTACCTGTATATATCCCACGAGACATGTTGCTTCGACAATTATAGACTAAATTTAGAATAAAGCGTACACGAGGAAAGACAGTGTATTTTTTCGTTAAATTCGTCTTCTCAACTTGCAACCCGTAGATTGGTAAATAAATCTCCCTTTTATAAACTGATCGAAGGATTTCACTTGAATTATTAATTTACAGCGCCTACTGTGAACACGTTCCAGCAAAAAGTGAACATGAATGACAAATGGAAGAGCTTTGTAGACTAAAAACACTTCTATTGTTCTCACTGTCATTACTCATGACCGCTGCCTCTTGATAATGATACTCTGTACGGGAAGTATTGCAAACTCTACTTGTAATCTCGTTGCACGTATCGATCCTCATCAATAATGCAACCCCTGCGCAGCCCGTTAATTATCGTCGAATCGGAAACAAGCCTCTCATTTCGCGACAATTACGCAATCCCATTTTAATGCCGCGGACGAGGACAAAGAGAATTGGCCAAGGCTCGGCGCCATTCTGCGGTTGCATTTTTCACGCGGAGATGCAGCGACGACCCACCTTCGACGATTACACGTTTCTCAATCGATGGGGGCTGACGTTCCTCGGCGTCTGGAGGGACGAGGGCAAAGCCGATCGGCTGCTCCGCAACTGCCTGCACAACTTTCACGTGCTGATTCTGTTCGGTCTGATGACGTTGCTGCTCGTCCCTCAGTGGCTTGATATTTACGTACTTTGGGGAAACATCGACGCCAATACTGAGACTCTCGTGCTCGTCGTTTTTACCATCTGCGCCATGAATAAACTCTATTGCCTGCTCTCGGCTCGACACATTTTTAAGGTATTTTCACTTCCTTTTTGTTCGAACGGAAGTTGTCGATTTATCGACTATTCGGAAATCAGGTTTAATGAATGTAATATGTACAGCCGTAACTCATTTCAAATGATAACAAGTATCGAGTATGACAAGACGTTTTGTATGCCAAGCCTGTGATTAATGTTCAATTCGAAGGGTTGGGCTTATTCTTCACCTTATTCGATCGTACATATATAGAACTTTAGTGAAGATGCTGTCTTGTAAATCAATCTGCAAGGATTTAATATCGACGATGGAAGAGAACTGGAAGGAGACGATGAGCGAGACAGGACCCGAGGCCGCGAAGCACCGAGACATTCTGTTGGATATGGCGAGTAAAGCCCGCGTCTACACGATACGTTACGGCTTTCTCATGTACTCCACGGCCTCCATGTACTTCGTCTCGCCGTTTATGGGTATGCAGCAGGACCACGTTAGAGCGAGGAAGTACCCGTTCTTCGGCTGGTACTACTTCGACAGATTTTCCGACTTTTACTACGGGCTCTGCTACCTATCGCAGGTGCGCCTCGTCGATCGATCCGTATGTAACAATCGGCGCAAGCTTATATAATTTTGCCAGCGGCAAGCGATCGTGCTCGGGTTTGTCCGCCGCGAAGATAACGCGAATCAGGCGTAATCGATGCCTTTGCTCGAGCAAATAGCTGATGGCAGGAGTTTCGGTTGGGACGAGCAACTACTCCGCCGACAGCATCTTCCTCGTGGCGATCTACCATTCGTGCGCTCAGCTGCGGATCATCCAGCACGACCTGAAGAAACTCGGCGGGGAGAGCGACGCGTCGACGTCGCCCGGCAGAGTGACCGATCTCATCGGCAAGCACCAGAAAGAGATTCGGTATGCGCGGAACAGTCTGTTACCGGAGCCAATGCACTTCGCTTTCTAACCACGGTTATTACGAAGGACCGCGCGAAAGCTCGCGGCGCTGTTCACCGGCTCGAGCTTCCAGCAGTTGCTGGTCAGCTGCGCGATAATCTGCATTATCGGCTTCAAAATCATCATAGTGAGTATTTGCCGCGGGCCGAGGCTCCGTTCGCGATCATCAATTTGACGTGATCACGCCGTTGCCAGACGCTGGATCAAGGTGGCTTCCAAGTGCTGGTCTACGTCGCCTTCATGTTCGTCGCGTTGCTACAGATTTTTCTCTACTGTCGGCCGGGAGACGAACTTATCACGCAGGTAGACGCTGAATTGCGAAACCCCTTCGCTCTGCTGAATTTCCACGCTTCCTTTCTCTTTTTTCAAGAGCACGGCAGTCGGCTACGCGGTTTATCAATCTAGGTGGTACGCGCTCGACGTGCCCACGAAGCGGAAAGTCAACATGATGATTTTGAGGTCGCAGAGGCCGCTGAAAATGACCGCCGGCTCGTTTTACGTACTCTCCTTGCCCAATTTTACAAAGGTGAGCTTACAAAGCTCAAAATTGTTTCGCTGAATGCCATGAGAATATTTTTCAGATTTTAAAGACTTCCATGTCGTTCCTGTCGCTCTTCAAGGCAATTTATTGATAGTCGCTTTAATAGCACCAACATTAAATCCGTGCTTTCACGAAAATAAGTAAATCGTGCAAAAAAATCAAACCAGTGGTGTCGGAGATCTCCTGAGTATTCGGGTAAAGCTCGGTAACTTTCTAATAATATACATCTTTTACAAGCAATATCATGGAAAATCACGAACTATGAAATATATCGTTTGTAAATTGAAGAATTGAATTATTTTTGCTGACTTTAAGGAGGAGCAGGTTCTTCGTTCGACTTGACTTTTTTACGTATGTTTGCACATATCTTTGGAACAGCTTAGAAATGTGTTAATATTTATGCTGTTTAGCTTTAGAAATAGAAGTTTTCCATAGAAATTTCGCAATTAAATAAATATTTAACACGCAAAAAACATTTTTCGATTGCCATCTTTACACTTGTAATGCCGTGCATTACACTTCAATATGAAATGAAAGAAAGTTTGTATGAAATAGAATGAAAAGTATTTTAACGTTGTATAATCGTTATGTTATGTGATCACACATAAAGAACAGTGACATAGACTGGCAACATAATGTATAAGTACTGCATTGTTTCTAAAGAAACTTCTGTACAGAACCCTTTACATAATGATCAGGCATGAGCTACATATATACTGCATTTTCGCAATTCATTAAATAAGACTTGAAGAAGACGAGGAGAACAACACTTTTATGATAATATTGGCTTTTGCTTCTAAAATACAATTTCAACACGACCACCTACTATTGTCATCATCAAAGATGTCTACCTCATCTCGTTTTAAGCATGATTCAATCTTCTATTCAGTAAGTACTTTATTACTATTTTGTTGTGCTATTTGGTAAAATATTATAATAACTGGTGATCTGATTCAGTTAACAAATTGAGAGTAATATATGATTTATTAATGTTGATTTGGTTTTCTTATATTCTCCTCTCATAGAGTATAGAATTGAATTCTTCAACATCACCATTTGCCGATTAACAGAGTTCTAAAAGGAAAATTAAATCTGTTCTTTTCAAAGTTATAAGAAAAAGTTTTGCAAAACAACATTTCGGTATTTATAATGCAACGCTTTAGCGTATTGAATTCAATTAGTACCCGGCCTGTATGAAGACTTCAACTCAGCATACGTATAATTGTTGTGATTTTAATTTACTCGGTCAACATCCTGACTTTCATATTTTAATTAAAGAGAATTTGCGAATTTGAAGCATATTGATGTTATACTAGAGCATCTTATCAACGAAAATATATAGATGCCTCTGATCGTTTTAGTCTGACTCAAGCATTGCACACAACTGCGGAGTGCATTTAGTCAATAAAAATCTGGAAGAATTGTTCTAAATATGGTACTACAGTTAGAGCATTAGATAGACAACATGAATCCACGCATATAGGATGCAGCTATGGGATGTACAAGTTTACGTATGCGCAACAGTATCAACTTTTTTACGGTCGATAATAGTAGAGCTCTACTACTCCAAAATGCATATTGTGTTTACAGTGAGTTTACACAGCAGGCTAGTTTAAATTCTCGCCGGTTCGCGTTCAAAAGCGCAGGCGCATCAGTATTAACCTAACCGGACCTAACCACTAGGCTAGCTTCAAAAGATCTGATGCTTAACGCGAGTATCAATAGTGCTTTCACACTACTGACGCGTTAGTTATTTATTCCGACCTTATGTAATGGCAAACTTGCAAGTCCCTCATAGTCTTGTGTACGTCTCTGTTATCGTGCCAATATAGATTGTCGGAATCACGTGCATGCTCTACACTATCGCGTCTCTCTGTCTCTCACAAGTGAAGCCTACCACATTTCAAGGATTATCAGTCTGATGTGGGATGGTTTTACTGATTCCTAATTCCTATGGTCTGGTCGCTTGGGTTGTGTAATTTGATTATATAGCTTGCACTGATGGTTATGGTGATTTATTTATAGGTCACTCAAACTGGAATGACTGACAGGGCCAGAGCGATGGGTCTGGAAGTGGAGATGGCTGCACCGCTGCATTTGCAGCGTTTGGAGCGCAGCCTCAATATACAACCATTTCTCAACCAAGTTAACGAGCTTTTCAAAGATCAAATGAGGTATGTTTTCTGTTAAAACTCTTTTATTACATATTATGCATCCTAACTAAGTAGTTATTTATCTTAACTTAACAGTGAAGAAGAAGAATCTTCAGAGCAGGAATCTATTGAATCAGATTCAGAACTCAATGACTCAATATCACCAAGAGAAGGTTAGTTTTATCTATTTGAGTCATATAATTCATGTAAAAAAATTATATGTTTAATATCATACCCTTACCTTTGCAGAGAAAAAAAATAACAAGCTCCGAGTGTACAATATGAGCAATGTTGGTGAAGAGAGACAGTGGTTGAGAGATATTTTGGTAAGTGATGCCAGTGACTCTTCTTCATCTGAATCTGATTCAGATAATTCCATCACAGAAGAAGATTTTCAAGACATGTTAAAAGCTCATTTATTAAAGAAAAAGTATCAAGCTCGTTTCTATCAAAAACCAGAGGTGAAACTTTATAACTATGATTAAATTTATGTATTTATTGATTAATTTAACTCATTCTTACTTATGTTTTACAGAATATTCAATATCAGTATTATGGAGCAGGTTTATTATCCAATCATGACAGATTTTTGGAGCATCAACAGATGATTGTAGGAAATAAGAAGAAAAAAGAAAAAAAGGTAGAGAAAAAAATAATAAAAGTCAAGAAAGAAAAGACAGCACATTATAAAGGGGCCCATGAAAACAAAGTAATTGCTAATATTTACAACATTTCATTCTGAATTGTGCACTATTTTCCAATCTTATGTGTTTTCTAGGATCAAAAGTATTCAGCTGGAAATTGGGATAAGAGTAGGGGCCCTGATCAGTCTGAAGGGTCAGAATTGGAATTAACATTAAAACATCAACCTCGGGGTAGAGGTAGAAAAAAGCATATTAATAAAAGTCCAGAGGTAATGGCAATACGAAGACGAAAAATTTGGATGATGATGTCGAAAAAGGAGCTTGGAAAAGTCCAAAGAGCAAAAATTAACAATCACAAAGAGATGCTTATCAGTTGTAAAAAAGTAGCCCAACATTGTATGAAATATTGGAGGCAAAAAGCAATGCAAGTAAGAAAAATCAATTTTCATGACTCTACTGATTAATTTTTTCTTTTACTACATTTGGCTTTTTACCTTTAGTCTCAAAAAAATATGAAGGAAACAATTTGGCGGCAAAAACGTTTAACGCGAGAAATGCAGTCTTATTGGAAACGATATGACCGTGTTGAAAGAGAAACTAGAAAAAGGCTAGAAAAAGAGGCTGAAGAACAGCGAAAAATGGATGTTGAACTGATTGAGGCAAAGCGACAACAGAGAAAATTGAATTTTTTAATCACGCAAACAGAGCTTTATGCTCACTTTATGTCACGCAAAATGGGTAAAGCATCTCCCGAGGAACAATTGAGAATACTAAATCAACTAGATGAAGAGAAGAACCCCAGGCTTGCTGGGATAGATGATTATGACAGGTTTGATTAGTTTTCATATTATTTATATTCTATAAACAATGCTTACGATAAACGAGTTTTCATAAACTATGGTTATTTTTTTATAACAGTGAACTTATGAAGCAGAAGGCGAAGAAAAATGCCATGGATGCTTTTGACAACGAACGAGCGAGATCTCAACAATTTGATCCTGCGAATAATCAAAGATTAACATTAAGTGATACACCCGAAAATATGGAGCATCCACAGCCTTCGATATTTAAAGGAATGTTGAAGGGCTATCAATTGAAAGGCATGAATTGGCTTGCTAATCTCTACGATCAGGTAAAATGAATAAACAAAAATGTTTTCATTGCCTGAACTACAGCGCTTTTATTTATTATAAACAGGGCATCAGTGGCATCTTGGCAGATGAAATGGGTTTAGGAAAAACTGTGCAATCCATAGCTTTTTTGTGTCACATTGCTGAGAAATACTGTAACTATTTTATTGAATTATCTTTCTATAAAAATAGATTTCATAACTCTTTCGTCACTTTACAGCCGTATGGGGACCTTTTTTAATAATATCTCCCGCTTCAACGTTGCACAATTGGCAACAAGAGATGGCAAGGTTCGTTCCAGATTTCAAAGTTGTACCATACTGGGGTAATCCCCAAGAACGTAAAATTTTACGACAGTTTTGGGATACTAAGGATTTGCACACTAAAGAAGCTTCTTTCCACGTTGTGATTACAAGTTACCAATTAGTCATTACAGATTATAAGTATTTCAATAGAATAAAATGGCAGTACCTGATTCTTGATGAAGCTCAAGCTATCAAAAGTACAAGCAGGTGAGCTTTGCTATCTGTAATAATTTTTTATTCGATTTTATTATTGACCTGTAAAGGAATTTGTAATTTATAGTATGAGGTGGAAGCTTCTTTTGGGATTTAGTTGTCGAAATCGTTTGTTGCTCAGTGGAACACCAATTCAAAACAGTATGGCTGAATTATGGGCCCTTCTACACTTCATCATGCCTACTTTGTTTGATTCACATGACGAATTTAATGAATGGTTTTCAAAAGACATCGAAAGTCATGCCGAAAATAAGACCGGCATTGATGAGAGTAAGTCTTGATTATATTACATTCATGTTTCATCATATCGTAGCATCGAATTATTCATTGTTCAAATGTTTCAGAACACTTATCAAGGCTGCACATGATTTTAAAGCCTTTTATGTTGAGAAGAATAAAAAAAGACGTAGAAAATGAATTGTCCGATAAAATTGAAATAATGGTATATTGCCCTCTTACGACGAGACAGAAATTATTATACAAAGGTACTGGCAAACATTTTTTTCTATATACAATAATTAATTTGTAAGGTAAAACATTTAAAATCACTGTATAATTTTGCAGCTCTCAAAAAGAAAATTAGGATAGAAGATTTACTACATTATTCTGTTGGAGATAGCGCAATCAACGACAAAAACTTTACTTCAAATCTAATGAATCTAGTCATGCAATTTAGAAAGGTAATTAATTAAGGCTAGTTATTTTTACCCCCTCTTTATCAATTTTTATTTCTCAAATAATTTTATTGCAGGTCTGTAATCATCCAGAACTTTTCGAGCGTCGAGACGCCAAATCTCCATATTTTATGCGTACAGAGTTGTTCGAATTACCTTCCCTGTTGTTCAAAGGATACATATTCAATCCTGTAAATCCGTCCAAAGAGCATCTTTTATACAATAAATTTTTTTTATTTGCCAGTGAATACATTCATCGTTCTCTATTTGATGATATCGATGGAGAACGTTGCTTCTCCTTCAGTCGCTTTAGTAATTTATCTGCTACGGAATTGAATAGTATTTTTATTGGTGGAATTTTATTCAGGTAGTAGATCAATTATTCATTATTTCCGGGATAATGTTACCACATCTCTTAACTATATTTATACACCAACAGACTATTGCACGCATGGAGGCAATCAAAAGTTATGAGCGTCAAACAACATTGGGAGGATTGGTATGAAGATGAAAGCTTCATACCGTCGAATATATCGTGGCTGTTAACACAGAAATTGAATAGTTCATCTCAGGCGGCTAGCGACTTGATATTTACGAGAAATATCCTCAATGGAGATGCTGTACATACTCACACTACCCACATGATTCACTCGATGCCGGAAACCGTCGCTCATAGGATACTCCGTAGTAGCAAGAAGGCTAATCAGCCGGTGAAACTTCAGAGGGCGATCTGCTCGGTGAAAGTTGAGCAGGGCGAAGAACTGAAAGTTCCATTATTGCCTGAACATCCTCATGTATCGAGGCCTTCTATTGCACGACATTGTCAGTTAACTATGCTACCTTCTTTTGTTTGTGATAACATTCCTAAGGTATATATTCGTACTCTAAATGAAATAACAATATGTATAATAGTTTTGTATTTAGATTTATTCATAAAATAAACATCACATTTTCCGCAGGTTATAGCTAGTTCGAGAAAAGTTTATATGAGCCATTGCTCGGCAGCTCGCGCGTGGCGCAGACATGAAGAGTGCGGTGGTTTATTCGCTAAGAAAGTTGTGCTTTTCGGCTGTGATTTAGCTCAAAATTTACCTCTAAATGTTAATAACATTCGCACTATCCTTTCCACTCAGTTTACGTATCAGCAGTTTGGAGGTTTGGCTGTTAGTCGACCGTTGAGTGGATGGTCTAATATTATTGTACCAGGTATGCATATTTGAAATTTAAAATTTTTAAAATGTCAATCAGCAAGTATTTTTTATGCCTTTGTACTTTTGTAGACAAACAAACTTTGGTCACGGACGCAGGAAAATTAGCCGTATTAGATAATCTTTTGAAGCGTCTCAAAGAGCAGGGTCATCGTGTTTTAATTTACTCGCAAATGACGAAAATGATAGATCTGTTGGAGGTAAATGTTAAATTAAATCAGCTCAAACTTTGTAATAAGAACAATTGCCATTTTAATAAATATTTAATTTTCGTGTAGGAGTACATGTATCATCGAAAACATACGTTTATGAGATTAGATGGGTCATCAAAGATCTCGGACCGCAGAGACATGGTTGCAGATTTTCAGAAGCGGTAAGTTTCTACAATACAGTTACTTTTATTATGTTTATGTATTAAATGCGTTTATATTGCGAAAATTTTGAAATGCTATGATTTTAATTAAAATTATATGGTTAGATTCAAGTGGAATAATTATGCTAAAGTAATTAGAAAGAGACGAGCAGCGAAAAAAGTATCAATCATGTCGATATAAAAAAATAACGAGTCAAATCTTACTCACTCCATAAATTTCACGGCTCGAGTGACTAGCAGTAAAAAATGTAACGAGTGCAGCGATGCTCGACGCACGAACAAAAAAAATAAGAGAGAAAGAAGGAGATCTTGATCGTTGGTGTGTTTCAGGGCGGATATATTCGTCTTCTTGCTGAGTACCAGAGCTGGAGGTTTGGGAATTAACCTTACCGCTGCGGATACGGTAAGTGCTTTGCCCCCGAAAAATGTGGCTTTTCTGCTTGAACTTAAAATTCGGAACCGAGCGAGCGTGCGTTGTTAACCTCAGTGATTCCTTTAATTGCTTTGGTTTCTTCGCTCCGATGATCCCGATGAAATAACAAACGAATCGTTGCTTTTTATTGCGACCTCTGTGTATAATCGCCACGCGATACGGTCTCGCGTAACCGAATCATATCGGTTGACTGGTCTTTTTTTCTCTTTATTTATGCTCCTTGAATATTTTGCGGCTGTGGAGAACAATACTTCAATTTTATCGCTTGCAAGTCGAGAAGTTTTAAAGCTTCTTTTGCGAAAGGAAAAATAAAACAGTTACGATCGATTCAATCTTGGATCCCGGAAAACTGCGTTGTGAATAAAACTCGCATAAAATTCTAACGTTCATAGAAACATATCTTGTCGATTATCCAAAATTTTAATTAGTAAACCCTCTATTTTTTCTCCGCTTCAATTAATGCATAACCGCATAGTTTTGTGAATGATCACTGTTTTTCAACGCACTAATTAATCGTATGCAAAAATTCACGGAATCCCCATTAAGTATTCCTGAAAGTTTTGTTGCTCGAAGCAATGTTTGTCCGTGATAAGCATCTGTGGGCCCACCGGATCTAACAATTGAATTTGTTTTGAACCGTCAGCCGCTTGGTCACGGCTCACTGTTTCCTATTCTCGTGACCCGCGCAGAAGGAAAAGGAAGAGAATAACTCGAAAAGTAGATTTGGCTCTAGATTTGAGAAAAGGCGCGCGCGTAAGACCTTAGCCCTTCGGTTAAAAAAAGTCCACTTCCGCCTGTCCATTCTTCGCCTAGACAAAACGGTAATGAGAATTACTTTTCTTTGGTGGCTCGGTCGCGCCAGGTGATATTCTACGACAGCGACTGGAATCCAACGGTCGACCAGCAAGCGATGGACCGTGCTCACCGCCTTGGCCAAACCAAGCAGGTAACCGTCTACCGACTGATCTGCAAGGGCACCATCGAGGAGCGCATATTGCAACGAGCCCGTGAGAAGAGCGAGGTGAGTTCGCGGTGCCTTTCCCCCGCGAGTCGGTCGCCGGGCTAATTTCACTGCCGTGCGTAGATCCAACGAATGGTGATCAGCGGCGGTAACTTCAAACCGGACACGCTCAAGCCAAAGGAGGTGGTGTCGCTGCTGCTGGACGACGAGGAGATCGAGGCGAAGTGTAAGTGAGAAGAGGCAGCCGGGCAAACTCGACACCGCGCGAGACGGGCGCTCGGCCGTCGTTTGTAGCGTCGATCGATCGTGCCACTCGTTCACGCGCGCGCCTCTTCATTTCGTTGTTACAGACAGCCAGCGGAGCGAGGAGAGAAAGCTGCACGCCGAGGAGGCCCGCGCCAACGCCGAGGCGCTCGCCAGGGACCGGAAGAGGAAGCAAACCGCGCTTCCGGTCAAGGTGAGTCTCCCCTTCTTCTTCTGACTCGCCCAGACCTTCTCTCTCTCTCTCTCTCTCTCGCTCTCTCTCTCTCTCTCTCTCTCGCTCTCTCTCTCTCTCTCTCCTCTCTCTCTCTCTCTCTCTCTCTCTCGCTTGTTCGCTCGGCTTTACATAATAATTGCACGTGCGCATAGGGTGAGCCCAAGAGAATTTGCTTGGCGGACGAGGCTGCCACTGACTTTGTTGCCAATTCGCACGACTCGACGAACTTTCAACAGCAACAGTCCAATCATCAGGCCGCCGCCGCCGACGAGTTTGACCAGCCGGCACCTTTGAGCCCCAAGTCTGAGGTAATTGCGACTCTCGCTGAATTTCGTTATACTTCAAGACCAAGCGTTTCGGGCTCCTTTTTTTTTCGTTGCAAGCCCATTACCGAATTAATTGATCGACCTAAAGTGAGCTGTCGGCACGTATGCGGAAGAGAATTTCTTATTATTAATTAAGTCATTGATCAACGACGTAAACAATTGCATGCGCCGATGACATAGATTTGAAAATTGAAATACTATCTCTTACAGTTTATAATAATTCAGAATCGGAATTCCCATAGACAGCAATGAAAATCCAGCTAACGATACTGCTCGCAAAGCCGGCAATTTATTGCTCACATATAATACATGCAACGTTGACTTCGGCGTTTGCGGTTTCAGTGAAGAATAAAATACCGTTTATAACGAACTGTTTTCTACGTTTCCAATCGCAATTAGAGTCGAAAGTCATTCCGCGGCTCTTTACAGCGCTTCGGGGGCATTGACAATACAAGTATCGCTTGAGCAAAATGCAAATAAAAATCTCGCTTTCCAGGACGAAACGAGCAACGAAGGTCTGGTCGTCGACGTGGACGGCCCGGTCAACTATCCCACCTCGTCGTCCCTACAGTTCAGCCGGGACTTTTCGGAGATACGGCAGTTCGGTCAGAACATGGGCATGCGCACCTCGATGCGTGGGGCCAGCAAGCGTGGGAGACCTCGGGGCTCGCGTGGAAAAACCCGCGGCGTGGTCACGCTGCACCAGCACTTCAAAACGCTGCCCGCTGCTGCCTCGGCTATGGCTGGTACTGGCATACCTGCTTCCGCGTCGCATGGTGAGTGTGCGACATTTGTTTTCTCCTTGTCGAGGAAGAATAGAATTCGGACGACAAGCCGCTTGAGATGGAAATTTATCGTTTTATCTCAAGCCGCTTTTGATCAACGTTCCTTTCGGAGGAGAGTGGGAATGCAATTGAAACCAACGTATTTAATTGTACCTCGGCAAGCGTCTGGAAATTAAATTTTTACAGCTGAAATGGAGCAGAGCTTAAAGGCGAAAAAGGAAATCGCTCCCGATGCATTTGGCAATCTCACTTTGTACGAGCTGTCATTGATACACCGTTGAAACGTTGGCGAGAGAGTCCCTTTAAAAAAGCAAACCGTCGAAACACTTAACAGCTGCCTTCGTAGTTTGCAGATGTAGCTATACCCGTGGAAAATATATCATTACTCGGCCTTCAGTTTGCACGTACGCGCGGCAGAAAACACTCATAAAACCCCGCATACTCGACCACTCGCGTTTCTCACATGCGTCATTTAACAATTGAAAGAAGAGGGAGGAAAGAAAAAAACCTTTGTACGTCTTTACAGAAATCCTTCTTAATTACATGGCAAACGGCATATGATCAGTAGTAACTTACAGACCACTTGACCGCCTCTCGCGCATCACGTGAACGCTATGTATCCTCGCGTTTTCCCCGAAGAATACTTCGTCTCGTACGCGCGCGCGCGCGCGCAAATAAGCCGCGCGCCGAACAGAAAAAGAAAAGAAAAAAAGAACGATGAAGTAGCTACGAGGATCGGCCGTTAATCATTATCGTACGAGTTTTTAGCCGAACAGCTGGGGCGGATTTGGCAATCGTCTTGCCATCGGGGGCTCGCGCGCGCTGATCGCCCCCGGAATTCCCTCGCGGACGTCGCCTGACCCCCGCGTACACTTGCCGCCGCGCCTTTTACACTCTCCCCCGGCGTCCATTGTTGGCTCTTTTTTTTTTCTTTTCGCCAAGCGAGGCCAAATGTTTGCGCCGCGCGGGGCAGGGCCACTTCCGAGCGAGATGCTCTCTCGTGCGCGCGACCCCCTTTCGCATCGCGCCGGACCTGTCCGTTTTGTTTTCGGGGGTGGGCGTCGGTGTTTTTCTAGGCGACGCCGCCGCCACTTCTGTCATGCGATCGCTTTGCTCTACAATTTCCAATATCGCTTCGTTTGCGCCTCTCTTTCTGTTTGGATATGGATTGTTTGCCAAAGCAAACGACAGATGGCTGCGAGACGCGCGAGGTTCTTTTTCTTTCTCTTCCTCTCCTTCCTTTTCTGGGCTTTTGCTTGAAATTTGGTTTTAGAATGATTATTATAACGCGAGGCTATACGTGGTTTGAATCTCGAGTTAAGTTTTCCAGCTTGTTATTATTTCACTCGAGTAGGAGTTCAATTGATTGAAAATTGAACGTTTGGGTTTCGATAGACATTTTGATTTGAAAGTCCGGAAAACTAATGCAATAAAAATCATTTCATGCTCACGAACATTTCATTCGCAAATAAAAGTTAAATAAACAGAGAGAGAGAGAGAGAGAGAGAGTGAGTGAGAGAGAGAGAGAATAAATCAATCATCTATTAAACGAAAGGAAGAGGAAAAGAAAAAAAGGCGAAAAACGAACTAGAGAAGGAATAAATCGGCATTGTAGCCAAATCGGGATACCAAATGCACGCGAACGAGAGAGAGAGAGAGAGAGAGCGCTCGATCGACGATTGCGGTATCGAAAATGGGGACTTTCGTTCTCGGCATAATAGCAGGTGCGTATATTGGACGCCAGGCAGCTGCGATCGATGCTCTCTTCTCTCGGCGCGTTTTCGGAGTTGGACAGGCGGAGCGGCCCACAGGTGTATGACTCGCGTTTCCCCTGGAGAGCTTATAAATAAACAAGCTCCTTGCCCGATGACGACGACGACGAAGAAAGAGGCAGAAGAAAGAGAGGGAGAGAGAGAGAGAGAGAGAGAGAGAGAGAGAGAGAGAGAGAGAGAGCGAGCGAGAGAGAGAGAGAGAGAGCGGAGGTGGAGGAAGCAAGTCATAGACCTCTACGAGGAGGCGATAGCGAAGGCGCAAAGGGCTTGAGACATGAAAATTGCATTCCCCCCCGGGCAGATAAGAAAGGGAATCGAAGAAAGCGCTAGCACGATAAGGCACGGCTAGGTACCGACGATCTATATGCATTCGAACACGTTAATTTACTCGCCTCCTTCCACCTTCGTCGTCGTCTGTCTCCCGCTCCCGTGTGTCCCCGCGTCGGTATGGACGAAAAAAAATAACAAGTGTGTCGCGCTAATACTGAGCGCTTCCGATGTCTGCGACGCTCTTTAGCGTCTCACCAGATTTTAATTGTCCGTTGCAAATATAACTTCGCGACTGCGCGTCTCTTTGATGCTTTCTTTGTAACGTAAATCAAATGCCGTCGCGTGATTCCATTCAATTTGGACGCGCTCATTTCTCATTTGCCCTGCGTCTCGATAGTCTATCTTTTTTTTTTCTTCTTTTTTTGCTTTTGATTTACCGAAATACATGCTCGCAAGACGATTAATTTCGCCGAGCTCGGGAATATGGCTTATTCACGAAACGCTACTTTTTAGGATCCGCGGATCAGCAATCGGCGAGCAGTGCGTCCGCGTCGATCTACCAGAGCTCGACGTCGTCGCACCACCACCACCACTCGCCGAGCGGCAAGTCGATGTCGGGAATCAGACGAGGCCCAGGCCGACCGCGGCTGCGACCGAACGGTCCGGGCAACCAAGGCTATCGAGTGCACTCCCTTCAGCAGAAACGACCGTCCTCGACGACTCTTCCAGTTCCGATTCGAGTGCAGCCCGGATCTAGCACGAGCGGCGCCAGCGGTGAGCAACAGCAGCAAGGCTCTTCCTCGAGGCCGTTTGGCTTTTACACGCAACAGCAAGGCACCTGATGGACATCCTGTACATAGTTATTTATTCGTCTCTTACTCTTTATTTCTTGTCTCTTTTTGTACTGTACATACGAGTTGTCTTACATAGTTTTCCAACTACAATAAAGTGTAATTTAAGTATACGCGCACTGCAGCCTTTACTACGTATCTTGTCTGAAAGCTCCCTCGAGATATGAACGCCGCTTGGCACTTGGAGAGACGCACCTTGGGGACGCTTTTTTGCTTTTTTTGTTGTGGCGCGCATTAACTTGGCCTTTTCTCTTCTTCGCTCTGCTACGCGCGATGGACCGTAACACGCGTCGGTCGGGGAATTCGATGCACCGCCGATGACGACGACCCCTTTTGTCGCTGGGACACTTTTATCCCGCCACGCTCGGCAGATATTTTAATTTCGACGCTCTCGTTAATAAACGCGCGTCCTCGACGCTCGACGATTAAAAGTCCGCGCGCGAATGGAAATTACAGCGAGCGGCACTCGACGTCCCTTGTTGCACATGTCGGCCGGTGACGATCGATGCACTCTCGAGGGCATCTAGTTTCGCCTTTTGTCATTCGTCAATGATCCCGCGGCGCCGTAATCGCTGCCGAGCGTTTTTGTTGTTTTTTTTGTTTCGCATCCCGAACAGTCCGGCAGATTTGGCGAGGGGCGAGGGCGCACATGTTCGAGCGAGCGGCGGTCTGCGCGACTGCGAATCGCGTCACGGATGATCGATTCTCGCCGCGCGTCAAAAAGCCGCAATTAGTCCGGAGTTAATGGTGAGTTCGATTTACGAGCCGCATGCGCGTCGCGCGCGACAGATAAAGAGAGAGGCTTGCGCGCGTGCAATCGCCACCGCAGACGGTCGCGTGAAAGCACAGACGCGCTGCCGATCGGCCGCTGGCATCGACCGCAGATCAAGCATTTCGTCTGCTTTCGCATCTCGGCGTGCGTTCATCCTCGCGCATTCGCGTCTCGAGCATGGCCGACACCAGCTGAACCATGGTCTCGACGCGAGCAGTGGCTGTCTTTCGTCGAGGGTCGCGCGCATGGTTCGATTGGGCGGGCGGAGGAGTCGACCGATCGTTGAGCTTGCGACAGCAGCTGCTGCTCGTGAACCTTGGCGGGGTAGGCTGCGCCGGCATCGACGCTCGCGTGTCGCGCGCGCTGCCCTTAATTCCGGTGGGCGAGCACGTCGACGAAGAAAACGTCGGCCGGTGCGCGCCTACCGCTCGACTGTTACTTTTTTCCTTCGGATCCGTGTGGCTACCGGCAGCCGGGCAACGAGCTCATCGTTCAGGTGAGACGCGACTCAACAGGTGCGAGAGAGAGAGAGAGAGAGAGAGAGAGAGAGAGTCAATTTACTCGGCTGTGACGCGCGAGAGGGGGAAATCTCGACGGCGCGAAGCAGGCTAATTCGATTTTTTACGGCGAGCTTTTTTCTTTTATTTTAAACTCGGTCTATTTCAAGCTGATTACACGAGCGACAATAGCCGCATTCGTTGCGCTTCTTTTTTCGTTTCCATGCTCGCAGGCACGCGAGTGCGAGTTGTTTGTCGCGGGTCAGTTAATGGAAACTATTAAAAGATAACTGTCGTTTCGGGGGATACGTAGCGATATTTCGGGATAAAAGGAATTTATTGCAGCAGACTGCGGCGTGTGAAATTGTCGCGCTGTTTCCTCTCGAAGATAGAAGGAAGAAGAATGCGAGAAAAAGAAGGACTGCCTCGCTCGACTTAATCGCGCGAACATTTTCTCGAGGAATCAAGCGGACACGCATCCGTTTTCCTTTTTTAATATCGTTCGCTCGCCATTTCACTAGCGAGAAACAACGTAATGCGACTTTCGTTTCGCCGTTAGAAATTTCGAGCCTATTACGCGTTGCGGTGCGCGAGTCCGCGGTGAATTCCAGTCGCACATTACGAATTCAGGAGATAGAAAAATTGAACGAGCGTCGCCGGCATAAAGAACGAACTGTCCGAGAGTCTCGAAGAAAAAAAAGAGACATTGGCTCGATAACTTTCTCGCGTGTATCACTTTCGTGCATCTAAATCAATTTTATTTGGTTTTTAAGGATTGCTTGGATGCCTAATTAAAGAAAACGGTAAAAGGAGCGCGATCCGTAGTTTTCATACATTCGTAGAAATCCATAACGGTTCCGAAAGCCGAAAATTGTTAATCGCTGGCGACTATACCGCGCGGCTATGGCTCTCTGGCGTCGGGCCAAGTCCGCATTGCAATCGTGTGTTATTACGCCTGGAGAGGCCGATCTATTGTGGAACTGCGTGAATCAATAATACTACCGAATTCACTTTGCGACGGAAAACCGAGTGGAGAGGAGAGAGACATTAATTCGAATTTCGATGCGTATCTGTGCAGTCGACTTGAAAACTACACTCGATCTACATGACAACTTAAGAGTATCCTCGAGCCAACGCACGCGACGTTACGTAAATTGAAGGATGTACGTAGATAGATTTTTGGAGAGAGAGAGAAAACAAGGTTGATGATCGCTTTCACAGAAGCAGACTCGTGTTTTTCGAATGATTTCAATTTCATAGCAGACGTTCGTTACGCGCGGAGGAAAATTGTAACGTTCTCCTTCCTCTTGGGCAGTCGGATACTCGTCTGGTGGTGTCGTTCGGCATCGCGATCGACCGGTCCGCAACGACAGCACGAAGGATAATTCTCTCGCTGCCCTCGCGTACGCGGCGCTGTCTTTCGGATCGCGAGTCGAAAGGCTTGATAGTCGCGGCGCGAGCGCGCAACCGCGAGCGGAGGGAAGAAGCCACGGCACAATGGCATACATCAGGCAGACGCAGGGCAGAGGGCTGACCCGAGCAAGTTCATTTTCAAGGATTTCTCGGGACTAGCCGCACACGCAGTGCTCGTAATACGGATAGACGCGTAGAGAGATGGTCTTCGGGTGCTCCGGCGTGTCTTGGCGTTGCTTGAGCTGCCGAGCGTGCTTCCGCTGTGTGCGCGCTGACCGGAAGTCGCGAGTCAGTCCGCGCCGGCTCGTTACGCTTCCTTACTCACCTCCACCGTGCGGTCTTCGACAGAGAAAAAAAAAAAGAAAAAAGAAACACGCAGGAGAGTCGAACGGACGCGGGGCCCCAACCCTTTTTCCAGCGCGTGCGCGACGTCGAAAAATCTCCCGTGGAAAAGCCCGGGCCGCCGCCGAGAAGAGCCTCCGAGCGCAGAAGAAGACGAAGAAAAAGGATCGAGAGAGCGACCGGAGGAGGGAGGGGTGAGGCTGGCGCGTGCCGCCAGATGTTACAGACTCGACGGCAGCTGTCTCGCTCTCCTCTTCGATATGCTTTTCCTCTCTCTCCCTCTCTCTCTCTCTCGCTCTCCGAGCTGCTGCGTCTTTTCGGAAAAAACGAGCACGGGCGCGCCCGAGAGAGAGGAAGAGAGACAGAGGCCCCCCGCCTTCTTTGCTCGCTCAACTCGTTAATGAAGATTACGAGAGTTGCCACGTTCGGATGTCGATTCGGATGCTCCTCTTCTTTTTCTTCTCTCGAGAAATGTGCATTAATTTTATAAATAGACGCGGACGGAGTGGTTCCTCCTTGGCTTTTTTCTCCGAGGAAGACCGGGTGCTACGGACAGATTGCGCGCGCGCGAGTTTCGTTCTTTATTTTTCGAGGAGGGCGGACTTGATTTTTTATGGGGAATCTCAATGAGGCGAGCGAGCCACTTATTCCGACTCGGAGCGCCAAAAGCGCCCGCGACTTTTACCCGCGCGTCGTCGCTTCGTTTCGCATTTGTCATACGCGCGCGGCGTCTAACGAGCCGTGACATAATCGGCGGCCAGCAACGCGACAAAGGAAGACGCTCGCCGCGCGCGCAGGAAACATCTGGCCGCGGGTGGCGCGGTTATCTAATCGGCGAGGAGGCGCAGTAGCGACGAGCGTCGCTTTTCCAGACGGCCTTCTCGAGAAAGCGAGGCGAGCGCGGAAGACGAGGCGGGGGGAGGGGGGCCAGGTGCAAAGTGCACGAGTCGCGCTTCATCGAAATTCGCGAAGCGCAGCTGCCCGGCCGCTTTCTTTTTTTGTGTCGCGCGACCACTTGCCACCTGGTTTTTCCTCGGCGCGCGCGCGCGCGCTCACGTTGATTGACACTCGATGCGAGCGCCTCGGCGCGACTCTCGGCGAGCGCGCGCGCGCGCACGGATTTTTCGGGAAGGAAGCGCGATATCCTTCCTCTCCGCGCGCCGACAGCTGCACCCTCGCCACCGAGGGGAGCACGTGCGCGCAAACAACCACTGCTCGCAGCCACTCCGGCGCGCACCTTTCTCCGCGGCCACGCGCCTATCGCCTTTTCCTTCCTTCCCGCGCTCCTTCCCTCTTTGGGACTTCGGCGTGGGACGGAAGCGCCACCGTTTCGCAGATTTCGCCTGGCATTGCTTCATCGGAACGCAGCCTCGTCGTCGACCTCGTCCGAGTAATGGCTCCTCGAGACTAGGCCGATTCCTCGGCAACGATGCTCGCGCGTCCTCGAGCAATATGGTCGCCGCGCGCGTCATCGCCGTCGTTGGCAAACGCTCGTCACCAAACTGCGGTCTCGTTGCGGTGCATCGCACGCGCCCATCGATTTCGGGGCGTATCCGCCTCGCGGCATTGTGCCGCATCCAATTCGAAAATTCGATTACGAGCGTGTCCCGTGCGAAATTCAAATGGAGCGACCGAGCGGGCATATGGCGCACTTTGCGCAACATTCTAGAAGAGAGAGAGAGACCTGCCGTTATCCCCACGAAAAGGAAAAAAAGGGAAAGGAGGCTTCATTCACATTGAAATTTGGCGCGTAGACGAGGCGTTCACGCACTTGTCCGCGTGCGCGCGCGCGCGTTCGGGGGACACGCGTCCGAGGGGAGGCTTTGGCATTGGCGCGTCGACGATATTGCGACTCCCCTCGAGTTTCCGATCGGAGATCGCGCGATCGCCCGACGACGAGCGTCACTCCCTCGCTCTCTCTCTCATTACATCCTATAATTTATCTTCCTAATCCCATAAATGCTACGTCTCGATGATTATCGTGCGAATGATCTACAATTGATTTGCGATCGACTTTACTCGTTGTTGAAACATGCCACGTATACGAAACGCACACTCGTGCGTACGTTGAGTGCAGA